TGAAAAAGAAATTTTGCCTTTGAATAAGAACAAAAGAGATCTACTCTCGCAACAAGCAATACCGTATGTAGAACCAGCCCAGCTAGCCTCTGAGTTGCAAGCTTTGCAATTAACAATGTCAACATCCACCAAAACGCTAGTCTACCACCTCGCGCAGACAATGTGCTCACGATTGAACCAATTAGCAAATTTCATGGACGTTGCGCTAAAGCAAGACGCGACGAAAGTCACCCGGCATCTTTTAAATCGAACAGACATCGTAGCAACTTACCTAGGACCGCGGACAGTGCTTTTGGGAAGTTGCATTGAGCTCCCCTCCGGAATGATTGAACTAGCCCCTTTTCAGATCAACCAATGCTTTAAGCGGCCTAGAATCCAGCTCTCCACGCCAAATAACCAAAATTGGACGGCGTTTATCGAAATGGACACCGGAGAAATCTCGAAATTCTCAGAACCAATTCCATGCGAACAGACCAAGGAAATACTCATCTGGGACCAGGCAACAAATACGGTATGGACGTTCAACCCCATTAATGGTAGAATAAGGGAAAAGCCTACGTCTGCAAATGTGCAACGGCAGCTAGATTCCCCACTAACCTTCAATTTAGACATCCCAGCAACAATCTTTCACGACCTTCAGCTAGCAGATTGGAATGAAGTGGAGCCCCCGTTTTTCGAAAAACATGCGTGGGCGCTAAGGGAAGTCGAAAACCATCTTTTGAATCCGGTAGCCCAGCTCGAAATCAGAGAATCAACTTCTCAAACTAACGATCTCTTCGATATTATTCTATCTCTAATTCCCTCGCCTTTCACTATTTGGACGGCAGTCACCTGCACCATCGTTACAGTTTGGACTTTTCTTCAAATAGCCCCATTTTGCATTACAGGATTCAATATTTTTAGGCAGGCAGCTATAGCAACAGCGCTTGTGCAAGGACTCGTAACCAGAGCCAGCAAATCACAGGAAGAAGCAGCCCCAGATACTCCGGCCAAACGAACGGAAGGCACCGAGGCAAAAATAGAGGTAGGAAAAACAGGTAACGAAGATGAACCATTAATGAGCACCTATAGAGCCAACTCAATTTCGGTCTTAGCATGCCAAAGCCAGCAATTTTTCACGGCTCAAATCCCAGTACGCGTCAACGGAATACGTATGTTAGCACTTATGGATACAGGCGCAGGAATTTCACTCGCATCCGAGAGTACTCGTACCTTATTGGGAGCTTTTCAGCTAAACCCGGCCGCCATCACGCAAGCTTTCGGGATCGCTGGACAACAAGTCAATATCCAAGGAGCAGCAAGCGTCAGGATCCAAGTAGGCAATTCAAGTTTTGACCATTCCATTTTCTTTACTAATGGCTCATGTGCACCCAAGTCCGCGATCGACTCTTATAACATCATTTTGGGAAACGACTTTCTATCAATCTTGCCCGAATGGTCTATTGATTACAAGAACAAGCTCTTTAAGTGCAACCAGGAAATGATTCCGATGGACACTAGGGCCACAATAGCATCTCTTTCAATCCCGGAAACGGCCCACACCAAATTTTGTCTGAGAACATCCGATACAATACTAATTCCACCAAACTCCGAAATATTCGTTAAATGCAACATCGAACCCAACCCAGTAGCCAAAACTTTTCTCATCGAGCCTAATTTGCAAAATATCAATGCTGTCTTGTTTGCCGCTCCATCCATTGTGAACTCCTCATCTCCACTACTACTTGTCACCAATCCAACTAGCCAAGCCATAGCCATTTACAAAAACAGCACAGTCGGAGAGGCTGAAATTTTTGAAGACCAAGGCCCCGGTACCATTAACTCCGTATTTGTGAATCTAGTGGATCTAGTCCATGAAACAACACCAATCCGTTCCCATATTGACCTCTCTAAGGCGAAATTAAACGCTGAAGAGAAAGAACAAATGTACAAACTTTTGGAGGAATACCAGGACTGTATCTCCTTTTCCGATTACGATTTGGGCAGCTACGATGATACCCTAATCGATATCAAGACCACTACCGAAATTCCACCGACCAAATTTCGTCACGCCCGCATCCCTTTAAAGTTTCAAAAAGAGGTAGAAGAGCACATTAAAAAGCTTCTAGAAGCAGGACGCATTTGCGAAAGTGACACCCCTTGGATCCACCCTTCAGTGATAGTACCAAAAAAGAATGGATCTCTCCGAATTTGTCTCGACCTTCGAGCTACCAACCTTTGCTGTATCCAGGACCCATATCCCCTTCCGCTAATCAGCGACATTGTAACGAAATTCAAAGACAGCCGCTATTTTAGTTGTATCGATTGCGCCAGCGGCTATCTTCAACTAAAATTGACCCCTGAAGCCTCATACAAATGCGGCTGGCTAACCCATAAGGGCGTTTACCAATTCCAATATCTCCCTTTTGGACTAAAAAATGCCGGTGCAGCTTTTTCTCGCGCAATGGCTCGCATCCTCTCAGGCAGCATCTCAAACAACTGCATTTGGTACCTTGACGATCTCTGCATCCATACCAAAACTTTTGGTGAACATCTAAAATCTCTTAGAGCCGTTTTTGACCGATTTCGCCTATATAAAATTAAAGCTAACGGCCGCAAAATGACGGAATTAGCGCAAGATCGCGTTGTTTTTCTAGGACACGAAATTTCTGGTTCAGGGTACTTTCCAGCTGACAGGAATCTGAAGGCCATCAAAGAAATGCCGGCACCCGAAAATCCCAAGCAAGTGAAACAATTTATAGGAATGTCCAATTTTTTTCGTAAATTCGTGCCAAATTTCGCCAAGATTGCTGACCCACTTTATGCCCTCACTAAAGAAAAAACCCCTTTTAAGTGGGGTCCAGAGGAAATCGTAGCATTCGAAAAGGTCAAAGAGATTTTAGTTTCGAAGCCGTGCCTCAGCTACCCCCGAGACGATCAATTCGTCCTATACACCGATGGATCAATGACAGCCGTAGGTGCAGCCCTGCTTCAAGCCGACAACGGAGACCCGAAGAGATTGAAAGCCGTAGGTTATTTTAGTAAATGTCTCTCTGATTCACAACGTAGATGGGCCGCTACTCATATTGAACTCTTCTCTATCATCGCTTCTTTGCGCTATTTCAAACATATCATTTATGGAAACCATACCGAAATTCGTAGTGACCATCGACCTCTCGTTTCTATTTTAAACAGTAAGACGGAAATGAACAACAATTTGGCCCGTTGGATCGTAGAACTTCAACAGTACGATATTACCATTACATATGTTAAAGGCGCCACAAATCTTTTGGCCGACTGTCTCTCCCGCCTATCCAACCCGGAATCACGCTTCCAGGAAAACCAACCAGAATCTCTTGACATTATTGAATTCCCGATCTGCTTAGCGGCATTCAGCCAATCTATACCCTTACTCCAAGAATCCCGTCGAGTCAGACCAGTAGATGCCCTTCAGGCCCAATTAGCCGACCCGTTTTGCTCTAAGATTTTCGATTTTTTCAACAACCCGGCAAATAGCATTCCTCGCCCCCTTGAATTCAGCCAATTCGAATTTATGAGAAAAATGGACGTTCTATTCGTCGAAAAGAATGGATGCATTTATCGAAAACCTGGCATCGAAAAAGCGACCAGATCGCGTAACCAACTACTTATTCCCGAAAAGCTCCAAAAACTCGTGTTTTCAGCCTTTCATGAGAGCCCAACAGCCGGGGGACATCTTGGCCCTAACAAAACGTTAGCTAAAATATTAAATCACTACTTTTGGTTCGAAATTTACCAAGATGTCAAAGCTTGGTGCGCAACCTGCGCCATTTGTCAACAAAAAACAACAAATGTCCGGAACCATGAAACCCTTATCCCCAACTTCACTAATTTCATTTTTGAAAAAGTTTATATCGACCTGTGCGGACCACTAAAAGAAACCCCTCTAGGAAACAAATTTATCCTCACCGCAATTGACCACTTTTCAAAATTCGCCATTAGTGTCCCATTACCGGATTCAAAAGCAATTACCGTCGCCCGAGCTCTAACTAATGAGGTTTTCCTAAAATATGGCACCCCAAAAAGCATTGTCAGCGACAATGCGGCTTATTTTCGGTCAGAACTGTTTAATGAAATTGGAAAAACTCTGAGAATCGACCACTATTTTGTCACGCCCTACCACCACGAAGGAAATGGAGCCGTAGAAAGAATCTTTCGAACTTTTCAATACTATCTACGCGCCTACGTACAAAAGACACAGGACGACTGGGACCTCCTAGTGTCAGCCTGCACATTTTGCTATAACACCTCCACTCATGAAACCACTAAGGAGTCCCCATTTTTTCTCATGCACGGACGCGACGCAAATTTCAATATTAGCCTTTTAATCGAGGAGTCTGGCAAAATTCAATACCCCAAAGACTCGGAAATGGCCGAATTTAAAGATAGGCTTGTTCAGATATTAGGCCAGGCTTGGAAGCAAGCGGCAGAACATGCCGCCGAAGCACGCGCTAGATACGGTAGCTCAGACAAAAACAATTTCTCTCATCTAAAACCCTTAGAAGTCAAAATTGGTGATACAGTCACTGCAATAACAACACATTATAAACCCGGATTAAGCCGAAAACTATGCATGCCATGGACCGGCATCTTCCGAGTGGTGGCGATTGAGCATCCCCACGCCTTCATCGTTCCGAAGGCATCGCCACAATCCCAACCCAGAAAGGTACATTTCAATCAAATCAAAAAATTTTTTGAGGTCACCGGCCCCGCTTCAACAAGCAACAACCTCGAAGCTGACGATAGAAAACTACTTGAGCAGATCCAGGCGGAACCAGCTGAATTAGCCGGTTACGCAAAAAAACGATAGTAGTGAACTGAACCGGCAGGCTAAGGAAGGCAAAGTAGAGGCCAGACATGGATACTCCTTAAGACCACGCAATAATTAACTTAATGTTTTCCATCGGTGTTTTCTATAGGCAGTAGACTTACAATTCGATACCAGATTCCAGATAGTTCAAGCCCCGACTCCCGTCACACAGATGGACGACAACCCCGCTGATCAACTCAGCAAACTAGCCCCCATACCCGAGTGCAGCTCCGAAGAAACGAGCCCGACAACTACCCAACCGGGTGAGTCAAACCTCGAGAAAATGAGAAATACCGTCGATCCAATCGATGAACCAACTATACAAATACCAGTAGAAATCAACAGGGTGTCCTTCCCACTCAGGTCAAGGAAAACCAATAAGGTCCTAGACGTTATTGTATTAGATTCGGACTCCGAACAGGAGATACCACGCAAAACCACTAGGAAAAGCCCAAACGAAGCCGGATCCTATAAAAACAAAAATCCCGACATTTCAGGCAACGACGCGGACATCGAATCAAACGGAGAATCCGTCCCGGACGCCCCAAAAATGTTCGGCCCGCTAGACGAGGCAAGACTTCTCGAAGAAGAGCTGGACTACTCCGAGGAACCGATGGACACGAGCGATGCACCTCCGGAAAACGACCCAAATACCGAGATGGAAAGCAGCGACAAGGACCAGGCCGAAGCCACATTGGCCGAGACGAACGAGGAAGAAAAACCCGACGACCAAAACCCCTTCGCGGAATTCGTAGTTGAAGCCGACGACGACGAGACAGATGAAGAAGACGACGATGAGTTCCTACAGCGTTGGACAGAAGCAGAGGAGCGCGAGAAAAATGCAGCCTGGCCGACACTACCGCCACTTCTCCCCGATGTAGCGGACCATCCCAACCCAAACTGGTGCAGCCACGTTCTCGCCGCGCTGACTGAAGAACGCCCGGGTATGACGAAGGAGGAGCTGGACAGTATCGCGATCAACCCCCATTTCGGCCGAATACCCACACACTCAATTAAACAAATGAGGAAGTGCACCAATTTTCGCGAAATGCACGCGATAATGCCAAGATGCAAGGACAAACTGATCGAGCTGCCGGGCCTTGGACGATTGGCCGACATCTCGAAGCTCCAGGATTACTCAAGACGTTTGGTCGAATACTATACAGCCAACCCAGGAGCCCAATCCTTTGAAGCCCCGAGCGGAGATGTGGCCCAGAAGCCATCGGCCACAGGAATCAAGCCAATCGACCTGGACCCGAACATGCCAGTCCTCTACAAGGTCATCGGACTTCGACCAGGAAAAGCCTACCTACTAGAGTCGGTCCACTACGAAACGTCTATGGGATGCGAGGAACTACGATACATCACACTCGACCGGAAAAGCTGGGACAAGAGGAATGACGTTAAAGGAATCTTCCAAACCCAACTGGCCATCGGAGATTTCGTCTGGGTGAACGACCTCACTATACCAGACGTATTTCTGAAGAAAGGCACCATCAAAGCCGGCTTGGAATCGGCGTGTACTCGAGGATTGCCCACACCACAAATAGAACCGCTCTTCCGCGCTTCTAAATTCGAGTTGGTGACTCCAGCTACGAAGGCCAACCCCAGACCGTGCTACATGATACACGCCCAGCCAGGAGCAGTCTCACACCGGAGAAACCATCAGTTGGCAGTTATGGGAGAAGGCCGCGCCGTCCGAGTCAGCCACGACCTGATCGTCGACCAACACCGAAGCCGCTTCACGAGCAACGGGCTCTATATGTGCACCGCCAGGCAGAGGATCAGCGGCTCGCGGTACCTATGCAGCATCCCCATATCAAAGGAGGCGGAAGCGAAGGTGCTTGAATACATCCGGAACGACGAGCCAACCCAATTTACCGAAGCACCGACGCCGACGATGGTGTATCGAATGGCAGACGAAATCTGGGAGCAGTACCAGGACAAGATCGACACGTTCAGAGGATACCGAAAAGACCCCAACCTGGGCTGCGCCATACTGAAGGAGACCCTAACATTGGGGATCTCAGCTGAAGAGGCCAAAGAAAACGAGGCCAGGGATACACGACAATGGCTTACGTCAGTGTCCTTCGAGCAAATCGCCGCAGACGGAAACACCGTGATAAGAGCCCACTTCGAGATTGAAGGCAAGACGACCGAAGGCGACTGGACGAAAGGAGCCGATCTCATCATCAGCCTCGTAGGCGATCGGCCGCACCCTGTCATGGCGCGCCTCTCGGAAATGCGTTTCTCGGGAAGCCCAATCAACAAAGCACACTGCTCAGCCATCCCTAGCCTTCAGGACGTCCCAAGACTGGTCCACCACCTGGAAAACCCAGGGCCGTTCCCCGCTAAAGTCTATCTACTAGACGAACAAACACGTTCATGGATCCAGAAAACACTCAGCAAGGGATTTCGAGACCTTACCCCGACAGACCCAGCCTATCAAACGATCGACATCATTTACGGTACCCAACGTGGACGGGCACATCTGGACGAAATGCCGACCACCCAGAAGATCCCACAACTGACACCGGATATTCCGTCAAACATCCGGATCGATGGCCGAAACCGACCTTTGACCGCAACACAGCAGATGACCATCGCCCTATTGGCCAGTAAAACCCCGATCGGCGCACTTCAGGCCCCATTCGGCACGGGCAAGACGACCTCTATAGCCGCAGCGGTCCACCATGTCTCTCGACGCCCAGAAGCACGTGTGGTGGTCACAGCAACCACAAACAATGCGGTCGCCCAGCTGACAGATGCGATTTTACGGCTCAACACACCGGACAATCAGCGGAACGTTCACCGATACCGCGCCGAGGCTCTGACCGAAACCATAACAACTCGTGCTGATATCGTCGAGCTCGCTGGAGAATTGTTGAATGATCGATCTACTCGACTATCAAGCTCAGAAAGAAAAACACTCCGAACATTCATCGAGGGAAGGCGTTTGATAATGGACTATATGGCCAATTTGTTGACGGACCCCGAACAAATCACGAAAGCAGAACGAGCAATGATGCTGGAATCAGCCCCCGGAATCAACGCGGTGGCCGTCTACGAGCTGATCAACCGCTGGAAGCCTTCACACATCCTGGCCGCAACAATCGACAGTCTGATCGGGCTGTCAGAGGGTTTGTGGGAAGATCAATTGAAAGAAATCACGGCCATCGTGATTGACGAAGCATCACTACTCTCCGAAGCCGCGTTTATTGCACTGACATGCCATTTCCCCAAGGCCCAAATCTTCCTTGTCGGAGACATTCGTCAGAGCCGACCCTTCACGACGCTGGGACTGCAAAGCTGGCCCATGGACTTTGGCCTGCGTGCTTCACTGGCCGTAGCGCTGAACGCCCGAACAACGCCGACCATCTTCTACGAGAAGTCATGGCGAAGCCACCCCCATCTGATGAGCTACGCTTCGGAATTGTTCTACTCAGCCAGACTCACAACGGATGTGAAGCCTGAAGACCGCCCCGTTTTCCGAAACTTGGCACTGCGACTGCCAACGCCCGGGGCCCCCTGCGTCTTCGTCGTCTACGAAGGAATCGCCGAACGCTCCACCGTCGGGAGCCTGTCAAATGTCCAAGAAGCAAGACACGCACTGGAAATCTTGAAAAGAATCCGCGCCAGCTGCCCGAACGAAGAAACGACGCTGATAAGTTATTATAACGCGCAGACCGAGCTCCTCGAACAGATGACGCGCAACACAACTCTCGCCAACGTCAGGAAGGCAAGCGTAGAAAGGAGCCAAGGATCCGAGACCGGGATTACATTGCTGCTCACGACGAGATCATCAGCGGCAATGTAAACTATCAGTAATCTATAAAAGATACCGTTCAATCTCTAGTCTCACTGATCAGATCAAATCCTGATCAGCAGCTAAGAAATTCATCTTGCAAACGATTTTTTGCATAAGCAGCCAAAATATTCGCCTACGAATATTCCAAAATCGTTCAAATATATCCTCGATATTTAGATGCATCACCGACACCCCCGTCTCCGATCCCGCACATAAAGGCCAGGGCTCCCGCCATCGAGAGGAGAGAGAGAAGACGATCCCCCGACCCAATTGTTTCGCCCGATTTTTGTGCCCGATAAAGAAAAGATGAAATTCTAAAAGACGATGTGAACCAGCACGCTGAATATTTTACTGGTGCATTTGGCGGGTTCTTCGGCTTAGCGTTGGGTTCGCATTAATGGCAAGAAAGTTCTTTGCGTTCATGTAGCAGACGAGGAGGTAGAAGACCAAGATAATGCCGACCAATAAGGCGAATAGCCAAATGTAGAGGATTAGCGTTTCGAGGTGCTGGAAGTAGCGCACTCCCTCTACATTGCAAAAGATTGGCTCGAGCTTGCAGATCTGAAAACAGGGTTTTTAATGGTATCTAAAAAGAATGCGGGTGAATTGAATTGGGCCTGAAGGAACGGTTAAGGACTGATTAAAGATTTTTTTAACAGACGCGACACGCCGCGCACACGCAAACGAAAACGTTAGCTAATTTAAAAATATTCTTACTCAGGGTAACTGTTATTAAAGGCGTTAAAATAAAGCAAAATTTGTTTTTAAAGCGCTAGGCAGAGTCGCAGAGCTTGGAGCCTGGATCTTTGGAGGGTGTAATGGATTATAAGAACATCCAAGACTCTGCCTTGCCGATCCCTTTAAAACTGAAGTCATAGCAGCGCCTTTAAAAAGGCACACTTTCCCGAAAGACCTCAGCTAGCACGCCAGTCCCCAGAAAACTAACCTCCGCCGCATCGTCGATCATTAACCCTTGCGCATACGCTGTCCATATAAACGCGTTGATCCCGAAAATCAGACAAAACCAGAGCATCACGATGCAGTACTTCGCACTCGCATGGAATATACTTTGATTCTGACTCGTATTTGCGGCTTTTAGCACCCCAATGTGGAGCACGGCGCATGTGGTGTGGACCATGAAGGAGATGTAAAGGCTCTGAGAGGGCGTGTACTCCTCGCACATGCGGAAAACCTACACAAGCCAGGTGGAGCTCAAAGTTGTTCAGCGGGAAGATGCCCAATACTTTTCCGGCCGTTATCGGCGCGTAGACGATCGGTTTGTAGGTGGCGATGGTGGTGTCGGTGAGCTCGGCGGCGATCTAGGAAAAGATAGTAGCTGATCGGATTCACAACGAAGCTTTGCCAGCATGCCTTTTTGCATAGGAAGGTTTTTGTTGTTTAGCAATGGTAGACTGTTTCAAAGATCCCTGCTAGCCTGCCCAACCCTTCAGGATCTCTGCTAGCCTGCCACGCTGCTCAAAGATATCCGCTAGATTGCCTTCCTTTGGATAGAAGAAATGATTATATGTTTGAATAAACTCTTTTTTAACACTCAAGGATCTCAGCTAGCTGGCCTCTGCTGACTTACCAACAAATTCAATTGAGCCACTTTATATTCCTTCGTTAGTGAGGCTTTTCCTTTGACGATAAACGTGACGGTAAGGGCAAAAGATAGCGCTCCAAGGCTCCAGAAGAAATAATAGAACCCGATTATCCATCGCTCATCGTCGGGTGACGGCAAAAACATTTTTGAATACCAGCCGCGGAACCAAAATGTTTCGCCAAACCAAAATATGATGTTTAGGCAGGGTTTTCATTGCCACTACGGCTTATTGGACAGGTGTTTATTCGCCAGTAGTCCAATAGCACGGGAAGGGTCTTGGCACGAAAAAGTACTCTTTTATTTTTGATGAAAATAGAACTTTCATGACGAATTGGATTTGATGGAAACGAATTTTATTTTTGCTTTTTTGCAGCATGTGGTCATAGTTATTTTCTCATCTATTATTTTCTTCCTTATTGGGTAATTATATATTTTTTTATTCTTGCTTTAATACACAAAATGATGTTCTCGGTTGGTATATTTGCTCTTCGTGATAGTTATAATCGAGGGTTGCCCAAATCTGGATAAAGATAGTCGATCAGCTTCGTGCTCCAAGCAAGGATTTAGCTTCTAAAAATATACATTGTTCTAGACGGCTTTTCCTACCTTATAGACCCTCAATATCGATCGATATATCGCGTTTCGATATGGTTTTGTCGCCAGAAGCACCGCCAAATTATTTCCAAGGCTGTGAAGCCCATTCCAGAGTGTTATTAGACCAACCACTAAGCAAGAAAAGAATGTTTTTAGTACCAAACGTACTGGCCAGGATCCATTCCCAGTCCACAAAATTCAAATAGACCATTAGAAAACCGAAAAACGGAAGGACAAGGAATAGCACGACCATGAGAGACTGCAAAAAATTTTTGGCGTTGCCCATTAAAAAGTGAAATCACCTGCAGCGCAAAAATCAGACTGAAATATCGGTGCATCTGACGAGTCCGTTGACTCAAGGTCGGGTTGGAATTGATAGAAATGTACGTCTTCGCATTCATATAGGAGACGGAGACATAGAAAATTAGGGTGAAGAAGACGACCGAGGCAAAAAACCATAGGTATTGGATGAGACGTTCGAGGTGTTGAAAGTAGCGCACACCCCTGCCGTTACAAAAGACGGGCGCAATTTGGCAGACCTGGAAGTGAGGAAAACCGTCGAAAATTTGCGGAATTCGACTCAAAAATTTATATTTCAGAAATTTTATGTCTTTCGCGCTTTGTTTAGAAAAAAAAATAGGTTAAACATATGTTAGTTTACAAAGAATAACATGTAGTAATTGATCAGATACGGAAAATCCAAAGCGAGATGATCTTAAAAATCTTTAAACTGTTTTAGGTAGCTTAAAGTTTCAAAACGGAATTTTTTTCGAGTGTCGGACGCATTATCAAAATTAGAAACACTCACAAATTTTACGAAAAGAGCGACTAGACTGCCAGTGATACTGTACAAGACAAATCCGCAAGGATCTCTACTAGCCAGCCGGGTCACAAAACAAGCCACTCTTCACCAACCTCCTTTGGATCGTCAACCATATTCCCTTCTACATATGCCGTCCAAATAAACGCATTAACCCCGGCCAGCAAGAATACGTAAAGCACCGCAAAACAACGAACAGCACTCATCCGGAATATACCACGATTCGGTGTGGTATTTGCAGCTTTTAGAGCCCCAACGTGAAGCACAGCGCATAGTGTGTGGGCCATGAAGGAGATGTAGAGACTCTGAAAGACTACGATACTTCTTGCTGACGTTGAAGACCCACACAAGCCAGGTGGAGCTCAAAGTTGTTGAGCTCGAAGATGCCCAAAACTTTGCCAGCCGTATAGGGAGGGTAGACGATGGGTTTGTAGATGGCCAGGGAGGTGTCGGTGAGCTCGGCAGCTATCTGGGAAAATGGCTGGTTGGATTCGGCACAAAATATCTGTTGGTTTGCCTTACGCAAATTTGGTCGTTTTCTTTTTTTTATGTGGTACATTTTGGCACAAAAACATTCTAACTTTTTAAAAAAACGTGCTAGCTGCCAATCTTCCTAAATATGCGTCCAATTTTGATTTCATGCACTTTTTATATTTTTTTTTAGTTTTCAAAGAAATCGATCCAGACAAGCCCTGCGTTGCGTGTCGCGACTGCGGCAAAACCGAATGGGAATCGACAGCCAGAAATCCTCTAGGCTTGCCTTGCTCACTGGCTAAAGAATCTCTGCTAGTTTGACTAAATTTCTATCCTTCAGTTCACAAAGCTCACCAACAAATTCAACTGCGCAATTTTGTATTCTTTCGTCAAATGCGCCTTTCCATTGAGTATAAAATACACAGTAAGGCTGAAGGTGGATATTCCAAGGATCCAGAAACAATAATAGAGCGTGATGATCCATATTTCAGCCTGGGCCGTAGGGTAAAACAGATACATATTGTTGTTGCTGGCCATTTACAGTGGCATCTAATGTTTTGGGGATGATCTAGAAGGGGGAGGCTGAAAACGTTGCCAGGTGCTTTTCGTAATGAAGTCTGAACAGCTGTGATTCGAGACATCAGAAAGTGCTTAATGACTCGGGGTGGAACTAGTACAAATTGTATGCTGTTGTATCTTGTGTAATTAGTAATCTTTCGAAAATCCGTTTTGTTTCGAAATCGAAATCGTTTCAATTAGCATAAATATCATTAGCCACTCGGGCTAAAATGGTGTCATTTCCTTCTTGGCCCTAGTTGCCATGCGGTCGCTTTGGCTCTTGACGTTGCTATGCCCGACCGTATGCCAATGTTTTCACATGGAAGACTACAAAGTATTGACCTTCCAAGGGATATTGACAGCTTCTTTTTAATTTAGGTGAATAACAACAGTGTGTGCATCACGGCGGGTTGTGTGCGGGCGGCCGCTCTTGTGGTAAGAAAATTGTCGGAATTTTTGGACAGTAACTCTATTTTACCCCCCCCAGGCGCCCCTTCCACCTGCGCCCTCTCCCCCGGGCCTACTATCTCGCATGGGGGTGGGGGGAACTACAGGGTGTCCCAAAAAAAACGAACCATCTAGCATTTCGCCGTGTTGCATCCAATCGGCCCCAAATTTGGACCAGAGGTGTATCAGACCCTAAATAACAACAATCCTGACTTACAGCCCCATAGCTACAGTAGTTTTCGAGTTATGGCAAAAACAAACATCATTTTCTATTTTTCATGGGGTTTTCGTGGAATTAGACCCCCTAAACATTAAGTGAAAATGATCCGGTAGGCATTCTATACCTTAAGAAATTTTTTCAGAGTAAAATTAATTAAATAAGCTTCGATTTAAGCGATTTTTACAACGCAAAATTACCAACGTTCTTAAGCGAAATTAGGGATTCGCAGCCGGAAGTCGATGCAAATCGATGCAAAGTCCAAAAAGATAGCCGAAAAAACTGTTCAGAATTCCGGGAAAAACAGAATTTTCGTTATAACTCGAGAACGACTGTAGCTACAGGGCTATAAGTCAGGATTGTTGTTATTTAGGGTCTGATACACCTCTGGTCCAAAATTTGGGCCGATTGAATGTAACACGGCGAAATGCCAGATGGTTCGTTTTTTTTTGGGACACCCTGTAGAGTCTAGCCCAACTAGGGTATCGTCGTTTTTACCGTAATACTGCTTGTATAACCGTGCCATTTTAACAAAAAGTTGCGAATCCTCTGATTTCTTTTTAAGATCGAAAATATGAACCCAGACGCCGACCCGTGCGAGGATTTCCACGAGTTTGCCTGCGGAAGGTTCAATAAAGTAGGTTAAAACGAGTAAAAGTCTTACTGCAATCTTAGAGAAATCAAATTGATGCCTTCCAAAAACTGCGCGCCTCCATCAAGGGCCGACCGGAAGGTTAAATACGAAGTTTTTATCCTAGAAAACCTTTTAGCCGTTCTCGAAGAGTGGAACCCGTACGACGTCGAGCTGCAGCGATTCGAGGACGTCTACAAAATGTACGACGGCTGCAAGCGGTTCAAGGCGATGGGGGACACCACAGAGTCTGGGCTTCAAGATCCGGACGTTTTATTTTTTTTTTAGGTTATTCTATAATTATACTCGCGACACTTTTGCCTGGGTTCCATTGCTGAATTTCGGTGAAGAAACGGTAGCATACCTTAAAGTACGCACTTTTCATACTAATCTCCAGAAATCCGATTTCACCTCCATCATCACCGCCGCCACCACCCAAATCTACATGCCGATTTTTAGCAAGATTTACGCGACGTCGACCTCGATTCGCATTGTAGTCAAAGTTGCAAATTAAGCTCCAAGCCTTTTAGAACTTTCCCCTCTACGACATAAAAATGGGCACCAACGAAGCAGAAAGGGAAAACAAAATCCGAGAAGCACGTTGCAACTAAAAATGCATCTTAATTTGTTTTTACAGCTGTTCAATGACTCGCTGGAGTTTTTGGGCGTCACCACCCGCGAGGAGGTCGAACCGGAGCAGGCCAGGATGATATTGGACCTGATTGACTTGCACACCAAGTTAGCCAATGTAGGGTTATAAAAAATTCTATTTCGTTCTCTGGCATTTCCGGGGAGGGATCCTAGTTTTTCCATGAATTATATTAATTTTACTGTTGATTTGATGGTGTTTTTATAAAAACGCGCTGGATTTCAATTCGAAAAACTGTTTAGAGAGCCTCGAAAATTCTTCAAAATTTTGACACATCGACGAAAACCTAATTTTCTTGGTCGACAATCAGGTCAGATCAATCAAGTCGAAGGTATTCCAGTTTCTACCTAACTTTGTACTGTTTTGCAACGCAAAACAACCCCGACGCACCCAATGGCCTCCTAATTTATTTTATTTGGGAGCGGAAGCGGCTCGTTGTCTTTAGATCTTCATGGTTGTTGACTTCCCGGTGCTTGAAGGACATAAAGACAAGCGAGCCGCCGACCTGGAGCAGTTCACCATGAAGCTGCCCGAGTTTGAAGCCTTGACGGCACCGGTGAGGCTTTAGAATCTCTCGGCCCACCCGTGATGATATACTACAATGCATTTCTATGGTGTTTTCAGTAGTTATTGAATGATAAAAAATTGTAAAAGTAGTTAGAAATTATGTAATATTGCACGTTTTTACTTTTTTGCCCGTTTTCTAATTCTTTTTATAAAGTTTTTACATCATGCCATAAAAATTTTCCATGTCTTGTTCTGAGGACGTACAGGATTTACTAACTAAGTAAATAGGATAGAAGACTAAGAAAATTGGGTTTTCGGCCGGATACTCGCCCCTGATAATCCCGAAAAGAACAAATTACTCCCGAAACCTGATTTGCCAGATTAACGTCCGCAGAATGATGGCACTTCGACTGCGTGGGATGGAGCTAGAGAAGCTGGACGGCGAGACGCAGATCAAACTGACAGCAGCATCAAAGGAGAAGCTTAGAGATGTACCTCTTGACGGCTTGATGCCCTTGAATTTTACACAAAATCACTCAAATTTCAGTCGATTCAAGTGCTGAGTTCGGCAAAGGAGGAGACGCTGCGGAATCACTTCTTCCTCGAGTGGTTCCAAAAGATCAAAATTAATGTGAAAGTGATACGGGCGCACGAGGTGTCGTGTCATCGATGGGTTGGTTTTTGTTTGGGCAAGCTAGCAGAGACGATTTGGAGCAGCGGTCAATAGTGCACGTTTGTCTGCTTCTGGTGTTCATAGGTGCCCAAAGTATCTTAAAAAAATTGTATTAATTTAACTTTTTCAAATTCGTATTCTGGAATGTCAGCCTTTCGGTAAATTCATCTCCAGGTCAAGCGCTATCTGAAAAAATTCCGTTAATTAAACCGTCCCAATTCCTGAGCTTTTTTTGTCTGTTAAAGCGCACGCTCTGGGAGGGGCCGTGTACTCGTCCCAACGTGTACACCCTATGTACGTAGGGACCGCGCCCACTGCCTGCCAGTGCCGTGGGAGGCAATTTCCCCCCTTTGCGGCGCCCCTCACCCCCTCTCCAGGTTGTAGCTGTGGCTGACTGGTATCCGTCGCACCTCTCGAGCGGGGGGCCCCGGGTTTGACCCCCGGCCGCGGCAAAAATCTTTGCCTTCTTGCCAAAAAACGTCCCTGAACGTGCCTTTAATGCGCCGATATAACTGGAAACGTAGATGATATGCCAAAAAGCACCAGCAAATTCGGAATCAGCGTAGAAAACTGGGCACGAACCTGATGTAAAATCACAAAGGCGGCTAGGCAGCCACATTTTTTAGTTCTTGCATGTTCACTTCCAGGTCAACTCTTCGTACCATCACTTGCTCACCCATCTTTTTGTCACGCGTCGTCGGAATCCGTCGAATGATGCGGCAGCTTTGGTACTTTATTAATTATTGCACCCGATTCCCTGAATTTCAAGGAATTGGCTGAAAGAACCCGCAAAGGCTTCCTAGTGCTAATCACCGACCACGGGCCGCTCGAATACGAGGTCCGGGAGGAAATGAATGAAAAGGTAAATTGATTCTTTTGCGTTATTGGGGGGAGCAACTTTTTTCAGAATCAAATTTTTCAAATATAAATGGTAGAAGTGTTTTTAAATTATTTTCACTATTCTTGAAGGTTAAAAATCTACAAATTTGTATTGAAAAATACAAAAATATAGGTATTTCGGTCGAAAATGCCGATTTTTGGCCAAAATTTCGTCTTTAAAAAGTTTTTGGATAGTTTTTCCAGTTGAAATATAGTTTTGTATTACTAAAAACACTATTAAAGCACGCCGATAATGCAAAAATCCTTTGATTATTGTTGTTTACTTTCACTTTAGATAAAATCCGTGAAGCTGAAGATTGGTGGGGATCCGGAGCTGCTGAACGCCACGTTTATGCAGGAATTCTATAATTGGGTACTGCACACGCAAATCAAAACAAAATCTAATGAATTTTTAGGGCGGCTACACATCCAACAAATCGTTCATCGACCAGGTTTTCAAGAATCACATCGATTTTCCGTTAAAGGTATGGCTTTCTTAAAACCGCCTCGATGCTGGTTTTCTGAAACATAGAAGCCCCCACTGATGGTGGATCCGACGAGTGAAACGGCAGAATACAAACCGGAGTCTAATACGATTGGTTAGATTTAGCACGTTTCTGGATCTCTTTCTCTCTCTCTCTCTCTCTCTCTCTCTCTCTCTCTCTCTCTCTCTCTCTCCCTCTATCTTTCGCTCTCTCTCTCCCTCTCTCTCGCCCTCTCTCGCCCTTTCTCATCTTTTAATATATTCTTTCAGAACTCGGCTCTTTCTTCTTCTCTTCCCCCTTCTTTGAGCACGACTGGCCGATGGAGGCGAAATTCGCTGGCCTTGGAGACGTCATCGCGCACGAGTTCTCGCATTCTATCGATGGATCTAAAGGTATTTCTTGCTTTCCGGCTTTCTCCCGCTCTCTCTCTCTCTCTCGCTATCTCTCCAGCTTTCTCTCTACCGCTCTCCGTCTCTCTCACTCCGTCTCTCCCTCCCCCCAGCAACAAAAACCCAATTTCCAGGAGGAGCCCTTAACGGATTCACCAAACGGAGCCTTCGTCAAGGTTGCATTACCGATCGCCTCGGGCACAAGGTCTTCTTCGACGAGAAAATGATGGTGCGAACCGAAATTCAGAAAAAGTTTCCGATTCTGTAGGTGATCGACCAGAAGGTCATCAACGAGGTGCTGTCCAATCTCTACGGCGTCAGGGTGGCCTTCCAGGTTGACGTCCAATCACTCACCCTTCCTCCGAATTTAGACGTACATGAATGACTGGGTAGATCGGCAGGTTTGGGAACCACCTCGTTGGCCGGGGCTTCAAGAATACGCCCCCCACCAGCGCTTCTTTCTTGCGCAGGCTCAGGTGAGGTTTAAAGCGGAGTTTCAGGGTTGGAAAAGCATGAAAAAGGACTAAGAAAAACCAAAAATTTCAGAAATACTGTGGCCGGCGGCTGGAGGTTCCTTGGGGAGAAAAGTTGGTTAAAAAGCCTTGAAGTCTCTCTCCCCCTCCCTCTCTGGCGCGCTCGCTCTCTCTCTCTCTCTCTGTCTATCTCTCTTTCCTTTTTTAAATAGCTGATGCAATTTTACTTCATTTTTTCAGGCCCGGCCCATTCCGAGTCAACATTGTGGGTCCTTGCCCCCCTTTTCCTTACCTATCCCCTTTTCAGATGTATGCCAACATCCCTCAATTCGTTCAAACCTTCAGCTGCACGGTATACTCACGTGTTTTAGCCCTTCAGCTGATTCAAACTTCCAGAAAGAGTCGAAGATGAACTTGGTCAACCGATGCTAGCCCCAGAACCGGCCGGAATCCCTCGGAATCGTCTCCAGTGCTCGAGTGCCTACTGAATTTTTCCTCTCTTCTGCATTCATGGACTTCATATGAATAAACGCTTTGTGCAAAGAGGATGCGGAACATAGTCGAGCAACACAAAACACATAACACTGTTTCTTTTTTCAATTAACACATCGGCGGGACTATTTTCAAAGCTTTTCAAAAAGTAGGCAAATTTTGCCAAGAATTCAGAAACAAAACCTGGAGAAAAGGATTTTTAAAAGTGTCCGGGTATTTCTGGGAACCCTGTGCATTGTTTGCCAGCTAGTTGGCTTTTAGTTATTTTCCCGAAACCAGCATAGATTCTGTTAACTCGGTATCAAATTGAAAGCATACCCAGAAATTCCTTAAATCCAAAAAAAATATGCATAGACTTCACAAACGATTCCGTTCATACATATTAAAGAAATATCGAATAACAATAAAATGGAAAAATACCAATTAATAAGGCGATAATTTCACAACTGCCATTCTGCATCAAGTGATCGTTGATCTTTGGCGACGTTTTCGTGCAATTACATCACGCCAATAATGACAAGACGATAGCGGAGGGTCAGCTAGAGGCACGCATCACATAGTATGGCACAAGTCACAACCTGGCCTGCCCAGGCTCCGCCCCTTTCTCACCTTTGCTCCCCCTTTATAGCGCGGGGCCGCCATGCCATTTTGGAGAGAACAGTGAACCCGCATCACGTTTTCTCCCTCCGTTTTTCACAGCCAAACTCGCCTCACCTTGCGCAGCAAAATTATTACCTGTGCCCGAAACGAGTTTTTCAGGATGCTAATTTCATCGTTCTGAGCCCTTTTGCAAAGCTTTGAAATTCTAAAAATTTTGGGTCTCTGCTGCATTTTCCTCTGAAATGAGCAATTTTGGAAGTTCAGGTTGTCCAAAAAATGGCTAGACTTTACTTCGCCCGCCATTCGGTAAAGCATCGAAAAATATGCTAAGAATTTTAATCACAGCCCAAAATCACGTCATACAACAAATTTATAGCGAAAAACTTTTTGGAACTACCGGCTGAGTTTTTTTTTTAGTTTTAAGAGTTTTTGCGGCCTTTGCGGCAGTCCAACGACAGCTGCTTTCTTTCTTTTAGTATCAAGAATTTAATTGAAACAATCTGCGTAGACCGGTTCACAAAACAACATTTATCAAATTGGGCCAATCAAAAAATTGTTTTTTTTTAGTGCTCAATTGTTTAGTTTCCACGGATTTCCACCGTTTCCGATCAATGATGGGACCTCCTTTGGGAAGGCATCTTGCCTCTATTTACCTTGGGTGTTGCTCTTGTTTTTCTTTGGGGGGAAAGAGAGCCCGGCACGACCAAATTCCTACAGAAATCTTGATTTTCTGAACTTTTATGATCTCTCGACAAAATTGTTTCGATCAGCAGTCAAAAGTCTTCACCAGAATTTTTTTTGATAAAATTTTTAATGGCTGGTAAGATCTAAGTTAACCCAGAGTCTTCTGCCCGCCAATTTTGGTGTGAGTCTGACGCCTTAATCAGTATTTTTCTAGTCGCTTCCTTGAACTTTTTTTATCGTGGACCCCGCGTGCGCATGCGCTTATCATTCCGGGAAACGCGGGGTTTGTGCTAGATTGAAGTTATGGTCTATGCTAGACAAATTACATCACCTTACGGCGGACTAAACATTTTTTAATTGTCTCTTTCACTTAAAAAAACTTACAATCTAGAAAACGATTATATTTAGCCCAAAATGCGGTTACTTCTTCCTCTCTATGCCTCCTCTCCACCGCTTATGCAGCAAAATTAGCCATATTTATGTTGGAAGTATCGAATAGTCAGGTAATTTGCGGTCTCTTTGAGCCCTTCACTTTTTCTATCTAGGTTATATTTAACAAACGGGTAGCAGAGACGCTTCTGCAAGGTAACCATTCGGTTACGTTGATCATGGTACGACCCTATGATAAGAAGAAACCGAAGGTGGACATCGATCCAAGGATTACAGGTATGAGTATATTGTTCATGTGTATTTTGTCTCTCCGCCCACCCTCTCGCTCTCCCCCTCTCTCTCTCGCTCTCTCTTTCTCTCGACTTTTTGTTAGTACACAGACCTTAGCGGCCCGCTTAAAGTGGCTTAACCAAAAATCTTCACCTTTTAGTGAAACACGTCGATGCTCTAGTCGAAGGAATAAAGGCTGACGACTGGGAGAAAGAGCAGGCAAAGATGATCTACCAGGATGTACCGATGTGGGACTCGAGGCAACGAAATATGATGAAGAAGATGTCGATGGCCATGACAGGCTATTGCGAAAGTACGGTTTTTCTGGTACCCTTTCGCGCCGTCCCTTAAAACCTTGCCCTGCTAACCTTGCGTTTTTCAGAGCTCGTCCAAAACAAAGAATTCCTGAAGTGGATGGCTGACGAGAAATTTGATGTCGTCTACACGCACATGTACGACTTTTGTGGCATTGGTTTGAACCACGTGATCGGGGTGAGTCGGCTTTACAGACTGTTCATCCTACTATATACAGGGTGTCCCAAAAAAAACGAACCATCTGGCATTTCGCCGTGTTACATCGAATCGGTCCCAAATTTGGACCAGAGGTGTATCAGACCCTAAATAACAACAATCCTGAATTATAGCTCTGTAGCTACAGTAGTTCTCGAGTTATGGCAAAAACAAACTTTATTTTGTATTTTTCATAGGGTTTTCGTGGAATTAGACCCCTTTAACATTAAATGAAAATGATCTGGAAGGTCTTCTTTACCTTAAGAAATTTTTTCCAGTGTAAAATTAATTAAATAAGCTTCGATTTAAGCGATTTTTACAACGCAAAATTGCCCAGTTCTTAAGCGAAATTAGGGATTCGTAGTCGGAAATCGATGCAAATCGATGCAAAGTCCAAAAAGATAGCCGAAAAAACTGTTTAAAATTGCGTGAAAAATAGTATTTTCGTTATAACTCGAGAACGACTGTAGCTACGGGGCTATAAGTCAGGATTGTTGTTATTTAGGGTCTGATACACCTCAGGTCCAAATTTTGGGCCGATTGGATGTAACACGGCGAAATGCCAGATGGTTCGTTTTTTTGGGACACCCTGTATAAAAAAATAGTGTTTGTGTGTGTGTGTGTGTGTGTGTGCCACTTTGCATCCACTTCCGTCTGTCTGTCCGGAGGATATCTCAAGAAGGGACGGGTATTAGGCTACGTATGATACGTCATTAGGTGCGTAATGGTCGAGGGATGACTGCACACATATCAAATTTTTAAAAATTAACCATTTTCGCTATTAAATTTAGGTTTTTGTAAAAACCTCTTTGTTAGGAATAATTAGCATAGAGCGGAAGTGGGTGGTCGTCTATATAAAGAGGCAGAAACGGTTGTTTTCATTTTTTTGTCTTCTGATTGAATGGAGGACAATTATGTAAAGGGACAAATACATAGTATGGGGTCCGAGACGGGGCCAGGGTTGAAAAGTCGCGAAGCGGCTTTTTAACCCTGGTAAAGCTTTAAAGCAGTAGTTGACCAACAATATTAATTAATGATAATGATTATAACAATAACTATTAGTCAACCGGTTGCCTTTAGGTCAAAGCTTGGGTGTGGCTGAACTCGGGCCAGATGATGGACTGGGTGGCAGACCAGATGGGAGTGCCGATCATTCCTAGCTACGTGCCGCGTAAGTTGTTGCCTTTTGTACGTGGGGCCCACTGTGCTGCAAAAAAAAAATTGAGATTGATTTAGCAATGCTGATGGAATCGCACTCGGCCATGAACTTTTATGAGCGAACGAAGAGTTTTATTGGATTATGGTTGTTCCGGGCAATTTTCCCGAGGTAATGGAACTCTAGGTTTTTTAATGCTAAAGTTCTAGGATGGTCCCGGCTGCCGAGACCGAGGTATTCCGGAAACATATCTCACCGGACTTCCCGGATTTGTATGAGCTGTCGAAGCAGGTGCGTAAAGTCGTGATATATGTTAATTTCATCGCATGAACGCTTAATTATACCTTTTTTCAGTGCCCACTTGTGATGGTGAACTCAAATGAACTCTACGAAATGGCTCGCCCCACTCTTCACAAAATCGTCAACATCGGAGGACTTGGCATGCGATTCGAAGATGCGAAGCCGTTGGAAAAGGTATTAATTATATTCAGCAATATTCTGATCACATACGATATTTAGAACTTCCAAACGATCGTTGACTCTGCCAAGAAAGGAGTTGTCGTTTTCACGTTCGGTTCTGTGACCAGAATGGAGTTGATGCCCGAGGACTGGAAGGTCAGCTTTAGAAAAATTCCTTTTATTTTAATACCTTTTCAAAATGGTAAAATAATAGGGTATCCAATTTAGGCGTCCATGATGGCAGCTTTCGCCCAATTCCCCGACTACCAATTCATTCTCAGATATGAAGGGGAGGATCTGGAGCAGATCCGCCCGAAAAACGTTCACCTTAGCAAGTGGCTGCCTCAATCGGATTTGTTGAGTAGGAAAATTTAAATAGGTTTTTACAGATTTTTAGAGCATCCGAAAACGCGTGGTTTCATCTCGCACGGCGGCTACAACAGTGTGCAGGTAAGGGGAAGACTGGCAACTAACCGAAAAACAAATCATTGACGTTTAAAATATTTTTGATGACATTCAAATATTTTTTAAATTTAAAGAATTTAAATTTAAATACATCAGAAACATATTTTTAATTGTATTTAATCTGCTCCGCAAAATCGAATTACTCCGAAAACACTAAATTACCGTAGCTTATAGCAAATTTCAGGAAGCACTAAATAGCGGCCAACCCATTATGACCATTCCACTCTTTGGAGATCAACCTAGAAATGCCAAGATGGCCCAGCAGCTCGGTTAGTGATTTTTGAATTTTTATCCCTAATGGAAAGCAATTATAACTGAACCTTTGATCAACGTTGAAAATTACAGGTTTTGGCGTTAACGTGCGAAAAACGGGACTTTGTACCGAGACGGTCGTTGCCGCTCTGAAAGAAATGTTGGAAAATGAAAAGTGGGCTTAATTCTACCCTAAAGAATAACTAAAACGCCGATTTGTTCGCTTAATACAACATTTAAGGTATCATCTTTTAACTAATTTTTTTAGATACAACAACGTCGCCAAACGCATCTCCGGGATGGTCAAGAAGAAGCCGATCAAGCCAGAGGAGCTGTTGCTCAAGTGGACCACGTTCCTCGCAGAATTCAAGGTGATTTTAAGCAAAAATATCTACTCTTTACCTCTAGGAATTCGAAAATCTGGTCCCCTACGGTACAAACTTAAACTGGTTCGTCTACCACTCGTTGGACGTCATCTTGTTCCTGTCTACCGTGCTCTTCCTCGTCTTTTTCTTGCTCTACAAATGCGTCCGCTGTACAACACGGAAAGTGAAATCATTAGTGTGCGGAAACGGCTGCTCGAAGACCACCGACAAGAAGAAAAAGAAAGAATAAATATAAATAAATTTCTATTAAATTATGATATCCGGTTGTTTGTACATACAAAAATATGTAAAACCAGGGTTGAAAAGCCGCTTCGCGACTTTTCAACCCTGGCCTCTCTGCGGGGCCCTTTGATACACGGGCACTGGATATTATAATTTGCATTAATATTACGAATTACGTAATGGAAAGGCGCCACAGGAATTACTTGAGCAACCGACTCGGAACCCCGCAAAGCCCAGAATGAGCCGAATTAATAGCCGTATGCAAATCAGTCTATTTCCATATGTTTTTAAATCGCTAAAATAAGGTATAAAACGTCATGTTAGTAAAAATCTGATAAGCGCGCAGTAATCTACGCCCTCGATTACCCCTTACCACTTTAGTTCTGAACCATAAAATCCTCTTCCCTTCGAGTTATGGCTGGAACCCGGGATTTTATGCAAAGTGTCCACACACACACAGAAACTATTTTTTTATATATAGTAGGATACGCGCTACAATACAAGGAATAAGAAAGGATAAATTTTTTTTCTTCGAGACAGCGATACACCTAGAGAACACAAAAACCCTAAAGGTGTTAACAATACCTAGAAGCTGAAAAATAAAGGAGTATCAAAAACTGTCGAAAAAGTGCAAATTCCAATTGGGTAGGGGGCGGGGCTTAGGTTTAGATTTATCTAGATGTTATCTTAGATTTAATACTGCACCTCTACTTTCTCTCCCCTCCGGCCTCTTCCCTTATCAATTCGGAAATTGCGGGGTTTGTGCTGGTCCGAATTTATGGCCTCTGCTAGCCGAATTGTTTTCCTTCTTTTCTCAACTACATTCTGATACTTCCTTCAAGTTAAGGGTTGCCTTCCAGTCCAAAATGCGGTTAATACTACCTCTGCTGTGCCTTCTGTCCACCGCCTATGCGTCGAAATTAGCCATCTTTATGTTGGATCTCTCCAATAGCCAGGTGGGGCTGAAAATTCACGCAAAAAATGCCGATTAGGTTATATTTAACAAACGGGTAGCAGAGACGCTTCTGCAAGGTAACCACTCGGTGACGTTAATTATGGTGCGACCGTTCGACAAGAAGAAGCCGAAGGTTGACATTGATCCCAGGATTACAGGTGATTTTTATTTGTGGTGTTTTTGCTTGAGATAGTATCCATCCCAGGTATCTTTCGGGGGCATACTGACGACTAGCTCGCGCAGGACCTTTAAAAAGCTTTAAAACGATTTTTTTTTTGTTCTAAAGTGTAGCTCTCCGAACGCTAGATAATTAATACATTAATTTAAACAAATTGATTTACCTATTATTTTTTTAGTACACCGCGTGGACGCCATTGTCGATGGAATGAGCATAGAGGAATGGGAGAAAGAACAAGCGCAAATGATCTACCAAGATGTCCCGATTTGGGACTCGAGAATGCGGGACATGATGAAGAAGATGACCATGGTCATGAGTGGATATTGTGAAAGTTGGTTTTTTATGCATGAGCTTGGTTTTTGTCTCTCTCTCTCTCTCTCTCTCTCTCTCTCACCCCTCTCACTATTTCTTTGTTTTCAGAACTTATTGTCAACAAAGACTTCTTGAAATGGATGACCGATGAGAAATTCGACGTTGTCTACACACACATGTACGATTTCTGCGGAATCGGTCTGAACCACGCTGTTGGGGTAAGTCATCTACATTTCTAAGGCACCTTATCCGACATTTTCCAGACTTTAAAACAACAAAAGCATTTGAAAAAGGCATTTTTTTAGGCCAAAGCCTGGGTTTGGCTAAACTCTGGCCAACTTATGGACTGGGTAGCCGACCGGATGGGCGTTCCAATCATTCCTAGCTACGTTCCGCGTAAGTTCGGGCCTTTTCTCGAATTAATAGGCATAAAAATCTCATCTATCACCTCGTTTCAGCTATGATGATGGAGTCGCACTCGGCGATGAACTTTGTCGAACGAACGAAGAGCTTCATCGGCATCTGGTTGTTCAGAACCATTTTCCCGAGGTGTGCCAAAACTCAGTTGAAATATTTTGCAAATTCCAGACTGGTACCAGCATCCGAAACCGAAGTCTTCCGGAAGCATATCTCACCGGATTTCCCGGACCTCTGGGAGTTGTCGAAGGAGGTAAAAACTATAAATTTTTAAAGTTATAAAAATTAGATAAACTATCAGGTTGGAACGAAAGTTCTGTCGCCGAGATTTTGGAAGGCTGGCTAAATTCCTAGATAGCTCCATTCTGGACAGGCGATATGTCATTTTGTAGCTCTCGACCTAAATCGTTGCGGTAGGAGGGTCCTAGGACGCCAAAGTCAAGTAGAGCCGAGATACAGGCCGAAGAAGTTTTTCACAATTTTACCAAAAAGTGTTATTGCAAGTTATCTCTGCATAGAGCAATTTGCATGCGATACCTTTAACACCAATCGATAGCTCGCGAGGAGTAGATATTGATAGATGCTGAGATCATCAAAATTGGACACTGGATGGCCGAGATATGGGCCTCTGAAATTTGGTGCATTCCTTAGAACTTTTCCCGATTTCCCATACATTTTGTCAAAATTGACCCGGCGGGTCCAAAAATAAAGCAGCGATTTTCGGCCTCTGCCTACGAAATGTATCGGAATGTACTAAGAAATGCGCCAAATTTCAGAGGCCCATATCTCGGCCATCCGATGTCCGATTTTGATGATCTCAACATCTATCGATATCTACTCCTCGAGAGCTATCGATTCGCGTAAATGGTATCGCATGCAAATGGCTCTATGCAGAAATAACTTGCAAAAACACTTTTGGTTGATTTTGTGAAATACTTCTAGAGCGTGTATCTCGGCTGTCCTTGGTTTTGACGGTCCAGGACCCACCTCCCAAAACCGTTCAGGCGGAGAGCTACAAAATGACATATTGCATGTTCGTAATGAAACTATCTACGAATTTAGCCAGCCTCCCAAAATCTCGGCGACAGAACTTACGTTCCAACCTGATAAAAAGGACCCGGTTTACAAGCGAAAAACGCTTTCAAATTGCTACGACTAGCAGAGTCATAATTTAAACTTTTTCAATAAATAGCTAACTAAGAAATGTCTATTTTACAGTGTCCCTTGGTAATGGTTAACTCAAATGAACTCTACGAAATGGCCCGCCCTACCCTTCACAAAATCGTCAACATTGGCGGTCTGGGGATGCGATTCGAGGATGCGAAACCGTTGGAAAAGGTATTTGGCAGTTAATTAATACCTCCATCATATTTAGAACTTCCAAATCATCGTCGATTCCGCGAAAAAGGGAGTTGTCGTTTTCACTTTTGGCTCGGTGACCAGGATGGAGCTGATGCCCGAGGACTGGAAGGTAAATTAACGTCGATTTTGTAGTTTATTATACCTATACCTTTATTCTAATTAGGATAACACTGGTTTTTAGGCCTCAATGATGGCCGCATTCTCCCAATTCCCCGACTACCAATTCATTTTGCGGTACGAGGGAGATGATATGGAGAAGTTCCGCCCGAAGAACGTTCACCTGCACAAGTGGCTGCCGCAGTCGGATTTGTTGAGTAAGAAAAATTACCTAGAATTGACTGTATTTTTAGAACACCCCAAGACTCGAGGCTTCATCTCGCACGGAGGCTATAACAGTGTGCAGGTACGAAAAACGCGAAAAAAACCGTCTAAATGACTGGGAATTCAGGAAACTACTCTTAATTGCATTTGATGGGTTTCGTACATTCAACTAATTGGAAAATTAAATTACTGTATGTTATAGCAATTTTTTAGGAAGCCCTCAACAGCGGCCAGCCAATTATGACGATTCCACTTTTCGGAGATCAACCGAAAAATGCCAAGATGGCCCAGCAGCTCGGTGGGTTTTTGAGTTTAAGGCATATTTTATAAATAGTGATGTGGTTTTAAATATTGTACTAGTAATAAAACGGCTAGTCAGTGGTTCAATATCAATTAAATTTTCTAGGGTTTGGCGTGAACGTCCGAAAAACCGGACTCTGCACCGAGACGGTCGTTGCCGCACTCAAGGAATTGTTGGAGAATCAAAAGTGAGTGCAATTTTTCGATAATCTTTCCCTTTTCTCAAAGCATTCGATAATAAAATTTTCCAGGTACAACAACGTGGCCAAGCGCATCTCGGAGATGGTCAAGAAGAAGCCGATCAAGCCAGAGGAGCTCTTGCTCAAGTGGACCACGTTCCTCGCAGAATTCAAGGTAAATTCACGAAACATTTATATTTTTTGCGTAGGAATTCGAAAATCTGGTGCCGTATGGGACCAACTTGAACTGGTTCGTCTACCACTCGTTGGACGTCATCTTGTTCCTGTCGACCGCGCTCTTCCTCGTGTTTTTCTTGCTCTACAAATGTGTCCGCTGTACAACACGAAAAGTGAAGTCTTTGGTGTGCGGAAACGGCTGCTCGAAGACGACAGACAAGAAGAAAAAGAATGAATAAATAGAAATAAATTTTATTAAATTGGAAATTGGTTATTTTACGTAAAAACGCATACAAAACACTCGCCATTAAATAAAGCAAACAGCTTTGTTCAATCCGGGAGTCCTGAATTAACCTTAGAAGCTTTCTAATGTCTAAAAAATAGGCTCTTTGTATCGTAACGTTCAAAGCGAGCTCGCATTAGGAAAGGATCCCGCGGATTGCTTAACGGCTTTGTCCTTCCTCCCCTCGCCACACACCCATGGCTTCTGTGGCGCAATCGGCAGCGCGTTCGGCTGTTAACCGAAAGGTCGGTGGTTCGAACCCACCCAGGAGCGAAACGCTTTGCTTTTTGCTCAAAATCATCGCCACTGGTTTCCATTTTTTTTGCAAATCCATTACATTCCTAACGCCCCTGCATAACAAGCCAGAAACTGGTTCAGCCTGACGATCTTCCAATGAGATCCCATCTCAAGATCTAGTAACTGCTCTTCACTGCCCAGCTTGGTTGCTGTTCTCTATTTGTAAAGCTCTCAAGTCCATTGAATTCCCATGTTTGGCCTATTACCCGCTAATTTGCTACAAAATCTACCGCCCGAAGATGATGGTAAGTCTTTTTTTAGGAGGGCGATTTTTCCTTTTAAGGTGATGCCGAGCCCGATTCAAAAGAGACTTTCTCTACAAACTACAAAATTATGATTGGAATCGGAATCATTGGAATTATAACCTATTTTTGCTGGCTTTTCGGCGGTGCATCAGCCCAGTTTCTTGGCCCATCCGTCAGAGTCCAAGAAGTGTCTTAGCAATCGCTTTACGACATAAGTTGGCTTACTTTAAGCAAAAAAATTCGCAAAGAGCATCACTTTCCTTCATTGGGAATCACAGTTATTGAAAATTTTAGAAATAATGACTGCTCCCCGTCGTTTTACCCGCCGTGGCGCTATATTTTACCCCCCTATTCTATGTGTACTGGATTCGTTAACAATTATTTATTCAGGCTTGCACAACAATTATCAGAAGCCAAATAAATGACAAAACGTTTTTTTTTGGACTTGTGTTGGTTTTTGTTTTGTTTTTGTGTTTCTTGTTTGTTTTGGCCTTTGTTCGTTTTTTGGGTGGCGGGGGCGTGTTGCTTCTCGTTCACCACCGATGTTCAATTGGGCTTGAACCATTCAACCTGAAGCGCTGCGCCTTGACCGCGGTATTGTTTGTTGTCGATATCGTGGAACATCTAAAGAAATATCAGCCAAACAAAAGAAAGTACGTTTTTAGCTGCCTCTGCCGTCTTGAACTCGGCCACACACATCTTGCGGAAGACGGTGACGCTAAAAGTCGTTTGAGCGCTGCGTTAAACTCGAAGATGCCTTTCAACGATTAGGGCCGGATCGTTCATGAAGAGGTAGCGCACGACCTCTTCGTTGGTGGCATCTTTAGGCAAGCCTTTTATGACGAGCTTCGTGCGACTTGGAAGAAGGCCTGAAAAATATTTTTTCACCGGTAACGGTCTAAAGGTCCCGGCCCTAGCTCCCCAGCTACAAGCCCAGTTAATGTATCGATTACCTTAAAATATTTGCCATCCTCGAAATTTTTTGACAAGTTTTTAAAATTTGAAAAATGAATCCGCTATACGACAATTGTTTCAGTGTTCCCCATTCCAGAAGTCTTGCTGTCGCTTTGAAGTACTGTCGGGAACTACCAGAAAAGTGATTTTGTTGCGAAATAGAGCAAAATATTTGGGGAAAACCGATAAATTCACGGGACGAAAACGACTTTTTGAGTGCACGGCGATTACATTCGAATATGTATTCCCGCGATTTTGGACTCAAACGTACTCCTTCTTCGTCTTCTTATTCTACAGCACAAGGGCTGTTTTCGTAACCTTGCGAGTCCTATAAGCCCAAGGCGAGCCGAAATATGAAAACTCAATGGAACTGCAAAAATTAACGAAAGGGGACGCAGACTTCCAATTTTCTAGCAATCTTTTATTAAGGAAAACAATTTTACCATAGGGTTTCGAACATGGCGAAGATTTCGAAATACTCGGCACATTAATATTTGAAATTGAAATACATGGCTGAGGCGTTGGGGGGATAAACCGGACTTGAGCGGTTTCACCTCCCATTCGCAGTTTTAGAACCCAGCAGAAAAGCGCGGGCACTCACTTGAAGCCGGGACGAGTAGATGGCTAGCCTCCAGGGTCGTTCCCGCATAATTTGCTTGGCATCGATCAATGGCCTAACGAAAAAGAGTTCAGATCAACGGGTTTTCCGCCTACCTCTTGGCAAGCGGCTTCAGAGGTGTAGTCGACTATCACTTGGCAATGCCCCGTCCTCTTGTCTAACTTCGGTTTTACCCCTTCGCTGCAAATTTTTGTATCGTCAGAATTTGCGGTTGCAAATGCGGTCATTTAGTTGTGTTTAACAATATGCGTTATCGCAACGTAGAAAACCCACACTCCTTTCTTCACCATGGGGCTCGACCCGAGCAAATGTTTGTAAATGACCTCTGCGGTCCAATCGGCGCTGAGCCCCGTGATACGCAGCTTCTTCTTGTTGGGTATCTGTAAAAACGACTGTTTCCCGTCGCATTCGGCAATTTACGCCGCTACCTGGCGCTCGATGCTGAACTCGCCGTAGCTCATCCGCATTTGATACCTAGAGTCGAAAGGGTAAGGTTTCCCGTTGTAGTGTTCAATAAACTGAAAAATATACAAAGTGGCTCAGTAAAAGGACTGTCCCCCGGAGCATGGCCGTGTTCTATCCGATCGGGCTCAAATAACAGCGATTAGGACCCCAAAAAAAACTATGTGGAGCAGAATTTTCTAAACCAAAGCTTGTAAAAAAAGCAAAGTCATTGTCAAATTATGGCTAATTTTGACAATTTCACTCGGATCATGAACCCGAGCGGCGGTGTTTGATTTGGATAACCTGTAACCCTGCGCAGGGACGTAGCGTAATATCTCCCCGGGGTCCCCCCCGAAATCGGCCGGGGTCCGAGAATTTCATAAGGAGGGACCCTCATGATTTTTATTTTCTCAAAAATTTCGCTGCCTGCGGCGTGATTTTTTCACCTTTTTACGGCTATTTGTAGAGCTATGTAACCTTTTTTCAAAAATCTTTGCCTACGGCGCTGTTTTCTCTTTAATTTTTTGAGTCTTTTGGAAAAATTTATTGGGCCCCCCGAAGGCTACGCCCCTGACCCTGCGGACGTTTGAGCGCTTACCAATTTGGCAGTCACTTCCGATTCGAACGTCAGCAGGCAATTTCCATTATCGTGGTGGTTGATGCTGAATAACCACGTTAGGTAGCGACGCGGCATTGGCTATACTTTTTCAGGCTCTCCCCTTCGGGGGCTTTCAGTCTTTTGAACATCAATTTCCATAAATCATCCTCCTTCTCATTTGGCATCCCGCTAACCAGCACGGTCTTTGGGTTTATCGTTTTCTAAGAAATTTTTAATAGTAAAAATGAAAATGTTCACACTTGTGTTGGGCTTGGCGATTTTTGGGCATGCTTTGGCGATTGGCTTGGTGCTGGTGCCTAGACATATTTACCAGCGTATTTTTTTGCTCGAGGTTCTTACCGCCGGTGGCATCATGGCACTGTACGAGTGCTGTACCGGAACCTGCAGTACCTGCGGCGTCACCTGGAATAGTTTGACATCATGGAGAAAAATCATGCAGTGTGGAAGTCAGATGGCGGCGTACGTAGAGGAAATATGTACGTACCCGGCGGATCATATCATGAGGTCGCAGCATTTGCGCATATTGCGGATCATTGCGCTGCAAAAAATGGTAATTGAAAAGGCTTATCATTTTGTCGATATTTCATTTTGTCGAAAAACTCATTTTGTCCAACTTTCAATTTGTCGAAATTTAATCTTGCGAAGTTTCCATTATTGCCATTGTTACCATTCATTATTTGGCATTTTATAATTTGAGATTTTGACACAGTTATATTGGGACAAATTGATAGCAAACCGATTGAAAATTATTGATTATTCAGATCGAACCCCCTTGTAAATGTTGCCAAGCCAACATTTGCTGCGTTTGCCCTAGGAGATTTCCCAATGCCATCTAAATCAGGGCATGGGAATTTGGCAAAAAAAAAACACAATTTGTGGCGAAAAATACCTACCGGCGAAGGTTCGTGCGCTGGTGGTCGAGACATTGGCCTGGAGGTCACTGCAACAGTCTGCTTATCCTTTTCGCCGTGATACAAATAATTTTTCCTTGCCGAGTAAAATGAATGAAAAACGATTCCCCCCACCCCCCCTAACAAAACCCCCCAAAAATTGAAAAAAACTGAAAGTTGCGTTTAAGAAGCGAAAATTGCCAAAAAACGTTTTTGTTTACGCTTCGTCTCGTGTTCCTGAGTGGTTGCGAGCAGTTTGGACTGCTAGAAATCGCTGTAATTGCCGAAAAACACGAAAAATATATCCCTCCCTCTAATACAACCCCCTCCCCTGAGGTGATTAAAAAAATATAATTCCGGGTTAAATTAGATAACTTTTTTACAATATTTTTCTTAGAAACTCCTGTCGGATCTGAATTTTTATGGGACCACATCGCTGGTCAAAATTTGGGGCCGATCCGATAGAAGACGGCCAAATGACAGGTGGGGGAGGGGTTGGGACTAAACAGTAGTCAACAGAAATAAAAACCCGTCTCCGCTAGGAATTTGAGAAAGCAAATCGATAGCGCTGAAAAAGACAAATGGGTTCACATCCTAAACTCGAAAACCTTCAAAACTTACCAATGCGAAGGGATTCTAGCGAGGATTGTGGCTCGGGTTCGGACGGCAGCCCCTCTTATAGAAGCAATACACTCGCATAAGCAGGTGATAAGAACGCCGGGTCTCGTCTTAATCCGCTTATCACGGTTTACCGCGCGTATTAGCGTCGCATAAGATTTTTGACAAGAACATAAGACATAACTTCATGACCATTTGCAATGGTCATGAGGTTGATGCTGATCTCAGACGGGGGCGTATTTTTTGTATAACACGTGGAGCCAGAAACTCGGAATCCAGTTGCAAAATTTGCACACAGATAGGTTTGTCCATGCTGATCATCAACCCGTCTTCGACATTTGCTAGTGATCTCTAAAACTCGAGATACGCCGCGACTAAAATGATTTTTAGTGAAAATCGTCAAACGTCGACCTCGATTTTTTGATATTGCCGGTCGATGTTGCAAAAATTAATCTCGTCAATGTATGCAAAAAAATTTTCTATTTGGAATGAGCCCTCTAGCTCAAAATCTTCGAAAACTAGAAAAATTGGAAAAATTGGCGATATGGACTCGAACTTTTGTATGGGGATTAGTGAAAAACAGCCTGCTTCAAATAACTGTAAGACGTCATCGTCGACTGCTTGAATAACATATACCATTCGAATGAGAAAAAATGTTTCTTTCAAATAGGCTACTTAAAATGGATTAGAACCTAAAGACAAAAAAAACCAACGGCTTCATGGCAAAACACTTCTCGGGGGCTAAAACTGGCACTAAAACATAAATAAGATCAGTGGCAAATTCGGAGAACGGGTGAAGATCAGCGTGGCCAGGGCCGTAACAAACCCAAATTTCGGGGGGGGGCGACCCCAAAAAATTTTCACTAATATGACTAAAACTACAGCGCGGCAGGCAAAATTTTTGAAAACATAGCGTTTATAACACTAAAACTAGTATTTAAAATAGACAAAAACAGCGCCGCAGGCAAAAAAATTTTTGGAAAAATTAAATCATAAGGGTCCCCCCTTATGAACTTTTCGGCCTTTGGCCGATTTCGGGGGCTCGTACGGGCCTGAGCGTGGCCGACTCTTTATCCGCGCAAAATTTCAGCCAATTGTCAGCCGTGGTTTATTCGGGCTCCCCTAGTTACAGATAATACCCTCCCAAACTCACCACTTGTTCGAACCTTTGTTTTTCATTTTTAAGGATCTTTAATTAAGTGCGTGTATTTAATATGTGTGTAAAGTGTCTATAGCTCTCTAAAAACTCGAATTTGGAAGCGCAATTCGAATATTTGATACCGTATTGCATAAATCAGAGAATCGCCAGCCGAGAATCAAAAATCGACAGAGCAGCCAGCAAGAAAATACATCATTCCGGCCAACCCCAGCTGCTCGTGGTGATGAGGCAAATACTTTTCCCAGTGCTACTCGTTCTAGCCAACGCTCAGTCTTCAGAGGTATCCACCACTCCGGTACCCCTAATTTTTCGATTAGGATGCTAGTGTTTGCGTGACGCCCGGCTGCACGATGATCGCTGCCTATATGGTGGATTTTTGGGACGTTTATTCCTCGCGGTATCTATTGCCTAGCCATCAAATACCTATAAAAAATTTTTATATAGTTTTTACGAAATCTCAAGGTAGAAAACCTTTTTGAAAAAATTGGAATATCTTGCAAAAGCCGAAAAATTGGCCAGGTAAGACGCCAGATAACCCCGCCCCCCACCAGTCGGCACCCAACTGTTGTATCTCGACTCCTTGTTCATCTACGGGTGTGTAAAGTATAACAAATTGTTCGCCTTGTTTTGGCGAGTATTTTGGTATACTTGAGACACCTGTAGATGAACAAGGAGCCGAGATATAACAGTTGGGTGCCACTGGGGGGTTATCTGGAGTTTAGCCATTGGCCATTTTGGGGCAAAAAAAATAAGATCCACGACCCAGAATGGAATTTTTACCGAAGATTAGCGTGAATTTGCACGGAAAGAGACCTGATGCACGAATCCGAAAAACCGCATCGCCACATCGATTCAAATATCACTTACCTTGCAGCTGAACAGCATGGACGAACGGGTCGACCCGTGCGAGGACTTTCACCAGTACGCCTGCGGCAATTTTATGAAAGTGATGTTCTAACTCCTATGAACAATATTTTCCTATTCAGAAGCAACGCTACGATGCCCTCGACGGGGCCGGCGGTTTGATGACGACGCAGATGCTCCGTAGACCTGCGTCGTATCTCCCCCACTACATATTTCAGATCTTGCCCGACTAGACACCACCTCGTCTGCGGCGCGCCGCTTCTGGGAGCACGTCAAGTATTGTGACGGGCAAAAGCCGTACACGCCCGAGTGGGAACCTTAAAAATTTGATCATTTTGCTTCTTTAAGCCATTTGAAGCAGTACATGCAGCGTTTTGGGGCCGTGACTTTGCTTGGGCAACCGCTGCCGGCTGGCCAGGTGCGTTTAAAGGGGTGAAGAGACGAGCCTAAGCTAAGCCAAAGCTCAAGTTACGCCTAAGCCTAAGCCTCAGCCAAGCTTAAGCTAAACCGAGGTCAAGCTTCGGTGCTTTGCAAATAGGCGGGGGGAAAGATTTAGGCGGGGGGGAAATCGAACTTTTTTCCGCCCAAGCCTATATTTTTTTATATAAATAGTGGAAGTGTTTCTAAATTGTTTATAGCTATTCCTAAACATAAAAACTTTACAAAACTGAATTAAAAAATTTAATTTTAGTTCGAAAACTCAATTTTTTCGGCCCAAAAATGACCAATTTTCGACTTTTTCAAGCGTTTCTCTAACTTTTTAAAAGGTTTTTCCGATTCAAATAGGCTTAAATTTTTTAAAATCAATGTGAAAACACGTTATATTTGATTACTATCCCCACCAGGGTCGACAGGAAAAAAGTTGGTTTCCCCCGCCCGCCTAAATCTTTCCCCCCCCCGCCTATTTGAAAAGCACCCAAGCTTCAAACTAAGCCTAAGCTAAGCCTAAGCTAACTCTAAGCTAAGCCTAAGTCAAGCCTAAATTTCGCTTCTAACAGGCGTCGGATCCACTTTGCGCCCCCCCGCGTCCAATACGATTTTCCAGAAACAACCCTCCCTGACCGACCTCGGCCTCCTCACCCAATTCTATGGCACCATGACCGTGAGCCGGCACACCGCATCTGGCCCCTACGTCCACACGTTCCCCATCGGCGTCTTTACAAAGAAGGATACCTACGAGGTGTCTTATCTGATTCTCTAGAAAGGCTCGACGCTTCAGATCTTTTTGGCCTGGCCGTTCTACCAATATCTCTGTAACGGACAGAAGGTTAACATTTGGTTGATGACATCGGATCAGGTGGAAGAATGCATCAATTCGGTGAGCGGTGAAGAGAGAGAGAGAGAGAGAGAGAGAGAGAGGGGGGAGAGAGAGGGAGGGAGAGAGATACAGATATCCCTTCTCTTAGATGTTGGATGGCATCGTGGAACTGAACGCTGCATCCGGCATCGAGAGTCTCGATCAAAAAGCTCGAACGAAGCTCATCGAATTTGCACAGAAATTGAACCCGGTATGGCCACGGGCCCTCTAAATATTTTTCGGCTTTTTTGAGATGCTCCAAAAAATGGTCGATAGCAGCCCGAAGCCGACCGAGCTCACCGTCAAGGAGCTGAAGGCGCATATGCCAAATGTGGGGACAAAAAAAAATTCAATTTTTGAAGAAATCTGGTGGGTTTGCCAACGAGAAGCATCTGCCGCGTTTTTGCGACACGCGCTTCGGAGCATGGAACCTTGAAATTGCCGACAGAGTATTCCGATAATTTTTCTACATTCCAAAAAGCCGGAAAGCTGAAAATCGACAAGTTTCGAAAATTCAAACTCGGTCAGAAGTTTACGAACATTGAATTCAGGAGCAGTCGAGAATTGAATTTGACATCATGAGAAATTGATACAAGGTGTGCCAACCCCCCTTTCCAAAAATAGTCATTTTCGGGTCGCTTCCTGTCAATTTTTGTAATAAAATTGATGACAAATTCCAAAATTGACGTAATTTTCGCCATTCAAAAAATTCCTCTGGGTGGAAAAAGTATCTTCTTCATTTTTGCTAAACATTTCGGGGTCAAAATCCATCAAAACCTAGTGAAATCGATAAAATAAACCTTAATTCCTATATAACTAATTCGGTTTCACATAGTTTTTATAGGTCTCCATGGCTGGTAAAAATTTGGTCCCGATCGGATAGAAAACGACCAAATGCCGAGGGGGGGTCTGGGACACCCTGTGGAGCGCCGCGCGAGAGTATGCGCGAAAGCGCGGTTAGCATGCGGGGTGTCGGCAAAAGCAGCGAGTTCATAAGGATCTTTAGAGTTCATATCAAACCCTCTAGATCTTTAATATTCAGTTTGACTGGGTGAAGTTCCTGCAGTACTACACCGTCGGCCGCCCAAAGTCAAGCGTCACCGATGGCACGACAGTGCAACTCCGCGGCGCGTTGCAGATTTATAAGGAGGTAGAAATTTCGTGATTTCCGGAATTCATCGATTTTGGAGTGTTGATAAAATTCCTACAACTTAGAAATTCAATTGCTATTGGGGGCTTATTTTCAAAATGTCGAAATTCATAATGTCGAAACTCATAATGTCGAAACTCATAATGTCGAAATTTCATAATGTCGAAATTTCATAATGTCGAAATTTCATAATGTCGAAATTTCATAATGTCGAAATTTCATAATGTCAAAATTTCATAATGTCGAAATGTCAGAATGTCGAAATGTCAGAATGTCGAAATTTACATAAGCGAAAATTCCCGGTAGTGTCCCCGAATTCTAGTAAAAAAATGTTGTCGTGAAATAAGATAAAAAATAGAAGGTGGAAAAATTTTTTTTGGCTAGGACTTGGCGGTTTCACCGGTAATTAGCCTATGTAAATTTCGACATTATGAAATTTCGACATTATGACATTTCGACATTATGAAATTTCGACATTATGACATTTCGACATTATGAAATTTCGACATTATGAAATTTCGACATTATGAATTTCGACATTATGAGTTTCGACATTATGATTTTCGACATTATGATACCAATTCGCTATTGGGCTACTGGCTGGGGCCTATCTCTGTTTTTTTAGTGTTTTTAGTGGATTTTCGCGGCTCGCCGATGTTAGAATTGTATTATTGTAAAATTTTGTTTTTCGACCCTCCCTCTCCCACCGGTAACAGTCCAATACCGTTTTGGTTATTGAAATGCGACCATGGAAATTCCAGTTTTTCGACGTGCTCGACGCCGCCGAGCCGCTGGTCGTCGCCGACTTCGTGGTGCTGCAGTGGCTGATCCGCGTCCTCGTCAGCCCAGATCGTGATGACCCATGCGTGAACACGGTGGGTACCTGCATTCAAATTTTCGAAGCGTTAGAACGTTAGAACTTCACGAACGTTTGCGTGCTCACTCAATTCAGGCGATCCAAAACTTTGACAAGCTCTTCGAGCACTACCTGGCCACGGATCTGCGCAGTGCTGCGGATATGAAAGGGGCTAAGGTTCGGGTTTTTTGGTTTATATTTCTAAAAACCAAAGTTAAAAGATTGACTCAACTTTCTTGAAAATTGAACATTTTTTAAAAGAGGTCGAAATTTCATCATTTTGTTGTTAAAACAAATTGTTTTACGGCCTGAAGCGACTTTTCGAACGCCGCCTAGATCGGGAATCCGCGGCAATACCGTTAAAAACGTAAATATCGAATTTTTTTTTGTTTCAGAAGTTGATCGGCCCGGTCGTCGCCGCCTTCCACGAGATTCTCGACGAGAACACCTGGATCGAGGCGGACACCCGAAAATATATGAAGGCCAGGGTTTGGAGGATGTGTCCAGGAAGCAAAACTTATTTTTTTTTAGCTCGACGGGATTCGGATCGATATTGGCTACAACAGCAACGCGCTCGACACGCGGATGGCCGACGCGTTGGCCGAGGAGGTGCAGGAGTTCAGGAAAGCTAGAATCCTTCCATTTAGCTTCCCACTCCCACCGGCCCGTATAATACCGTCGCGCAGTTGATGCTTGGTGAGAAGGCCCGGTGGCTGGCTGCCGGCTATTTGGTGAGAGAGAGAGAGAGAGAGAGAGAGAGAGAGAGAGAGAGAGAGAAGGAGAGAGAGAGAGAGGGAGAGAGAGAAAGAGAGAGACAGAGATACCGAGAGGGAAAGAGAGTGAGGGAGCGAGAAAGAACGAAATCTTAGGAATCCTACGATGAAATCTCAGCCCTAGCCGGTACTCTTGCAAAGGTCGGGGCCACCAACCGCGAGAACTACATTGTCGGCAAGTCAACCTTACATTTTTTCACCTACCACCCTAGTCATCCCGCCCGGCATCGTCACAGTGCCCATGTACTCGTCGCTGCCCGGTTTCCCGTTGGAGGTCAACTACGGGGGCCTGGGGATGGTCTTGGCGCACGAGCTGACGCACAGCTTCGACGAGATAAGTGGGTTCTGCATGGTTAATGCCTCTCGATGGTACACCTTGAAAATTGGGGTTTCCGACTGCAATCACCCCTTTACCTAGGCGACCTCCCGGCCGGCAACCCGGGCAACGACAGCGACGAGTTCACCGCCAAGCTCGGTTGCCTCATCGAACAATTTGGCCATTACGAGCACACTAATGAATACCTGAACTTAACCATTGCTGTGGGGCACAAAACAACCCTAGCACTAAATGAATGTAAATTCAGAACAACGGCACCCTCCAACAGACGGAGATCATCGCCGACAGCAACGGGATTCGCGCCGCGTTCAGGGTATTTTTTTTAGCTTGCTTTGGCAGGCGTTTTTGAACCTGATTTGAATATCTTTAGGCCTATCGAAAGGAGCGGAACCGGCTTTACGGGAAAAACCCGCCGAAGTTGCCCGGCTTCCAGCACTTGACGAATGATCAGCTGTTTTTTGTGGGGATGGCTCAGGTAATTTTAAAGGGGTTCAACCGGCATTAACTCACTTGCGCTTAAGCCTGTACTTAAGCCCAAGCTTAGGCCTAAGTCGAAGCAATTTTTGCAAACCAAAATCCTAAAAAACTCCATATTTTTACAGCCATGGTGCGGCGCACGCGACGAAATTATCAGCGACGCCGACGGAGTCCTGAAAGAGTAAGCGTTATAAACCTCGACCAAACTACAGTACTCTTTACACTATACATGGGTCGACGCTTGCATGCGCCGCATAAGCGTGGCCGGCCACGCTCTTCCGGAGCGTGGAGAGCCACGCTGGCGCGCGTGCCTCTTAATAAACCACGCCGAAATGAGCGTGGCCCGCCACGCTCCGGAAACGCTTATGCAAAGCTTCTAAAAATGCAAAATCAAAGTTTTCCAAGGGACATGAAAGCAAAAATCGATCCGTTTTCGAGAATTTAATTAACAAGAAGTTGAATGACGATCTATCTTGTCTATTTATCAAAATTTAAAGATGACCCTTATAGTTATGTATCGGTAATTCATTTTTTGCAAATCGAAATCATAAATATATGCCCTTTAAATTTTTGATTTGCATCTGGAGTTAAATCGCGCGCGTGAAAAAGCACGCATAAAGCGCCGCATAAGCGTGGTCCACTACGCCATGGAAGAGCGTGGCCAGCCACGCTTATGCGGCGCATGCAAGCGTCGACCCATGTATACTTTACACCGTATCCCCAATCTTTTAGCGTGCATCCCCACGCTGAACTCCGCGTCAAGGAGGGCCTCCGCCACCTCGAGGAGTTCGGCCAAGCGTTCAAGTGCCCGGTCGGTGGTTTTGAAATAATTTTTATTCTTGTTTGCTTTTCAGCGCGACTCGCCGATGAACCCGGCGAAGAAGTGCCGCGTCCTGCGCATCATCAGGAAGCATTGAATGATCGAGAAACCACAGAGTTCCCAGCAAGCGATGACCCGTGTTTCTGGCTGCATAACGCCCGCCTTTGTGTTTTCTATATGGTCCAATTGATCAGATAAAGTCGTGCTATCTCATCGTGTTTTTCTGTTTGTTATAGATTTTGTTATATTGAATGATATTGAGGTGCTTTGGCAGGATTTCATACACTCAGTTATTGCACAACCAAAAAGGAACAGGCAAAAAAATCTGATGCATCAGAAAAATAATCCCAAAAACGTTACCCTCTTGCGCTTGATGGACAAGGAAGCTGTTGAACACACACATAGGCTGGGAAATTACAAGTGCTGTTTTGATGGGTATCGATAGCGTAAGGTGGTCACGGATGCCGGGAACGCCCATTTTTGGGCCGCAAGAAGCCCAAAACAGCACAAATTCAACAAGGTATCGAGACGGGTTAAGCGCGCGTAAGGCTATAGGTTCCCCTTGTTACGGTCAAAACAGCGAAATTAAAACCACAAGCCATAGTTCACTAAACAAATTCAAGCAAGATGAATAATGATGGCGCGTTGAACAAAATAGGTTAAGGAAAATAAGAACAGGTGGTGGGAAGGCGGGTAAAACTGCCACGAACATCGAGATTAAAGAAATAAAAGAACAAACAAGATTAGCAAAAGCGGTTAAACACTAAAAAGAACTCGACACGGTATTGGTGGTCGCAGGGGGCTGAAGTACAGCTGATCAAAACAATAACAGATATAGAACAGATTTTTCGCCACCTTCTTCGGCTTCACAAGTTGAGATGGGTAACGTCGGCGGTTGAATGTCTTGACTGTGGAGTGTAGGAATGTGGAATCTTGCAGCGGGCGTAGCAGCCTGCAATTTTGAGGATTTAGTTATCTATCGAAAGTCGATGTTATCTATTGAGAGCCTGCAATTTTGAGGATTTAGTTATCTATCGAAAGTCGGAAGGGCGAGAAAACAAGCACTTTCGCTTTTCAATATAGGCCTTTTGTTTCACGAATTTTAGGGCCAAAACCACAAAAGCTGTCGATTTTATGAAGTTTTATGAATCATGTTAATTGCTTGCGAGGGTTAACAGAACCACGCTGATTTTACGCTCTTTTAAGAAAGCGTTTTATATCGAGCGCGGGCTACAACATTGTAAAAAATTAAAAGCGGAATTTTAGCGCGGTTTCGGGGCGGGCGTCAACTTTCTTGGGTTTTGTGAACTACGTCGGCACTTACGTCAGCAGTAAATGTGTCATGTTGCAGGCTGTTCTGTCCGGTCATCGCGATGCAGATGACATCAACTGGTGGAAAGGCGCAAATGCATCTAGAACCGAGTTTTTTATACATATGCTATCGTAACAATTTACCTTAACTATGTCGTTGTTTTCTCCGGAGACTAGGTTTGATTTGTCGATGTCCGGGAAATAGTTCTCGATTTTGGTTTAACCTGAACAACCTTGAATTACCATGCTTGTTTCTTTCGACTTACATCCGCTAGCGTGCAGAGGCTGGTAACTCAACATTAAGATGACTGGTGATTGTTGAAAAACGGGCTTCGGTGACGCTTTGCCAGTCTGCAAGGAAAAAAAAATCGATTACACCAAGCCACGAAAGCTACCTGGTGATAGTGAACTCCGCAATCCTTGATAGGCGGCAACATACCTAACAAAACCGTAGGCACGGAATTTTATGAATTATTGATTTCGTATTAGCAAATAGTTATTTTTTTTCTTTGGAAGTAATAGTCGGTAAGCAATGTAATAAAAAAGGTTAGGAGTATAGTAGTAGTGGAATGTAATACATAAAAGGTTCTCAATAAATAAATCGGGAAGATGACTCAAGGCCTCATTCCGATCGAATAACCCGGTGCATCTCACAGTATCTCCCAAGTATTTCGGAACGGACGAGGATAGTATTCACCGGGTTCTTCTTCTTAATTTGTTTTTCCAGCCGATCGATCATCGACTCAAAGTCCTTATCGGCTTCGTGCAGTTTTTTCTTGATTTCTTCCATGTTTTCTTTGTAGTAGCCGGTAGCTGGTAGCTCAACGACTCTTTTAATGCGTTTGTAGCGGTGGAACGCTACGAGCACATTAGTGCAAGTTGCAGTGTAGGCGGCCCAATGCAGGAAACATTCCTCAGCCATAAATAAGTCATTTCTTGTCTTTAGCTCTATAAGTTTCTTGACCTTTCCCTTGTCGCAATGGTGGCCATCTCCCTGGATTGAGAAGTAGCATCGGTAGCCGGACTTGTAGGTAATTCGAACTATATAGAATTGTAATGAGTTCGGGTCGAATCTCTGATTCATAAGGCCTGCTGCCTTCTGCTCGAATGCCTTCCCGCAAGCCAGCTGTTGGATCATATCGTTGCCTTTGCGTTCTGGATGGGGGTCTTTGCAGCTGACGACGATGGTCTTGCCATCATTGCACAACTCGAATTTCATCGCAAAGTTTTTCTTCGAGCCCTGTAGTCGTCGCAAGCGCCAGTTCCGCCATACGGCAAAGTCACGAATGCTCGCATATTCGTACTCGACAAGCTGGGCAGGGGTTAGTAAACGCAAATAGGCGGCTATGTGGTCCTCCATCCGCACCTCCTTGGTAATGGTTGCGCCCGCAGGGTCGGGGACTAAATACTTCCCGCGTAATTCCTTGTTTAGTTCGGGACAACTGGGAATATTGCTCGTAGTTGGCAGATCAATAACTTTCACATAAGCAGGATCTTGACGTTTCTCGTCCTGACAGACAAGGTATGTAGCAATAATTTCAAAGGTCGCCATTCTAAATGAGTTCAGGCGGGTAGCGCTGGGCCAGGGGCACCTTATCACTTTTGTGATTCACAGCACCTTGCGAAGCTGTTTCGCAAGTAATTCAGAGTAGAGGAATGGGTATTGATTTGAGGCCGAGTACGCCCGATAGGTGTGCCTTGTCTAGCGGAATGTCCAAAGCGGATGACACAAGACAAGACAAGAGGCCGTCAGAGCCGGGCCATCTACCCTCAAAGTGTGAAAATAAACCGGGGATGTAGGTTTAACTTTAATCTGTACTCAATAACCAGTAACGCTTCGATACAAGCACACATCAATATTACCAGGAGTAATCGTGGATTTGTGAGAGAATTTGCGCCATTATTGCGGAGTAATTATAACAAAACAGTTGCCCAATATCACCTTCAGCTTATTTCAGCCCCGTCGCTGGCCCTGATAACAGCAACCCGCTGTTGTTAGACGGTGCACTAAATGGCTTTGAATTCTTCACGCTTCACGCGAATCATGGACGAAAATTAGCATAAAACTTGCAATTAAGGCAACTCAATCTAGCTAAGATTTAAATCTCGAGAATTTGGACAAAATGAACTCGTTCCAAAAAAAGCTGCAGTTTCATAACTGAAAATGCGGCTGCTCCAACTCGCTTCTTTGTTTTTGTTTTCCATTGGTTGGTTGAGAAGTTTTATCGAGCGATTACTCCGCAATAATAGGAATTACGTACGCCGTCGAGTCGGATTGGCCTACGTCAGATATATGGGCTACGGTAGAAAAAGCTGACATCACCAGGGATCACCATTTTCAGACTGACGGCGTCTGCACGACGAAAGGATGCGGCGAGGCTGCGGCTGGCGTTGTGGGGAAAATTCAGACATTCAAAAATTGCGCTTGGTTTTAGCTCGAGGCAATCGACCAGCAGCTGGACCCGTGCAAGGATTTTCACGAGTTCGCCTGCGGATCGTTGAATCGGGTACAAGAAAAGATTTCTACCTTATTTTCATATTTTTCAGAAGGCCAAATGGTCGAGCAAAATCCTCGATATGCAGAAGACGCTGTTGAATCAGTTGGATGGTGAGTTGGTTCCGATCAGCGTCAGCAATAAGGTGAATTGCAGCGCTTTTGCGGGCCGACACGTCGGGGCGGCCGGTAATCGAGAAGGCGCGAAAGTTCCGGAAGGTCTGCAAAAACTACGGCACAGATGATCCTTTTTTGGCGTAGGTTTCTCTAGCTTTTTCACCCACTCTCTCTCTCTTCCTCTCTCTCTCTCTAGCTCTCTCTCTCTTTCTCTCTCGCTTGCGCACTCTCTCTCTAATCCTTAGCGAGCATTTCAGCGATATCCCGATCTACGCGCGCAAGTTTGGTGCCGTCCCCCTGATCAAGCAGAAACTGCAACCCGGCCAGGTGCACTCATGACAAATCTTGATCATCTCCTGCTTCCAGAAGCAGCCCTCCCTCACCGACCTCAGCCTCCTCACGTCGATGAGCATCGGCCTCAGTGACCCAAGCGACCTCTTCCAGGAACCCGGCTACTTCGTCTATGCGATCGAGGTGTTCCCCCTCATCCAGGCAGGACGCCTTTGACTCTGGAACCCTAAAAATTTCAGATTTCGATCCCGAGCCCGTTTCGGATGTTTTTCCAAACGAATCTTGGGGTAATCGACCTTTCAGCTGACGACTACACAGCACTTATGGCTGAGGTTCGTTTGTCTTGCTACAGGACTCCCACCGCTAAGACCACGGTACCTGGAATTCGGAGCTAGGTGTAACTGGCGCTTGAAGGTCGATTCTCCACTTTACTCTTCTAGGGAGTCCGTCTTCTTCTGAAAGCCTTCCCCCACCTCGACCTCGACGAGCTCTACGACGGCCCAACGTTCATGGACGTTTCCCAATTCTACGTGACCGTCCAGAACGTGGGACCTAGCCAGGGGTTGAACATCTCGATTCAGTTCCATGTCCGTGAAACGCAGCCCAACCCACCGATCACCACGCTCACCATCGCCCAGCTTCAGGAGCTCGCGCCTGAGGTAGATGAATTGGACCAAGTCACTGATTTGAATTATGACTTGTAGTTTGAATGGCTGAAGTTCATCGGGAATCACGTCTACGGCGAGCGCAAAAGAGAGCTGGGCCCAGAGACCAGGGTGAACTTGTTGGGGTCGACGGCGATGTTTGAGAGGGTGCGTGGAAATTTACTAGGGTGAGGGAGTGTGAGAGCGATAGAGGGAGATAGAGAGCGAGAGATAGAGAGCGAGAGAGAGAGAGCAAGAGAGAAGTGAGAGAGAAAGAGAGAGCGAGAGAGAGTGAGAGAGAGCGGAAAAGAGGGAAGGAGAAAGAGAGACATTAAGACACAGATATTTTAAGTATTCCGCAATGATCCGCAGCGCGTCGGACATAATGCCAGACGTATCGGTGTTCGCCTGGACTTCGTGGCTCGGCCGCAAGGCCATCTACAAGCACCTGGAGCTGACCTGTAACGACATGGTGTGTCTGGCAGCTGACCCGCGAGTATCTTTTTTTCTAGTGGGAATCTGCCTTCTTCAAGCTCAACGAGCACCTCCTCGTCCAGTACCTTCGAGCCGTCGGGGATAAGCCGCTAGTTGAGGTTTGGCCGCACCATTCCCAGAACTTCAAAATTTTCAGGCGATTGGTGTGAAAGTGCGGGCCGCCTTCAGTGAGGTTTTCGATGAAAATACCTGGATTGAGGAGAGCACGAGGGATTGGCTGAAGAAGAAAGTAGGGAACCTAAGGAAAATTTAAAGTTTCTTGAAGCTGGCCAAACTGCCGGCCCACATCGGCTACAACTACAACGCCCTTGACTCGGAGCTGGCCAATGACCTTGGCGAACTGGTGGGACATTTCCCAAAACTGATCAATGCGCTTATTTTTAGCTAGCCATCCCCGACGATATGTCTCCCATCGAGCAGATGATGATCGTCGGCAGGGCCGCCTGGATCAAGATGCAATTTGTAACAGTTTTCAGCAATTTAGAGTTCTTGCTCTGTTTTTAGGATAAGGAGGAGAACGTTAGCAAGGTGGCCCTCGTCAACGCGTACAATGCGGACGGGGAGCGGATTGGTAGCTTTTTCAGCCCCGACCTGTCTCTCTCTCTCTCTCTCACTCTCTCTCTCCCCCTCGTTCTCTCACTTCTGATGCTTCAGGAATCCCGATGGGTATCATCTCCAAGCCGTTCTTCAATCGCCACTGGCCGTTGGAGACGCACTATGCCGGTATCGGCTACGTGATCGGGCATGAATTTACGCACACCTACGACCTCTGGGGTAAGAACTCTATCGAAGAGAGAGAGAGAGCGAGAGAGAGAGAGCGAGAGAGAGAGCGAGAGAGAGAGAGCGAGAGAGAGAGAGTGAGAGAGAACCACAGACCTTCCATGTTTCTAGAAGATCGAGGCCTGCCCGCCGGCAACCCAGGCAACGACACCGACGAGTTCAAGGCGCGACAACAGTGCTTGATCGATGAATTCGGCAAGATCGTCCACCACAACGAGTTCTACAACATCACCGTCAAGGTTGAGCCATTTTTCCCTAGTTTGATCAACTGCATAGGGCAACGGCAACATCCAGAAACAGGAGACGATCTCGGACAACAACGGCATTCGCACTTCGTTCAGGGTAGGTGTCGAACTCGCTGAAAAATGGATTCTTCAGGCCTATCGCAAAGAGCGCACCCGCCTCTTCGGCGCCGACCCTCCGAAATGGCCCGGTCTTCAGAAGTACACCAACGACCAGCTGTTCTTCATTTCTCTGGCTCAGGTCTGTTAGACTTCTTGATGTCGCTGGAATTGATAAATTACAAGCTGTAGCGGTACTGGGCTGTTAGCGGGGGAAGCCGTCTGGCTTGTGCCTCCCTGTCGACTTCTTAGCCATATAGCAGTTTCTTTATTTTTTTCGTGGGTTTTCCTTACGAAAATACCTCAAAACGTTTGGGAATCTCAAAAATTGTTGAGATGTCGGATCAAAAAAGTGATTTCCGAACATTTTATCAACTCTATTTAATGTAATTATACAAAAAATTTCGTAAGAAGTAGGATACAAGACACAAAGGCCCAGTACCACTACATCTTTCTCGTATGAGCTACATATGAAATTCGACCATTACAGGGCTGGTGCGGCCGCATCCGAGCTGTGGAATTCCGGAGCGACAACTGGCAGGCACAGTAAGACCGGCTTTACGTTTCGCAAGAGCGCTTTTCAGAAAACATCCCCCGGGCCGTATCCGCATCAACGAGGCGATGAAGAATTTCGAGCACTTTGGCGCGGCGTTTAAATGTCCGGTGGGTTTCGAAAGGTTGATAATCTACCGCATCATCTTTCGGAGTTTTTAACTTCAAAACATCAGTTTTAGCTTGACTCGCCGATGAACCCGAAGGACAAGTGCCGCGTGTGGCGCCGTATCAAGAGGCACTAGTGGACCGGAGGAGCGAACGTCTTCGAATTGATGCCCTGCCGACACCAACCAACCTCTCTTCGGAATGCCCTAAATTCTGACCCGTCCCTGTCCAATGTAATCCTCTCCCCAATTCCGTATATGTATTTCCCGAACGATATCTGTAGTTTTCTGTGTATTGTTGGCTGGAATAAATCGTGTTGAGGACTTCTGACGACTGCACCTGTGACTGTGTCTTTTCTAGGCGGTTCTGCATGCAAATTCACTGCACGGCTGAGCTGTCGAAAAGTTTATTTTGCGGGGCTTTATCAATATCAAACAATTGGACGTTGGAGGAGAAAAAGTAGCGATTCCCTTTGGATAAGGCAAAAGGGGTTAGAATGCAGTTTCCCCCCAGCCGGCACCCAACTTTTGTATCTCGGCTCACTGTTCATCTACCGGTGTGTAACGTTACACACCTGTAGATCAACAGGGAGCAGGGATACGATAGGTAGGGGTCGGCTGGGGCGGGGGTAAACTGCACTTAATCGGCAAAAGAAACCCCAGTTCTGCTAGGTTATTTTCAAACCTTTTGACATTGCGAGGTATTTATAATTTGTGATTGGCATCCACGAATTTCTAAATGCACGAATGAGATACGCCTCATCCTCATCTTTCGGGTTAACGGCTTTTCAAGGCCAACATGTGGCTGCTCAGTTTTGCGAGCCTGTTCTTGCTCTGTATATGTACGTTTATAACTACGTTTTCTTAACGAGAAAATCAATAGGTGCAACCAGCGCTACAGAACCGGGATGGCCGAACGTTGATTTGTGGAAGACGGTAGATAATCAAATCTCAAGCTACATCAAAAACACTTTTAGACTGACGACGTCTGCACGACGAAGGGATGCGCTCGGGCTGCCGCTGGCGTTGTAGCTGCTCAAATCTAAAACTTTTTAATGCGTTCAGCTCGAATCGATGGATCAACAGCTCGACCCGTGCGAGGACTTCCACGAGTTCGCCTGCGGAGGGTATAATAAGGTACGTCGTAACGGCACTACATCATTTTCTGCCCTCAGAGGTCCCGATGGTTTAGCAGGAATTTGAATTTGTGGAGCACAGTGCAGGACCAGTTGAGCAGTGAGTTTTGTAGAATTTGTGGGTTTTTAAAGGGGTGGGTAAGGTAGGATCCTGGCCATTGTTGAGTAGCGGTTTTTAGACGATACGCGACGCGCTCCTTGTCTTGAGTAATGGATTCCGAACTATTGACACGTTGCGTGTCGCCGCGTTGAAAATCTTTAAATTGTTAGTAATGCCTTACCCGCCATTAAATTTTTTTAGCATTAAAAATAAGCTTTTGTAGCGCTACTACGGAACGATAAATCGGATCAGCTTGCGGTGCGGAGCGCCCAGAAATTCCAGGCTCTCTGCCAAGAATATAAAACAAAGCAGGCATTCCTCGAGTAAGGTTTTACTGCTCTCTCTCTCTCGCTCTCTCTCTCTTTCTCTCTCTCTCGCTCTGCCTCTCGCTCTGTCTCTCGCTCTCTCTAGTAAGCTTCTACAGAGACATCCCCAACTACGCGCTCAAGTTTGGCGCCGTCCCGCTCATCAACCAAGAGCTGAAGCCAGGAATGGTCAGCCTCATTTTTCCAACAATTCTTTTTTTTTCAGAAACAACCAACGCTGACCGAGCTAAGCCTGATGACATCGCTGCATTTTGACGTGATCGACCTGAGCGTCATCTTCGAATCGATGGGCGATTTCATCTACGGGATAAGGGTCGCCGCGATCCCGACGGTAGGAAGGCCTGGAGCCGCCTACTTCTGAGTTCCTTTTCAGATTTCGATCCCGAGCCCGTTTCGGATGTTCTTCCGGCCGAACATGATGATGGCTTCCATGGACGATGACTGGTTTGACTGGATTTTCAATAAGGTTGGTCAGAAAATCCAGAACGTGCACGACAGTGTGTTTAGACCGTCAATCACTTCAAGTTGGTCTACCCGGAATTCAGCAAGGCCGCGATTTCTGGAAATCCGACTCTCCGGGGAATACGAAAATTTTATTTGGAAATGAAGAAGGTGGGTTTGGAAAGTAGAATTCAAGCTGCCTATTGCGAGGCGCGCGGTTGCGTGGGTGCCTGCAGTGGCACGGAACGCAGCCGGAACGCAGACGGGTAGAAGAACCACTATGTGGAGAAATACCCACCGGTTACTGTCATTTTTCAAAATCATGGTTTAGTTCCTGGTCGAGGAAACACATCCAATCCCTATCACCACGCTCACCGTCGAACAGCTCCAGGAATTGGCCCCGGAGGTAGGTGCCCAATTCGATGCCTAGTTGCCGGAATTTTAGTTCGATTGGCTGCAATTCATCGGCCATTACATGTTCGGGGAGCAGAAGAGGAAACTGGGTCCAAAGACTAGGGTCAACCTCCTTGGATCGACAAGGATGTTCGAGCGGGTGGGTGGGTGAGAGAAAGAGAGAGCGCGAGAGAGAGAGAGAGAGAGAGAGCGTGAAAGAGCATACAGAAAGAGAGAGCGAGATAGAGAGAGAGTGAGAGAGAGAGAGGGCGAGAGAGCGGGAGATATAAGGCCACTGTGGGAAAAAGCAAACGATTTCGTGTTGGAGAAATAGCGTCAGAATCATCGATTTCAGTATTCCGAGCTAATCCGCCACTCGGAAAAGTTGATGCCCGATCTGGCGTTGTACACGTGGAATGCGTGGCTGGTCGAGATGGTGCTCAACCGCTACGTCAATGCGAGCTGCAATCAGGCGGTAAGCAAAATGCCCCATACGAGGGTCTTCCTAGTGGCAACTAGCGTTCCCCAAACTCGCCGAGCACTACCTCATCACGCATCTACGAGACATTGCCAATAAACAGAAGGTTCAGGTTGGCGCTACTGAAATTTGGCCTAGTCATGAATCTGTTCAGTCGATCGTTGAAAAAGTTCGCGAGGCTTTTGTGGAAGTTTTCGATGAGAATACATGGATCGAGCCGAGCACGAGGGATTGGCTGAAGAAGAAGGTATCGTCTGGCATTGATATTCGAGTCTTCATTGTTTTAGTTGACTCGAATCGGCGCCCGCATCGGCTACAACGATAACGCGCTCGACTTGAGGCTGGCCAACGAACTAGCCGAGATGGTGGGTCGACTGCAATGTACAACCAAATCAGATTCTCATTTTTAGCTAGTGATCCCAGATGAGATGTCCCCCATCGAGCAGGTGATGATCATCGGCCGTGCGTCTTGGATGTACAGCAAAATGGTAGGCTGTTCTGAAAAAAACCCTCTTCAAGGCGATCTGTAACTCTTAGGATATCGGTGACAGGATCGACGACGTGACCATGGTCAACGCCTACAACTTGGACGGCGACCATATTGGTTGGTTTTTGGGGCTTATTTAACCTCAGCTCAGCAGCTTCCTTCATCTTCTACACTGCCAAATTTCCAGCCATCCCAATGGCCCTCATCCGGCCTCCCTTCTTTGCTTCTGACGCACCACTCGAGGTCCACTACGGCGGCGTCGGCTTCGTCATCGGCCACGAGTTTACCCATACCTACGATGGATGGCGTAGGGTCTGGCTCAAAACGCAGGTTTGGCCGATTTAGACGAGCGGGGCTTGCCGCGCGGAAACCCGGGAAACGACACCGATGAGTTCTACGAGAAACAACAATGTCTGATCGATGAATTTGGGAACGTCGAGCATCATAGCGAGTTCTACAACGTGACCGTCGTGGTATTGATTGAGACGCAACAAGCATAAACTTTATTACGGGTTTTTCATAGTGTTTTCGTGGGAATCGGATCCCTAAATATTAAGTTAAAATGATGAAGCTACTAAAAGTTTTTCTTAGCAAAAATTTCCACAAGAATTGAAGCGCTTTTTTCAACGAAAAATCATCCAATACGCTAGCTTTGCTAACGTTCATCTGCAGGGCGACGGCGACACCCAGAAGCGAGAGACCATTGCCGACAACAACGGCGTGCGCACGGCGTTCAGGGTTTGAGCTTCAGTTGATGATCAAGCTCACTCTCTGCTAGGCCTACCGTAAAGAACGTCTCCGCCTCTTTGGCAACAACCCCCCGAAGTGGCCGGGATTGCAGAAGTACACAAATGATCAGATGTTCTTTATTGCTCTTGCTCAGGTATGTTGAACTTCTTGGTGTCGCTTAAACTAGAGTTTCTAGCTCCCAATAGCCCCACGCCCCAATTGGTCCTTTTTCAAATGAGGAAAGCCAAGCGGATGTGTCCGAATCCCTCCTCCGCTAACAAACCAGCACCCAAAAAACCACCTTCTAAGGTTGGTGTGGCCGCGTGCCCGATGTCAAATCGGAGGACGACCACTGGCAAGCCGGGTAATTCTAAGTTACCTATAGACATTTGAATTTCAGCCCCCACCCACCCGGCCGTATCCGCCTCAACGAGAACATGAAGAATTTCGAGCACTTTGGGCCTGCGTTCAAGTGCCCGGTAGGTTCCGAATGATCCGGTGAAAATGAATGCCGGGACAACTTTTCTGGTTAAAAATCCTCCGACTATCTAAAACAGCGTTATCAAGGCCTAAAGGAAATTTTTAGCTGAACTCGCCGATGAACCCGGAGCACAAGTGCCGCGTGTGGCGTCGCATCAAGAAGCACTAGAATATCGACTAGCTCGAACGGCTTCCACCGTCAGCCCAGAGTCATGCGATAGATACCTTGATTACAGAGACTGTGATCGTCGAAATTTATGCGTTTTCGTGTCTAATAAATTGTTTGAAAATACGTTTTATCGCTTAAAGGGATGCCGAGGGCATAGTCAATCGGTTACGCGCTGGAAAGAAATTGTCTCTGCGTCTCTCCCCAGGGCGCGCTCTCTGCCCTGTTGGCTACTTGCCAATTTGTTGATGGGGGGGGGGGGGATCGACACATGCCGTCGGCAGCCCTTTAAAAGCAAAAACTTATTGATTGATCTATTTTCGGTTGAATTCACATTTTCTCGTATTCCCTCAGAATTCCGAAATTTGCATTTTCCTGACGCTTGAATAGAAAGAAATTGCGGCAACCATAAAAAAATCCAATTATTCTGCTAACCACCATGTGGTTGCTTCGCTTGGGCGCCCTGCTTATGCTTTCTATCGGTAATTCAAATCGACCGGTTTATTCAAATTTCTAAAATAGGCACCTCGCTTGCCGTAGAGCCGGGATGGCCTACGGCTGAGATATGGAATACGGTAGTTTATTCGCAAAATCGAAAGCTGCGATGTTTTTTTAGACAGACGGTGTTTGCCTGACGAAGGGATGTACCGAAGCGGCCAAAGGCATGGTAGGGAACATGGACCCCCCAGCCGGAGCCCAACTTGTGTATCTCGGTTCTCTGTGCATCTACAGCTGTGTAAAGTATACCAAAATGCTTGGTTTGCTCTGGCGAGTACTGTGGTATGCTTTAAACACCTGTAGATGAACATTGAGCCCAGATACTACGGTAGGTGGGGTCGGCTGGGGGAGGGTGGTCAACTGCATTTAAGCCTAAAGTATCAATTTTCTTCAAGCTCGAATCGATGGACCAAAAGCTGGACCCGTGCCAGAACTTCCACGAGTTCGCCTGCGGAGAGTACAATCGGGTAGCCTAGCCGCATTTTTGAGCGATCGCTATGATTTAGAGGAGCAAATGGACGAACGCGATCACCGACATGCAAGTGATTGTGTTCGGGCAATTGAATAGTGGGTCATTGCTGATGCCACCAACCCGTAGCTGGAATATATTGAGGATTTTTGGCTTGCTGGGGCCTTTAAAGCTCTGAACAAAGCATGTTTCGGATGTTTGCCTCTTGCTGTTACTTCCAGCTTGGCCGCGACACGTAACGCGCACAGAAAAATTGCAAAAATAAATTTTTTTTTCTTATAAAGGCTGTTCATGCCTTTGGTTAATCCCGAACCACTAAAACCGCTAAAAAAGACTGTTTTCTTAAAGTTGAGAGTCACGTTTTCCAGCAATTCTGAGGCAAGACACCTCCGACCAACCAGCCGTGCGCCAAGCCCAGAAATTCATGAGAATCTGCGAGTCGCACGACTCCCTGGCTCCCTTCAACGCGTGGGAATTTAGCAGTCGAAAAACTCAAATGTAACAGCAAAACCAATGTATATTCTCTAGAGACATCCCGAACTACGCGCGCAAATTCGGCGCCGTTTCGCTGATCAAGCAGCAGTTGCAGCCGGGAATGGTGGGCCAAAGCATTGCGTTAATTTTCAGTGTCTCAGAAACAACCCTCGCTCACCGAGCTCAGCCTGCTCACCTCAACACACGTTGAGGACGTCTTCGATTTCACCTCCGACCAATTCTACGACGTCGGCGGCTTCTTGTACGCCATCAAGGTCTCGGTGATACCCACGGTGAATAAAGGGTTCACTTAAAGACGCATCGGTCTTGACAGATCTCGATCCCAAGCCCGTTTGCGACGTTCATGACCTTGCATGCGGATATTGTCGAATATGACAAGGACACGTTCGCACAATTGGTGCTCAGAGTGAGTTTTGTAGTTTTCTTGGTTCTTTAGGATTCCCGGGGGGGGAAAGTATTCCCGGGGGAAAACAAATTTTTTTCGGCGAAAGCCTAGATTTTTGTATAAATTGCGGATGCGTTTCTAAATTGTTTTTAACTATCCCTGTGCATAAAAACTACACACATTTTAACCAAAAAAATGTAAAAAATTAAAAATTAGGTCGAAAAATAGACCCAAAATGACCAAATTTTCGACTTTTTCAAACATTTTTCTAAATTTTTCTGAAAGTTATTCTGCTTTAAATATAGTTAAAACTTACTAAAAACAATTCGAAAACACTTTATATTTGATTACTAGGTCAACCGGGACCACCAGGAAAAAAATTGGTTTCCCCCCCCGGGAATACTTTCCCCCCCCGGGAATCCTAAAGAACCGTTTTCTTCTCTATTTCTCTCTCTCTCTCCCTTCAAAGTTAAATTCATAGGGTCTCAAACGCCTCGAGCTCGCTTACCCGGAATTGGCGCCTACGAAAACCGTGGGCACCCCCGAGATCAAAGCCATGGTTGGCTGGTACATGCATCTGCAAAAGGTATCTTCCTTCTCGAAATCCTCACTCACGACAACGACCTCTGAAATCTCTAGCAAAACCTCTAACTTCCACTTAGTTTTACGTCGCCGAAACGAAGCCCAACCCTCCGCGGACGACGCTCACCGTCGCACAGCTCCAAGAGTTGGCCCCAGAGGTAGATGAATCCTGAAAATTAATTTTCGTGATGTGTAGTTTGACTGGATGCAATTCATCGGGCATCACATGTTCGGGGAGCAGAAGAAGAAGCTGGGTCCGAGCACGAGGATTCATCTGGAGGGATCGACGGGAATGTTCGAGCGGGTCAGAAATAGAGAGAGCGAGCGAGAGAGAGAGAGCGAATGAGAATGAAAAAGAGAAGATTTGATTATGACCAGTATTTTCAGTATTCCGCCCTCATTCGCGACGCCGCCGACGACATGCCGAACATCGCGTTCTTCGCCTGGAACAACTGGCTGGGCGACTTGCTCAAGGAGCACCTACAGTATGGCTGTCCCTCTATGGTGGGCTTTCCATCTCTTGCTCACTCACTCACTCACTCACTCACTCTCTCTCTCTCTCGCTCTCGTTCTCTCTAACTTCATTCCCTTTTAGTGGCGCAACGCCTTCTACAAACTCGCCGAGCACTACCTCATCAGATTTATACGTTCTGTCGGCGACAAGCAGAAAGTTGAGGTTCACAGCAAAATATGCGCTTTTAGGGTTTGATATTTTAGTCGGTCGGTGAGAAAGTGCGAGCTGCCTTCGGCGAGGTTTTCGACGAGAACCCGTGGATTGAGAAAAGCACGAGGAAGTTTCTGAAGAAGAAGGTTGGTCTCACTCACTCGTTCCCCTTTTCCTCACACTCTCTCCCTCTCCCTCTCCCTCTCTCACTCTCTCTAACTAACACTGTTTTTTTTTACAGCTGGAAGCCATGCCCGAGTACATCGGTTACAATGACAATGCCCTCGATTTCGAGATGGCCAACCAGATGGCCGAAATGGTGAGAGGAAACTTCCCTTTGAAAACTCGCTTGCTTTAGTTGCCCATCCCCGACGAGATGTCCCCGATCGAGCAGGTCATGTTCCTCAGCCGCGCCTTCTGGATCAAAGAGAACTTGGTGGGCTTCTGCGTACACGTTTCGAAACAATTTCTGTAGGACATTGGCGACAAAGTTGATTCGACCATTTTGGTCAATGCCCACAACGTTGGAGGGCGTCATATCGGTGAGGAACAGTTTTTGACCGTCTCACGCTCTCTCTCTCTCGCTCCAAAGAACCCATATTTTTCAGTCATCCCTCAAGGCATCCTCAAAGCCCCGTTTTTCGACCGCGACTGGCCGCTGGAGACACACTACGCTGGTATCGGTTACGTGATCGGACACGAATTCACGCACACCTACGATGGATGGGGTAAGAAGAGAGAGAGAGAGAGAGAGAGAGAGAGAGAGAGAGAGAGAGTGAGTGGAGTGAGTGAGTAAGAGACCACAGAGGTGTTCCTATAGAATGTTTCTAGAAGATCGAGGCCTCCCCGCCGGCAACCCAGGCAACGACACCGACGAGTTCAAAGAGAGACACCAGTGTCTTATCGATGAATTCGGGAACATCGTCCACCACAGCGAGTTCTACAACATCACCGTCAAGGTAGAGCGGCTTTCGGGAGAATGCATATCCAAATTGTTTAGGGCGACGGAATGAGGCAGCGTAGGGAATCGATTTGTGACAACAACGGGCTGCGCACGTCGTTCAGGGTAGCAGGCAGCGAGCCGTAGCTGAACAATGCGTTTTGCAGGCCTATCGCAAGGAGCGCCTCCGCCTCTTCGGCAAAAACCCTCCGAAATGGCCGGGCCTTCAGAAGTACACCAACGATCAGCTGTTCTTCATTTCTCTGGCTCAGGTCTGTTGGACTTCTTGGTGTCGTTTGAACCTTTACCTGAACCATCAGCGAGAGTCGGAGTGTCTTCACTGAAATTTCAGGGCTGGTGCGGGCGCATCAGTGACGTGAAACGCCGCAGCGACGACTGGCAGGCACAGTAGGGCACTTTTGCGACTGCAAAAGGTGTGTTTTAGGCCGCATCCACCTGCCAGCGTCCGCCTCAACGAGGTCATGAAGAATTTCGAGGATTTTGCGGCGGCTTTCAAGTGCCCGGTGGGTTGGTCCGTTTCTCTCTCTCTCTCTCTCCTCTCTCTCTCTCTCTCTCTCTCTCTCTCTCTCTCTGGCTCTCTCTCTACATAACACCTTTAAAGCGCGACTCGCCGATGAACCCGCCGATCAGGTGCCGCGTGTGGCGTCGCATCAAGAAGCACTAGGCGGTTGATCTACTCGACATCCGGCACCAAGCCACCACCCTCATCATAATACGCTCGATTCCGCCCTGTGCCTTGCTACAGTAACCGCCCCAGTTCTCTTTGTATTTGTGTATTTTCCCTGCGGAATAAATTTTTTGTGGGCAGGAATTTGATGGCATTGCGATTGCGCGAATCTGTATGCGGTTCTGGTTAGTTAGCCGGAAGGGGACGGGGGGGAATCTCGGAGATACGCATGTAGTCAACCGAGAAATTTGGATAGGGGCTACAAATTTGCATAAGATCCCGACAAATAAGTTATTTCTCGACTAGAGGGCTCGTGAAGCGGTTTGGTTTCGACGTCTTTTCAATTTATAAATTTAGTCAGTCGATGATTTCCCTTTGTTTCCTGTTGCTGCTCGTAGGCGGCATGTTTTTGGAAAAAGCTATCTGCAAATTCTAATACAGGATCTGTTGAGGCGGGAAATTCGGATTGGCCCACGGCGGCTCATTGGAATACGGTAATCCCGTAATCTCTCAGACCAAGTTTTTTTTGGTTCTAGACTGTCGGCTGGGGGAGGGATTCTTAGCGCGGCGGAAACCAAATTTCTCCCTACGATTCGATACGGCCATATAACAAAAAATAAAACATTTTATAGCATTATACATAGTTTTTAGATAGAAAAACAACACAAAAGATTAAAATTTTCGAAAATTTTTGATTTTTTGATCAAAAACGTATGAAAAATGACCAAAAACGATCAACGTTTCGGATTTTCGAAAAAAAAAATGTTTTGGATGACTTTCTAGCAGTCAAAAACTACTAAAATACTATAAAAATTTACTACAGATCATTAATAGGTGGTAAAACAGAAAGTGGGTCTCCGGGGCGCCAAACTCCTCCGCCCTGCTGACCGCCCAGAAACGTTTTTTTTTCAGACAGCCGGCATCTGCATGACACACGGATGCGTAGAAGCGGCCGCTTTCATTGTATTTTTTCGTACAAAGTTTTTAATCTATGCAAATGTAGTTCGATGCGCTGGACCCAAAGGCCGATCCGTGCCACGACTTTTACCAGTACGCGTGTGGAAAGTGGATAAGGGTATTGTGGAAATTGTGATAGTGGAAATGAAAACGACGTCTTTAGAAAGGACGTGAGCTTGTGCAGGGCGAGATGATCTCCGCCAGCCTCGCGCGGTTGGACGGTAAGACTGAAAACAATGCCCAACTTTGACATATTTAGCTTGGGGGGCGTGTAAAACGGGGAAACAACTTTTTTTCTTTAGTATCCAGTTTTCTAATATGATCCGTGGACGTGTTTGTAGGCTGTTGTTATAATTTATAAAAGCAAAAACTCTTCCAATCTTTATAGGAGCTACAAAAAATGTTGCTGTTCGACCACAATTCAGAAATTTTTGGGTTTTTAAAATTTTTAGTTGGTTTTTTAGCTTGAAACATCGTTAAATTTGGCTAAAAATACTACCAAGATACTTTCTATTATGTTACGCAGTATTTCCAAAAGTTTAGGGAAAATCGATACCCTGCCCCCTACACCTACCTAAGAACCGTTACCTGATCTAGACTTGCTGAGACATGATACCCGAGATTCGCCGGCCGTGCGCATGGCACAGAAACTCCACCGGCTATGTCGGATGTACACCGAGGATGAACTATCTAGGTTTTTTTGGAAATCCAGATTTTTTAGCAGCTTTTAGTTCCATCCCCGAGTTCACCAAAAAATTCGGCGAGGTGCCGTTGCTGGGGCAAAAGTTGCAGCCGGGGATGGTGGGTGGCTGAAGAGTTTTATCATTTGTTTTGGCAGAAACCACTCTCCCTCACCGAGCTCGGCCTCATTTCTTCATTGTATCACAATATCAAGGATAGCCAGTTGGACGCACATCTATTCCCATATGCAGGGCCCCTTTCATTTGCTATCGACACCACGGCCGTCCCGGAAGTAGGCAGGGGCTTTGTCGAATTTACCGGCACTGGACTGTCATCGGGGGGGGCATGATTTTTAGCAGAGGAAAAAGCATATTTTTTAGTTAACAGTTTTCTATTCCTAGGAAATTACAAAAAAAAACTAAAAACATTGGAAATTTTGTAACACTTTTGATGATCAGGTTATTTTTTCCAACAAGTCAAAAATTTTCCACATTTCTGCGATTTTTATGAATTTCTACTTCATTTATATCTAAAAACTGTGCAAACTGCTATGGAAACGGTTTCGATTTTGCATTTGGGCCGGACGGGTTCGCCACGGAAAAATCGGGCCGCCTCGATAACAGCCCAGTGCCGTTTTTTCGCTTGGGGATTTTGTAGTGGTTTGACCAACTATTAGCTTCAGATCTCGATCCCCGCTCCCTACAGATGGTTCCTCCTCGACACCAACGGCGTCAACCGCACTTTTCCGCTGGCCAATCGCCAAAAATACCTGGAAAATCTGTTTAAGGCGGTGGGAGTGTGATGAACCGCAAGATACCCTATTTTCTAGGCGAATCGTGCCCACAAAATCCATTTCCAGACCCTGGACCACATTCAAAAGTACTTCCCGGCTATGACCGGCCAGGAGAAGCGTACGACAGGATACGTCGCGGACATGACGGCATTTTACGATAAGCTCTGGGAGGTAAAATCCCTTGAAAAAGCTCACAAGGAGTGGTTTTTTAGTGTCATTGGCAAATCCCTTCGCGACCAAGCTCATTCGATAGAGAATTGAATTCTGAACAACCTCCCGTTGTTCATTTTTGCAAAACGCCTTTCCCTGATTTTATAAAATTAAAAAACTTTAACTGGAATTTTGGCCAGCTTTCGGTTCGCCCCATCAAAATCATGCCGGGCCAGCTCTAGGGGAAGAGGCCTTCAGCGCGGCCCCCTCACCATCAGAAGTGGCGCAATGGCTAACGCGGCCGCCTTCCAAAATTTATTTTCCCATCTTTTGCAAGTTCGGTTCTTGTAGAAGTAATTTGTTTTGCTTTTTGTATTATAAGTGGCCCCAGTATTATTAAACAGGTTGTAATTCAAATTGAGAGGACTCACACTAACCTGGACCATAATATTTTTTTGTTTTTTTTTTGTAAATTTTCCTGAATGCGCGCAGAGCATTCAACGTTGTAATAAGTATTATTTTCAAGCAATTAACTTATCAAAGCGTATGCAACCGCTTTTATTAACAAAAAGCAAAACAAATTTTCTACCAAGGAACCGAACTTTCCACGATAATGCAAAATATTTTTGAAGGCGGAAGCCTTAACGACTAGGCCCCGTCCCATGGTGGGTGGGGGAGGCGGAGAGAACTCATGTCCTAGGGGCGGTCCAGTAGGCTGGCCGCGCCAGACGCGGTACGTAAAATACAATTTTTAGTTTTTTGAATTTATAAAATCAGGGAGAGCCGTTTTGCAAAAATGAACAACGGGAGGTTGTTCAGAATTCAATTCTCTATCGAATGAGCTAGGTCGCGAAGGGATTTGCCAATGACACTCAAAAACCACTCCTTGTCAGTGCGGTTTTTCCAGTTCTACGCCGGCTACAACGATACCGATTTGACAAAGACGAATATCACGCTGGGTGAACTTCAGGAATTGGTTCCGGAAGTAGATATTCGGTGATGTAAGTAACACTGATTGATTTCAGATTGACTGGCTAAAATTCCTGTCCAACTACACGGTAGGGGAACAAAGGAAAAGCCTAAGCATGAAGACCAAAGTATTGTTGCGCGGCGAGAAGGGGATGTACGCAAAGGTAAGTGAAAACCGGAGAGGATGAACAAGGAAAATTGCTGCAGTATTCCACTCTACTACGCGACACAACGACAATGCAAAACGCGGCATTCTTCAGCTGGTACGCCTACGTGATGAACGACCGTCAGCTCACGCGCGCGCCGTTTTGTCTCGTGCTGGTTTGTTAAGGAATCTCGGCCCTTTGAAGGCACGCCTAGTGGCATGAAATGTTCAACAAACTGTCCGAGCACTATGTGGCCAAATACCTCTATGCCGATGTGGACCTTGGCAATGTGGAGGTAAGGCGCAGCTTCAAGCTACTGATTTTCAAACTTCAGACCCTGACTGAAAGTATCCGGGCAGCCTTCGTCGACGTGCTCGCCGATAACAAGTGGCTGGCCCCGGAAAACAAGAGATTTCTGATCGAAAAGGTCCGATATATCGAGCATTGTTTTCATCGTTTTTAGATAAAAAACACGCCCGCCTACCTTGGCTACAACAAGAATGCGCTCGACCTGAAGGTGGCCGACGAGTTGGCCGAGTTTGTGGGTTTTTCGTAATACCAGAATTGTTATACCACAGCCCCGCAATCGCTTATCCGCAATCTTGACCATCTTCCGCAGGTTTAAGATAACCCTAAAACCGTACGGTTTTTATTGGAAAATAAAACCGATCGTAAGCATTTCAGGACCTCCTGAAAGTACCTCCGAAAATCCCAAAAGTTCGAATACAGCAGCGTTGTGTAAAAAATTGTGAAAGTTTGTTTGTAGATTACCGTTCCCGATGACCTTTCGCCGATCGAACAAGCGATGGTGCAAACTCGGGCGAAATGGGTGCGACATAATTATGTAAGTTTATGTTTTGAAAACAGACAATTGCCATTTTTGCGGCTCTTTCCGAAAATTCAAGCATATTCAGGATCTCGGTGACATGGTGACGATGGGTGCGTTGCCGCTGTTCGACGTGAACGGGCAAAACGTCGACAACAAATATATTGGTGCGTTATTACTTGAAATTGAACAGTCAAAGAGGGGTCGACACTACCACCTACAACATTTAGTGCTGGCGGTCGGCGGCTTTGCCAAGCCATCATTCGACCCGCGCTGGCCGCTCGAATTCAACTACGGTGGCCTCGGGATGTTGATTGCCCATGAATTCTCGCACTCCTACGATGCGACGGGTACCAAAATTGGCCTTCACAAGTTAATGAAGCGGGATTTTATATGACCTCCCATCCGGCAACGTTGGCAACGATACCAACGAGTTTTTGGAGCGCCAGAAATGCATCGTCGACCAATTTGGGAACGTCACCCACTCGAACGTATACCTCAACATCTCCGTCACGGTACCGAAAAAGAAGCTATTCGATTACCTTTCCGTTAAGGGTGACGGCTGGAATCAGAAAGAGGAAGCTGCAGCTGATCATCAGGGAACGCTCGTGGCATTTCGGGTATCGTTACGACAATTGACTAACTTTCCGAACATCAAAAGGAAAAATGAAAAATATTTACAAGTATTTACATACGTTTTTAAGGCTTATCGTAAACAGCGCAAGCGGCTCTTCGGCAGTAATCCGCCAAAGTTGCCCGGTCTCCAGAAGTACACCAACGATCAGCTCTTCTTCCTCGCCCATGCTCAGGTCTTGTAACACTTTCCGATGCCTTGAATTATTTTTTAGAACTGGTGCGGGCAACTCGACGAGCTGAAGACGCCTGCGTATGCAAATATCTTCAAGAAGTAGCCGATTCAAGGCCACGAAATAGCCACATTTCTTAGACGCCATCCACCCTACTCGGTGCGCGTCAACGAGGATATGAAGAACCTGGAGCCATTTGCGACGGCGTTCAAGTGTCCGGTGAGTTGACTTCTAAGGCTTTACCGGGAGAGCGACACAAAAAGTTGGACACGGTTTTTCAGCTGAACTCACCGATGAACCCGGAGAAGAAGTGTCGGGTTTGGCGCCGCATCAAAAAGCGCTAAAAGACCAAGAAAATATTGAAGACGTCAATGGCCCCGAATATATTTGCTTCGTAGTTCACTTGTGATATTTTTGACATGACTGTTTTGGGGAATAAAAATCCATGTCGTGAGCGGTACGTGCATTTTTATTAGCAAAATCGAAAACACGTCACCTAACAAAACCCTTTAGAAAAAGCTGAAATCCCGTGCAGACGGCGAGTGGTTTGTTTCCGTAAGCCGCCACACGCGTCTTCTCCGAGATTCGACACTACCCACAGACACTGCTAAAGAGCTGAAACTCGTTGGGCAGATAGCACTTTTCGCGCTCTTTCGACTGATGCCCTTCTCGATCCAGGAGTCCCAGTGCGGATCGTGATATGATGGTTTTAGTGCGGCGACCACTTCGGCAGGTACACCTTTCGGCACTAAAACGCTCCCCTCTCTGTCCCCGACGGTGTTGGAGAACGGCAGGCATACCGTTGGAAAGAGCGTTCAAAATGCTCCCTTCTCAACGGCTTGAAGCGATTCTATCAAGCTTCCTTACGCTGCTAGCGCGGTTAGAAAAAAACGTTTCGAAATCGTCCGCCGTGTTCAACAACCTCGAAGGAATGCTGCCAAACGACCCCCAAATGAGTTGCAATCGGATTGGCGCCGAGTTGTGCGAACTGCTCGAAAACGATGTTCATCTTTTATCTGGCATAGTAAAACCGGGTTGAGCCGGTTTTCGGGCGGCCCGAAAACGGGACCGGGCAAATTGCCCAACACTACCATCAGCTCTTTGCGCTCCGGAGATGGAGGAGGAAGTGCCTACTGCTGCCACCGATGACCAGCTCCAGGAGTAGCTCTGAACGTTGCTTTCTTCCCTTACTGACAACTGCACTTTTTTCGATGATTTTGACCTTCATACTTGATTCAGTACATTCATCAATGTTTCGTGTTCTATACAGTAAGTTTTTGTGCGTCTGGCTTTGTGTTCGCCTGTATCCATACCTCGTCGATTTGGTGCTTCACTTTTTATGGAGTTTATTAATAAAGGTCCATTCAATCAAGGCTGATGCAGATCGCGCTGAGGAAGTATTCGATAGTATCTTTACTTGCCCATCCCATCTAGTGAATGATCGGGATGGACGAAAGCCTATAAGAGCAATTCGGATGTGCTAGATTTTTTTAACCGACCTTGTCAACAAATTCCAGCGATTCTAGCTTTATCGTCAACGGCTCAATCAGCTCATCATGGATTTGTCGCAGGGTCATATTGGGATCAGTGACCACATGGACCTCAACGCGAACCTGAGACGTAGTACTTCTCGTCGTTTTGCCAAATTGACCTTATTGCCGGCATGGTACGCCAGTAGCGCGTCTAGACATCTGACGTGCGGCTCTTCTATGCAGACTTTCGTGATTCGCGACAACTCTTCGCGGGAACAGACGCCACCTAGATTTTATGGAATTTGCTGAGAGGGCGTATCTACCCATGATCTGGTAGATTTGTTCTTTCACCAACTCAAACCAAATCCATGCGATGTACCCACTAAAAAAAAACATATTTTGTTTGATTTGGGTATATGCTTGTACCTGACTAGCGCAGCAGTAATAGGATCTACAATCGGGGCCACATATTCCGACAAGGCAGCTCCTACGATAACCACGCTGTTGGTTACGACATCATTTCTAAAGCTTTTAGGTTTTTAACCGGCCAGCCCACCTTTGATCGGTCGCCAAAATCTCTGCACTCTTCGACTTCCGCTTGCTGCACCAGATGAAGAGCACGATTTTGATCAGAATTGTTGAGAGCAGAATGAGGAGCGAGACCGGTGTGATATCAGGCGGCGGCTAATCGGTGTGGAGGCTTGCCTTTTTGCTTACCCTCCCGAAGATTAGGGCTCTTACAGAATCCCAGACGATTTGAAGGTTAGCGACGCCCATCACCTACAAAGATACAGGTTACCTGGGATGTTTTTTGGGTTTTTTTTGTCTAAAATTATTTGGGAGCAGCGCCCAAAACCCGCTTCGCGGGCCTTGGGAGCTGGAATGCGACCTTTGCATGAAAAGTTTGACTTTCTGATAACTCGGGTCTTGCGGACCCCCCCCCCCACCCCCACCCCGACCAAACGCGCGAGTGCACCTGGCAAGAATGAGGAACTTTGTATTTTTTCACATTATGCAAATTACCGCCAAAAATGAATAAAAGCGCCTTTAACTTTGTAAACTTGTATTTTATCGAATTCCGAAAACTCCACCGGAAACAGAAGGGTCGATTCCCCCGGGTGTCGGAGAATTACGCCATTTTATACACGGGAAGGCCCTCAAATCGGGCCTCGAAAGTGACATCCATACACACACACAGAGATACACTCCAAGATTATATAAGGTAGGATCTTGGAATCTGTGACCTCTAGAAACATTTTTAATGCTATTAGAATAGTTTGATTACCCCGGACAAGAATAGCAGCGACACATTCTCCAGGTTCTCTCGGCCTCGCGGATAATGCCATGTGTCGGTGTTCATGATCAAATGGGTCGCGTACCAGACGGCAACGCCACTGTAATCTGTTATCATGGGGGACCAGAAATGCCTAGTAACATAAGAGCAATTATTTCATTAGTGGTTTGGTAAATTATAACCATACCAGGGTTGAAAAGCCGCTTCGCGACTTTTCAACCCTGGACCCGTCGAAATCCCATAATATTCTTCACTTTGCATAATTCGCCCAAACTGCGCTGAGAAGCACTGAGAAGTGCACCCTCTCTCCCATTAAATAGGCTATCGCCGCTTCCGGCGTATGCTATGAGCTCGCCCGATTTTTCAACAAAAACTTAATCTTAACGGCGAAAATAGCATAAACCAGATGGTTCCAGTCGCTTCGCGACTGTAACCATCTGGCCTTCGGGCTACCCTTCATTTCATACACCATCACATCCATCCATACCTCTCCCAAAATACCCCCGCTAATGGCTACCGATACCTCCCCTAGCCAAAATCCCCTTCAAAAACTACCTACATACCTTCCTGATGGCTTTAGATACCTCCCCTAGCCGAAATCCCCTTCAAAAACTACCTACATACCTTCCCGATGGCTTTATATACCTCCCCTAGCCGAAATCCCCTTCAAAAACTACCTAGATACCTTCCTGATGGCTTCAGATACCTCCCCTAGCCGAAATCCCCTTCAAAAACTACCTACATACCTTCCTGATGGCTTCAGATACCTCCCCTAGCCGAAATCCCCTTCAAAAACTACCTACATACCTTCCTGATGGCTTCAGATACCTCCCCTAGCCGAAATCCCCTTCAAAAACAAAAATAACGACCGACCGGATGGAATGAGAGAAAAAAAGAAATGAAATCCCCCGTGAAAATTTTCATCCACGAAACGCGCGCCACCTGGCTCACTATGTCCAAAATCACCCCAACCTCCGTCCCCGACCCCTTTTACTAAGGAAAAAACTTTCAAAGTTAATTTTAATAATTTAAATTAAAACTTTTTCATAATTTTTTTATCAGTTTGGGGGTTTCTGACCATGCTCTATCCGAATCCGAAGAGAGCTAAGCTCTAGCTCCTTCCCCCTTCGAGTTGAATCCGGGACATGACGGACAGACGGACAGACAGACGGACACCACAGCAAAATTATTATAGTAGATTGCAAAATCTGGGATGCGTGCAGTCATTTCGGTTCCGTTACGCACCTAATGGCGTATCATACGTAGCTGAAAACCCTTCCTTCATGAGTTATTTTCCGGACACGGTGACGGAAGTTGCATGCAAATGCACACTGACACACAAACACTACGTTTTCATATATCCCGATTAGGCCGTGACCCCCCTATTTTTCTAGCCACTGTTCGGTTGGTTGCCTGGGTTTTTAGGGGGGAACAGCATGCATGTTTGCATAGTGATAACCCGGCGGCGGAACACGGGGTGGCGCGTCGTTAGGCAAAACAAGCACCCGGTGATGTCAACGATCGAATCGAGTAGCGTCGAAATGATGGACAACGAGGAGCCGTGCGTCAACCACGTTGAGAAAGCCTAAAAATAGACCAATCAGCTGAGCTGATTTTTGTCAGGTATCAATTTTGAAGCTCGATTTCTTATTTTTTAGATTTACCTTCGCCAATAGAAGCCCGAGATTCATGCCGAGCACGACGGTAGAGACCCATTGATCGGCTTTTGTCTAAAATTCGATTTTCCGATCAGCGAAAATGCCAACAGCATCCTCCTTATTCTCCATGGGACCCCCATTCCTGATGCATTCCCCATCAAGTTTGTAGGCCTCAAGCAAGGCTTCTTGTTTCCTGAAATTCATTTTGAAAGCACGGCGGGTGCATTTACTCGTAATATTCGGCGCATTTCGGGTTCTCCTTAGAAGAAGCCGTTGAGTGTCGTCGCTTCTGATGATTCTCGTGCTTCTGCTTTTTCCTGCTCCTTTTTCTTTGGTTCATTTGGCGTGGATTTCCGGCGACTTTGAGCCATTACTGTAATGGGCTTTTTTGAAGCGCAAGTGATGGAAAGAGAACAATAGGACGCCCTGGAATGAAGAAAACGAAATTAAGGTTCTTTCGCATTGTGGGGGGGATCTTTTTTCATAAGCTCGAATTTTTGAAATATAAATAACGTAGTGTTTCTAAAGAGTTTTTTACTATTTATAAACGTAAAAAATACCAACTATAATTAATTTTCGACCAAAAGTGGCCGATTTTTTACCAAAATTTCAACTTTTTCAAACATTTAAAAAGTTTTCTAGTTTAATTATGGTTATAAACGCTTCATATCACATTAATAGACATCGCGAGACATGTACAACGTAGTTTAGACCCCCCGATAATGCCGAAGAACCGAAACTTTAAAGGTTCCGCTGTCCTTCAGAAGGGCGAAAGAATTATGGGAGCCATAAATCGGGGGTAGTGTCGCGGGGAGCTCATCAAATTATCACCCCTCGGGTGGCTACCGAGCAGCGGGGCTTATCAGGCGACCGGACCCCCGAAAAAAGCCATGCATTTTCAGGTGGATGGGGGAAAGTGTTGACTAATTGTGTGAGTGAGCGGCGCCGTCGCCCTCAATGTGTGTGTGGGCCCCAAGAAAAATGGGTCCCGATGGTGGATATTATTTTAACTCGACGAGCTGAAGACGCCAGCGTATGCAAATATCTTGAAAGTAGCCGATTCAAGGCCATGAAATAGCCACATTTCTTAAACGCCACCCTCCCTATTCGGTGCGCATCAACGAGGATATGAAGAACCTGGAACCGTTCGCGACGGCGTTCAAGTGTCCCGTGAGTTGACTTCTAGGGCTTTACAGGGAGAGCGACACAAAAAGTTGGACACGGTTTTTCAGCTGAACTCGCCGATGAACCCGGAGAAGAAGTGTCGCGTTTGGCGCCGCATCAGGAAGACCTAGGGGATAAAAAGAATGCCCGACGCGCACATCCGATAAAATGCTTGACCTATACTTTATTTCGTTGCACTAACCTGTGTTGTCGTTGAAAATGTGATTTTGGAGACAATAAATGGTGGCTTCCTTCTTTTCCTTACTTCGGCCCATTATGGTTGACAGCTGAGCCAGAAAGGAGCTAGAGCTTAGGTGTTTCAACGTTGCTAGATAAAGCCACCACACCGAGCCCAAAATCAGTGGTAAAGATGTGAGTAAAATGCAAAGAAAACTAATGGAAAAGAAAAAAGATAAGAAATTACACAGGAAGAAAAAGCAAATGAAAATGAGCAAAAATGACATTAGCGATTTCGCAATTTCCATCGAGGCAATCAGAAATTGCATTCAAATTTCGAAAATTCAGAAAATACCATCATTTCACGTCTGAGTAGAACGCTGAGGCGGCCCTCCGGCGATGTTGGTAAAAGAACATGCTATGCAAAATTCCGGTAAGAGTTCAGTTTACCGCGCCAGCCGGCACCCAACTTATGTATCTCGGCTCCCTGTTCATCTACAGGCGTGCAAAGTATACCAAAATGTTCGTCTTGCTCTGGCGAGTATTTTGGTATACTTTACACATCCTATCCTATAAGCGAGAAAAATATGTCTGTTTTCTGTACGGCCGTTTTCTCGGCCGTCAGGCCGCGTTTCGAGCTGATTTTTGGCATGGAGGTGGGAAATGTCACTCATAAAAAACGGTTTTTCGGATTTTTCGAAATTCTTTGATTTAACGATTTTACAAGCAAAAATGTGAAAAATCCTTAACATTTTTGGGTACGCACGTTGTCCGGAACTTTTCTCGGCCCCTAGAGGGAATCGGGGTCTCATTTTTAGAGGCTAGATGGGAAAAGTAATTCCCCAGACACATTTTTTCGGATTTTGCAAGAATCTTTAAAATAAAGTTTTTATGTGTATTTTTCTGCAAGGTCCTTAATAAATCGCGGATTGGGCCGTGGTGTCCAGGCCATAACTCGACGCCCTGATGGAATTCCGGGCTGAAATTCGGACCGTTTATGCAATCAAGGGTGGGGATCATGCGCATCTTATTATCTTTGCAAAATTTCCACAGATTGAAACTCGAAAAAAGAATTTTGTAAAGTGACCAGAAGGCCTCCCTCCGGGATCATTGGACATCCTCATCTTTGCCCACGCCTCCCCAGGACAGAACAGGCCTTTCCCGCCGCCTCCCCCCATTTCCCCCTTGGTGTAATGGATTAGCTCTCGGCCTACCAGGCGCAGGGTCGTGAGTTCGGATCCTGGGAGAATTTCGTTTTTTGCTTTTTGGTAGTTCGGTTTCAAAACATATTTCTAGGATCTCGGTGTGCAAGATTCAGGTCTTGCTCTCGCTCTAGCGCCGCAGGCCAAAGAAAAAGGCCCTGGCTCGGGCTCTCGCGCCGCAGGCCAAACAAAAGGTTCTTGCCCCGGGCACTCGCGCCGCAGGCCAGATCCTGGAGAAAAACCAGTAGCTAGCGCCGCAGGCTCAAAGATTCTAGCGCAACGCTGGCTCTGGCGCCGCAGGCCAAAGAATGGCTCCTTGGCTCAGGTTCTAGCGCCGCAGGCTAAAAAAAGAGGGTATTCAAATTAATGGTTCCTGGACGTGGTCCAGTGGAAAATGGCCGCGAAGCGGTCTTTTTCCACTGGTATGTAGATAAACACGGAGCCGAGATACGGTAGGTGCGGGTCGGCCTGGGGGGGGGGAAACTGAAACACAGCCAAAATTCCCAAAGATTTACTCACTATTTCCTTCAGCGCTTCCGACGAACTGGCGTTGCCTTCTGCTGCTGCTGCTATTCAGCGGTACTTTTTAGAGTTTATACAGAAATCAGATTCCGATTCAGGGAACGTTTGTGGACGCACGGACTGGCCGACTGCCAATATCTGGAATATGGTAGTCGCTTAATTGCACCTATGAATTTACTTTTCTAGACGGCCGACGTCTGCACGACGCGTGGCTGCGTGGAAGCGGCTGCATGGACCGTATCCGCACCTTAATTGCCCGAAATGAAAATTAAGCTAAACAATATTGACCCGAATGCCAACCCATGCCACGATTTTTATCGATACGCCTGTGGGAAGTGGATAAGGGTACTTTAAAAATATATTTTGTCACCCGATGTTGTGATTCAGAAGGGCGGCGACGTTAGCGTCTATTTTGAAATGTTCCAAGCCACCCATGCACAGCTGGAAAGTAAGGAGTGAAGCAAATTTCGAAGCGCTACGCCCTCATCTAAGAGCTGCTGCGTGACGATACCAGAGATTCACTGGCTGTAAGATCGGCTCAAAAATTGGCGAAGCTCTACCGACCGTACGACAATGAGAAGCTTTATAGGTTTTTGTGGTCTCAAGACTTACAGAAAGGTTCTTAGCTCGATTCCGGCGTACGTGAAGAAGTTTGGCGAGGTGCCGCTAATCGCGCAGAAGCTGGAGCGGGGCATGGTGCGTTCGCCCATGGTTTTTCCAAGCTTTCCTACTGCCTTAAACCGAATTCTTTGATGAGCTAAAAGAGTCGCCCTGGAAGTACCTGGGGCAATCAATTTTTCAGCACCCGCCCGCGCTAGCCGAACTGAGCTCCATCGCCTCATTCCACGAGGGCGAGCAAGGCGACGACCGAAACCCCTTGTTTCGATACGAAGGAGCCTTTTTGTTCGATATCTACACCTCGTCCATCCCTGAAGTTGGTCTTGGAAAAAACTTGCGAAAACCGGTTCTTACTCGTTAGCGGGGGAGCAGGATCGTTGGCAAAGGAGCGCCTGGGCGTGCCACTTCCCTCCCCCCGCTAACTAACCAGAACCCAAAACCCCGCAAAACCTTCCTAGATCTCGATCCCCGGGCCCTACAGATGGTTTTTCATCAAAACCCATGAAGTAAATTTTACGTTTTCGCACGAGCAGCGGCGGGCCTATTCGGAAAACCACTTCTCAAAGGTAAATGTTCGCACCAACAGTTGCATTTTTAAGAACCTGCACCATATTCGTACGACGTTCCCGAGTTTGGATCTGGAGCATTACCAAACGAAAGCCCGGGTCGTCAACATGATCGAGTATTACGAGCAGCTCTGGGAGGCGAGATTTCAGCGCTCTGTCTCTCTCCCCCCTCTCTCTCTCTCTCTCTCTCTCCCTCTCCCTCTGTCTCTCTCTGTCTGTCCTTTCTTAGGATTTCTTGCAGTTTAACATGGTATAATTTATATTGTTTATTTCTTGTTTCAGTTTTACGAGGGCTACATCCAAACTGACGCCACCACAACCAATGTCACGATCGATGAACTTCAGAGGTTGATTCCAGAGGTGGGCAGTAGAGATGTTTTTATTCAGATACGATATGCATCCAGCTATATCGCATCTGAATAAGCCATCGGAATTGAAAAATCCTAGATGCGATATAGATAATCGCATCTGATTTGGAATCTGGCTCACGGAGATGCGATACTATCGGAATAACTTTTGCATATCGGATTAAGGGAAATTAGGGCGCTCGGTAGGCGAAAAAATGGATGCAAATTGGAAGATCTTGTCTAGGAAACGGGCAACCTAATGCTTTTTTTATGCAGACCGACCGTACGGAGCAAGTATCCACGCGAATGACGGATTTTCTGCTTATTCCGATATGCAAATTTTATTCCGATATATCGTATCTGGGTTGAGCCTCGTCGATTGCAAATGCGATAATCGTATCTCGATCGCCCCTAGATACGATATGCAAATTGCCTTAAATGCAAAATTTCCCATAACGTATCTGAATAAAAACATCTCTAGTGGGCAGCCCATTCTGAATGTGATTAGTTTCAGTTTAACTGGCTAACTTTCGTCTCCAACCACACGATCGGTGATCAGAGACGGAATCTGGGTCCTGGCACCCGGTTGAAGTTGCGCGGGAGTAAGAATATGTTTGCAGAGGTAGGTGGAAAAGATTTGACATCTGGATGTCGAGATTTATCACGTCCAGGTTTCATAATGCTGTAATCAATTCATCGCATTTTTTTGATAAAGAAATATGCCGGAAATGAAAAACCAATTTCGCCAAAAATTCGAAAAAATTTCGAAATGTCCGAAATTTTGACCTTAGGAATTTGATAGTTAGAGATCCAGAAAAGGCATTCGTAGCGTTGTTTCCAACTTAACCGGACACATGCATACATACTTTTTCAGTACGCCCAGCTCCTAAAAATTGACGCGACAACGATGCGAAACGTGGCCTTCTTCAGCTGGTACGCCTACATCCAAAAGGCCGCGAACTCGGGCTTTTCGGTTGGGTTCACGTGAAGGGTTTTCAAACTGACCCTAGTGGCACGGCGTATTTCACAAGCTGGTCGAGCACTACCTGGCCAGGGACATCTTCCCTCACGTGGTGCTGGAGGAGGCTGAGGTGGGCTTGTCACGCTTGTAACGATTGGCACGTCCTTTTAGCAAATAGTCAAAACTATCCGCGTGGAGTTCGATAAGACGCTCGCGGAGAACAAGTGGTTGGCGCCAGAGACGAAGGCCATTCTGAGGAAAAAGGTTTGGAACATCTTCCGGTCAGTTTTCAGGCAAGTTTCTAGCTGAAAAACACACCCGCCTATCTCGGCTACAACAAAAATGCGTTGGATATGAACCTCGTGGATGCACTGGCTGAATTTGTGGGGATTTTCGGGGACTAGTGATGAACTGGGTAGAAAATGGCCAGTTCGACGGGTTGTTTTTCCAGCTTCCGGTCCACGACAAGTTTTCGCCGGTCGAAATAATCGTGCTGAGGAGTCGGGCAGCTTGGGTGAAGGAGCAATATGTCAGTAAGAAGAATAGAAAATTATCATTCTCTCCCTCTCTCTCTCTCTTTCTCTCCCTGTCTCTCTCGCTCAGACCGCTTTTTTGAGTACACCTCTTCTAGGACATCGGCGACACGGTGACGATGTACGGACACCCACCGTTCTTTCCCAACGCCTTCAACGACGACAGCAAGTATATTGCTGCGTTACGGGAATGTATAAGAAATTTTCCTTTAAAGTGCTGCCAATCGGCATCCTCGCAAAACCGTCGTTCGACCGCCGGTGGCCACTGGAGTTCAACTACGGCGGGTTGGGGATGACGACCGCCCATGAGTTCACACACTCTTTTGATGAGATCGGTAAGTAGAGAAGCTTGGGAACATAGATGTTGCGTCTTTAGATGATCTGCCACCTGGAAATGTCGGGAACGATACGACGGGGTTTCTGGAACGTCATCAGTGCCTCATCGATCAATTTGGAAATGTCATCCATTACAATGAGTATCTCAACATATCGGTTATGGTAAGCGAGCGAGCGCGAGAGAGAGGGAGAGAGAGGGAAAGAAAGCACGAGAGCGAGAGAGAGAGAGTGAGAGTGAGAGAGAAAAAGAGAGAGAAGGGGGAAAAGCCGTCTGTATCATCACCATCAAAAAAACCTAGGGAGACGGCGTCGAGCAGGGCCGAGAAGTTCTTGCGGACAACCAAGGCACCCTTGTCGCTTTTCGGGTTTGACGAGCTTTGCTTCTATGAGCACCAGTTTTCAGGCGTACCGGAAAGAGCGCCTCCGTCTCTTCCACAACAACCCCCCGAAATTGCCCGGCCTCCAGAAGTACACCAACGATCAGCTCTTTTTCATTGCTCATGCTCAGGTAGCACTTATAGAGTTGATTTTGATTGGTCACTTTAGAATTGGTGTGGCGAGATCGAGGAGCTGAAGACGCAGGCCGATGAGCGCTTTTTTCGCCAGTATAGAAACTCCAAAGGCTTAAAATACCATTTTTCCGGCGCCACCCGCCGAGCTGGGTGCGCATCAACGAGGATATGAAGAACCTGGAACCGTTCGCGACGGCGTTCAAGTGTCCGGTAAGTTGACTTCTAGGGGTTTAAAGGGAGAGCGACACAAAAAGTTGGACACGGTTTTTCAGCTGAACTCACCGATGAACCCGGAGAAGAAGTGTCGCGTGTGGCGTCGCATCAAAAAGCGCTAAAAGACCAAGAAAATATTGAGAACGTCAATGGCTCCGAATATATCCGCTTCGCCATTCACTTGTGATATTTTTGACATTAATGTTTGGGGGAATAAAAATCCATGTCGTGAGCGGTACGTGCTAGCCAACACATAGCAAAAAATATTGTTTTGTTGTTGTCACGATCGTGCAGCAAAATATCCACATTTTTGCATACCTTTTCATCAAAAAGGTAGTTTTTCTTGGTCCTGTAACCTAACGAATGGTGAGATTTTCCTTTGACAAGGCTGGTTCCTCAACCGAAAACCGCCGAAATTAATCCCTCCGCCGCCTTTGAACTTTGTGGGAAGAAATCGGCCGCAGCCGGAAGTAGAGGCTAGCCGGCCGTGACACCGTTCCGAGACATGCCCGAACACTTTTCCCCACGAACCGAAACTCTATTGTCCCGGGAAACACGGAATAATAAAGAATTACCGCTGGGCCATTCCGACCAACTTGCAAGGCTAGATTGGATTGCGCGATCCAATTTTGGGTTGGCTTTTTGCCACCTCAAATTCGAGTGGCCGAACTTTGGTAGAGCGTTCGACTTTGCCGGTAGGTAATAAAAGAAATATAGCTGTGTTGCGGAGAAAATCAAATACAGCGCAGTCAAATAAATACACTAGAAGCTGCGCGGAAAGGGTCATTAGCATCTTCGAAAGCGCTTCGCAAAAACTGGAATTTTGCCTTCATTCGCCGTGTTTTGCGGTGCAAATCGGCATGGAAGCGCAGCATGGCAGACAGGAAATTCCAGGTCTGCTACAATAAAAAATTTTTGTTTGGCTGAACTTCAGATACCCCCCCAGCCGACCCCCAACTTTTGTATCTGGGCTCCCTGTTTATCTACATGTGTGTAAAGTATACCAAAATTTCGGTCTTGCTCTGGCAAGCATTTTGGTATACTTTACACACCTGTAGATGAATAGAGAGCCGAGATATAAAAGTTGGGGGCCGGCTGGGGGGAGGGGGCGCCAGCTAGAGTCTTACCATTTGTTTTTTTTATCGCTTTAGAAACCCAACCTACAAAGCCTGACTGGTCCAGCAAATTTTACGTGCTCATCGGAATTTTGTTCGTCTTTTCGGCGGCATGCTACCTGATGCCATTTTTGAACGGTTTCACATGATCTGTTTTAAGTCTCATTTTTAAGGAATTTTCGGTGGCCTTGGCGGTTCTGGTGGCTACGACAAAAACGATATGATGCCCGATCCGGATGGGGTAGCGATTTTCCAGAGATATACGGAAAAAAATCGATTCAGACTGGCCAAATTTGCATGTCGAAGGGATGCGTGGAAGCGGCGGGGTTTTTGGTAGCAAAACCTTGATTCCAAGCGGATAGCCTCCAAATTCAGCTCCAAAACATGGACCCGAGCGTCGATCCGTGCGAGGATTTCCACGAGTTTGCCTGCGGAAGGTGGAATCAGGTTCAAAAAAAATTGGAGAAACCGCATACCCTGAATTTTCAGCGTCAAAGTGCTCAACTACTTCAGACTCGCACGTTCGAGCTGAAGCAACAGATTCTCGGTAGTTTGGGCAAAATATCGAAGGGTACACGTGAGACTTTAGACGCCCTTTATCACCAAGACAAGTCGGAATCTTCGGCGATGGAGACGGCCCGGAAATTCGTTGATGTTTGCCAGAATTTGGATACCAGGCAGCTGGACAAGTAAGTTGACGCGCGTGAAGCATAATGGGAGGTTATACCAATTTACTAAATTGTATTTGCTAGCTCGCCTCGTACTTTTAAACCTTTGTAATGATTTTGTAACCCGTCCCATTGATCCAAGTTTCAGAGACATCCAAAACTACGCAAAGCGCCTTGGAACCGTCCCAATCATCGGTCAAACGCTGGAAAATGGAAGAGTATATCAGAACCTTTTTGTATTTTGTTTGTATCCCAGGAGATGCCCAGCATCCTCGACTCGCTCGAGTTGACGGCCCGTTATGTCTACGAGAGATATACGTACCGGGGCAACATTCGTACAAATCACCAGCCGCTGGCCCTGATCATGACGTTGGAGCCGAAATTTACGGTAGAGCGGCGCTCCCGCTGTTGCTAGAAGTTTTAGATCACCTTCACGAAACCGGAAACTTGGCTCGGCGTGGGTCGGCGGAGCTTAGAAGAGCTCAAGGCGAAAAATTGGGAAAATATGATCGAGCGGGTGGGTTGAATTCTCCCTCTCTCGCTCTCTCTCTCTCTCTCTCTCTCTCTCTCTCTCTCTCTCTATCTTTCTCTCTCTCTTTCTCTCTCTCGCTATCTCTCCCCCGCTCTCCCTCTCTCTCCCTACCCTCTCCCACCTTTTTCTAGAGCTTAAAAGCCGCTGGAGCCGTCGGCTTCAATCGTAGCTCAACCTACGACAAGGCAAAATTGGTCGCATTTTACCAAAAATTACAAAAGGTATAGTACGTAACTTTCCTTAGTACGAATGTTCTATTGTTCCAGTTTTACCACAAAATTGACACCTCTGGACCTTGGCCTGATTTTCCACATCTGACGACGATTGGCGAGTTGCAGAAAATCGCACCAATGGTTTCTTACAACGTGATTCGGGCGCAAGATACTATTTTTACAGTATGACTGGACGAAATTTATCTCTTCCGGCTGTACGAAGCGGATGCGTGAACAGCTACATCTCGAATTTCCGGTTACAGTTTTGGGGCCGTTGGAACGATTGGCCAAGGTTTGACGACAGTCGTCCTCCATATAACAATTGTCGTCATTTTCCGCTCTCAAAAATCTACCAAGAAGCGGACCGATACGTGCTCCAAGATTTCCTGTTCATCAACTGGATTCGCGGGCTGAAGAATGCGATGGACACTCGATTCAAGTTACTTTGCCGGGATCGGGTAGGACAGCTTACCTATTTACGTAAATTTTTCTTTTTCCCCTAGATGCTAAGGTCCTCTACTTTCACTTTTCAGTTTGTCGCCCATTTCTACAAAATTGCCGACTACCTACTGATCAAATACCTCAGAAATAACAAGAATCTCTTGCCGGAAGTGAAGGTAAAATATCCGCTTTTACGGGCTTCCTTATGAAATTTATGAGTTTTAATTTCAGGCGATGGCCGAGAATGTGCGCCGCTTCTTCCACCAAATCCTGGATGTAAACACGTGGCTACACGAGAAGACCAAGGCCAAGCTCAAGCAGCAGGTTTTCCAAACCCGTTACTGCAAGTCAACCGACCCTTCAGCTCGACAACGTTGAAGCCCTGATCGGCTACGGGTCGAACGCGCTGAACCTGACGTTCATCGACGAGCTGTATGAAATGGTGCGTTCGTGGGAACTCTGTCTTTGCAGAGCGTTGTTTCACGATTCTTTGAAGTTCGAGCGCGCCGTGATTCACCCAATTCCAGGTGACCGTGCCCCAGAATCCGACCTCCGTCGAGTTGTTCCAGTTTGAGGAGCAGATCACGTGGAATAGCATGGATTTGGTGGGTTAGTTGGTGGCCTGTCTATGCGAGTAGATGATCAACGACGCCTGCAAGTCGTAGATTTTAAGGACGTTGGCGACTCGTTCGACATTGGACGCTACACGGTGGCCCAGCTTAACGCATGGAATTGGCTGGGGACGGCTATCAGTCAGTGACTTAGCCGTTGTAGACCTAGAAATTAATGATTGGGATTAAAAATTAACCCAATTGTGATGCGATTTTTGAAGAAATCCCCATCGGCTACCTCGAGCCCCCGTTTTTCGACCCCGACTGGCCGCTCGAGTTCAACTACGGCCTCATGGGCGCGACGATCGGCCATGAGTTCACGCACAGTTTTGATGAGCAAGGTATGGCAAGAATTACACGCTAAATTTCGATTTTTTTCAGTCGAACTGCCAGCCGAAAACGTCGGCAACGACACGAACGAGTTTCTGGAAAAGCGCCAGTGTCTCGTCGACCAATTTGGGGCCGTCCTCTACCCCAATGAGCGTTTGAACATCTCACTCAAGGTGCTTTAAAGGTGGCCTGATGGTAAAAAACCGTTTGCTAGGGCGACGGGCTGGCACAGGTCAAAGAGACGCTGGCGGACAATAATGGGCATCGTGTGGCTTGGCTGGTAGGGGAGAGCTTTAGGAGAATCTCTCTCTCTCTCTCTCTCTCTCTCTCTCTCTCTCTCGTTCTGTATAAAACTAGTCACTTTCAGGCCTACCACGACGAGCGTCAGAAGCGCTACGGTAGAAACCCACCAAAGCTTCCCGGGCTTTTGGAGTACACCAACGATCAAATATTCTTTTTGGCGAACGCTCAGGTTTGTATTTTCTTCTTAATTTTGAGGGTTTTCAAATCCCATTGCATTTATTTTTTAGAAACAGTGTGGCCGCCTTCCCGTAGTATCTCCAGACAGCAAGTGGATGCAGTTGTAAGCTGGAACCATGCAGAATTCCATATAAGTTTGCTCTGATAGTGTTCATCCGGTGACGCGTGTCCGTATCAACGAGCGCGTCAAGAACTACGAGTTCTTTGCGACGACGTTTAAGTGCAAGGTGAATTTTTGAGAATTCAGTTATTCTAACGAAACCCCAAAAAATGTCCAATTTTAGCTGAACTCGACGATGAACCCGGAGAAGAAGTGCAAGGTGTGGCGCCGTCTGCGTCGTCACTAAATAATCGAATCGAGAGCTTCAAAATTTTGATAAAACCCATTGCTTGAAATTTTGCTTCTTTGGGGGATTTGATTGCCAGAAACGTGAATAAAGTTTTATAAAAACTGTATCGCTGAAAGAGAGCGAACGAGATCGAGAGAAAGATAACGAGAGAGATACACGGAGAGAAAGAATAACAGAGAAAGAGAGATAGATAGAGAGACAGAGAGAGAGCGAGAGAGTGAGGTAGATAGAGAGAGAGAGCGCGTGAAAGATTGATTGAACGAGAGCGAGAGAGTGAGAGAGAGACGGAGACAGAATGATAGAGAGAGAGAGGGCGAGAGAGAGCGCGCAAGAGAAAGAGACAGAGCAAGAGAGCGCGAGAGAGAAACAGACAGTGACGTTGATCAAGATAAAGACGAGACACATTTGCATATCTTAAACAACATATAGCGTGATCCACGACAAAAAATCCACTCGCCTCTGTTGCTCAGCTATAGTATGATGGCCTCAAAACCCAGCAATCCGGAGCATCGGGTTGAAATCCAGCCTCCAGGTATCGATTTTTTGTGCGTTTCCTGGGGACAGACACTCTGGCAAGATTTTTCCCAGCTTCAGAAATCACCGCTTCGAAGGGAGCTGCCCGATGGCACAAGATTCTGATCGTGTTCGGGGTCCTGCTGTTCGCCATCTCGTTGCTCTTTCTCCTCCTCAATTCGAACGGTTTCAAAAATTTTACCGAGCCCAGTTTAAAACAATTTCAGGAAGTTACGGTGAGGATTCTGAAGACTTGGTCGTTTTCGATGCGTCAGGACCGGTGAAGCCTTCTTCATTTCCGTCGCCCTCAAATACTGTAGAATTGTGAAAATTAAGCTATTATGTTTGATTTAGGGCGAACACATCTGCCTGACGAAGGGATGCATCGAAGCGGCCGGGCTTTTGGTATAAATTCCTTAAATTAGGCGAAAAAATTATCGATTTCAGCTCCAAAACATGGACCCAACCGTCGACCCCTGTGAGGATTTTCACGAGTTTGCCTGTGGTCGTTGGAATCAGGTTGCAGAAAATATGGATTGCATTTTGATGCTTTTTAAGGCCCACAAGGAGTCCTACTATGAATACCGCAAGGCGCAGCTGCCGATCCGGATCATCGGTATCGATTCACAATTTTTCGACGAGCTTTAGACGCGCTCTACAAAGACAAATCGAACTCAAAGACGATGGAAGCCGGCCGGAAATTCATGGATCTGTGCCGTAGCTTAGATGAGAAGGATTTTGCAAGGTGTTCCACTATCCTTTGCTTTTTCCTTTTAATCTGCGTTTTTCTTTTTTTTCTGCCGCTTAATGAGTATTTTCTTAGTACGTTTCTTATTTTTAAGTGTTAAAAAATTATACAAAGTATTTAGAAAAATTACAAATTTGTAAAGTCAATCGTGTTGGTAATTTTTCAATGAATTCGAGAATTCCGGAATTTGTATATTTTCCACGTGCTGTTTATATTTAAAATATTGTCTAGAGCGCCATATAAATATTGCTCGCCACCCTCCTCCCCCCGTTAAGCGAAAAGCACCGAAAGAATTTTTGTAATCCCAGAGACGTCCAAGAATACATCAAGACATTGGGCCCGATCCCGATCATCAACCAGCAATTACAACCTGGCCAGGTTTTTGATATTCGTGACCCAGAAAATCTTTCTTAGAAAATGCCGGCCATCACCGACTCGATCCTAAAGACGTCGCGGAACAATTATAAAGTCACGTTCAACGAGAGGTACCATAGCCACTATCAGCTCATCCAAATGTACTTGACGTTCACGCCGAGCGTGAAGGTAGAGTGTAGAAAAATGTAAAAGCTCCATCTTCTCCGGTATAGCTGGCCTTCTCGGACCCAAAGTACATCTTCGGCGTAGAGATGCGGAAGCTGAAGAACATGACGGAGGCTGATCTGCGGCAGCGGATAGTTACGGTGTGCGGCTGGGGTTGAGTCTTTTGAGATTGACGTTTTTTTGTTCCACTTGATGCACACCCCCCCCATAATGCAAAAGAACACGAAATATAGAAAAATTCTTATAATCACAAATAAATTAAAACGGCGATTTTTGCAAACATTTTGGCTGAATCGCCAAATTCATCGAAAACTTTAGGGACTAGCAAGCGCCGCTCAGCTCGGCTTCAAACCGGCCGAATCCTATGACACGACAAAGCTGTTCGACCTCTTCAGCAGGCTGAAGACGGTGAGCGGTACTATAAATTGATCCGACCACGTTTCTAAGTTCTTCGACGAGTCCCACGACATCATTCCGATGCCGGACGTCCGGGCGATGCTGACGATGGCCGACCTGCAAGAATTGGCCCCCGCGGTAGATGAGTTCTAGCGCGTCGAATTCCGCATCTTCAGTATGACTGGATGCACTTTGTCGGCTCGCATTTCCCCAAGAGGCTCCGCGCCCAGCTAAACGATCAGACCACGGTGAGGCTGCGCGGCAGCCGGAAGCGATTCGCAGAAGTGGGATTGCGTTCCATATCTTAAGCTCCTTCATCAGCTCTCCAAAATCTGGCTCGACACCGATCGGCTCGTGCTTCAAGATTTCCTATTCTTGAACTACATTCGGGATCTGAGGGTCACCTACCAGACGCGAAAGAAGAACAGCTGTGAGGATAGGGTAGGAGGCCATGACCATAGGTCTAAAAGGAGAGGTTTTTTTTAGTTTATTGAGCACTTCTTCAAACTTGCTGAGCACCTGACGCTCAAGTATTTGAGGAAGAAAGAGGTGGTGGCGCAGACAAAGGTATGAGATTGTTCGCTTTCGCTCTCACTCTCTCTCTCTCTCTCTCTCTCTCTCTCTCTCTTTCTCTCTTTCCACTTTGCTTTCAGGCATTAACCGAGAAGATCCGCGCCTCATTCCACGACCTCTTCGACTCGAATACCTGGCTGCACGACGAGACCAAGAAGTACCTCAAAGCCCAAGTAGCCGAAGCTGGCTTCGGCAAAAATTCTCACGATTCCAGCTGGACGACCAGGAAGCCGACATCGGCTACAACGCCAATGCCGTCGACCTCAGGCGCATCGACGAGATGTACGAGATGGTCGACATCGCTTCACAGATTCTATATGTTTCCCTTCCAGGTGCCCTTCCCCGAAAACGCGAACACCCTGACGTTGATGCTGTTCGAAGAACGAGCAGACTGGTTTCGAAATGATGTTGTGGGTACTTAAGGGGATTTTAATGACAAAAATTTGATAAAAATAATTTGCGCCCCCGAAATTCCCAGACCATCGACGACGACTTCCCCAACCCAACCAAAATGACGCTGGCCATGATGACTGCGTGGAATAATGGGTTTGGAATCAGTAAGCTTTTTCATTGTTTGTTGATTTGACTGGGGATATTGCAGCCATCCCGATTGGTTACCTAACCGCGCCGTACTTTGATGAGGATTGGCCGCTTGAGTTCCAGTATGCTCTGATGGGCAGCACGATAGGGCATGAATTTACGCACAGCTACGATATGGAGGGTGAGAGCATTTGTTCAAAGAGAGAGAGAGAGAGAGAGAGAGAGAGAGAGAGAGAGAGAGAGAGAGAGGGAGGGAGGGTGGGAGCGAGGGAGAGAAAGAGATTAGTAAGATTCCTTGATTTTAGAGGAACTACCTCAGCCAAGCCACGGCAACGACACCTGGAAGTTCGTAGAAAAGACCCAGTGCCTCGTCGACCAATTCAACAACGTCATCTACGAGAATCCGCGTCTGAACCTCACCGTCCAGGTGGGTCATGAAATTTTTTCCATTTTTACGCATCTTTTTTAGGTCAAGGGGCTGGGGTAACGCGCGGAAGCGATCGCCGACAATACGGGTCATCGAGTCGCGTGGATGGTGGGAGTAGAAAGATATGGCTATGACCCAGATAACCATCGCGATAACAAAGATAATTACTGCTTCCAGGCCTACCTCGGGGAGCGCAAGAAGCTATACGGCAAGAGCGCGCCGAAACTGCCCGGGCTCGAGGAGTACACCAACGATCAGCTGTTCTTCTTAGCCGGCTCGCTGGTGAGGCGCTTTAACAGAATTGTGATGGTGTTTTCTCATACAGGTTGTCCCACTAAAAAAAACCGTCTTCTAACTCGTCTAACTCGACACAGAAGTCTTTGATTGGAACGGTAGTTGAATCATTGGAAAGCCCACCGAATCTCCAAAAACTGATCGCCAAAACTATGATTTTATTCGAACGTGCTCTTCAACAAACCAGTTTCTAACTCCAACAAGTTGAAAACTCGCCGTTTCACAGGCTCTCGAATGGTGTAAGTAAAGTTCCGATGCGATACTTCTGCGTCAAGTTAAAGGGGGTTGCTTTTTATTCCGGACACCCTGGGGTGGTACCAGATTCGTTTACTACCCCTAGCAGCTGAATATAGAAATTCATTTTATCCTCATTACCCTCGTTTCCCAATCACACCCATTTTCAGAAATTCTGCGGTCGCCAACCGCCCCTGCTTCACGCTACTGACTCTTGGTATATGGGGTATTGCATCGCCAAATTTCCGTGCAAAATCCCCCTCTAGGGAACACCCGGAAGGAACGGTGCGCAACAACGAGCGCCTGAAAAACTTTGAGTTTTTCGCCAGCGCTTTTAAGTGCAAGGTGACGCATCAGACGCCAATGCTCAACCATTGTTACTTCCAGTTGAACTCGACGATGAACCCGCCGAAGAAGTGCCAGGTCTACCGCCGCATCCATCGTCACTGAAACGCGAAATTTGAAGCTGATTCCCCTCATTATTTTCCTGTGATGTCGCTGCATATTGCGTGTCGTTTCTAATAAATCGGGCTGTACAGGGTGTCCCAAAAAAATTCCCCCCCCCCCTAGCCGACCGCAGATCTATCCGATTTTTCGATTTAGGTACCTATCGAAAGCTCTCGTAAAGGCGAGTCCAGCACGTCTTGCTAATTTTCGAAATCTCGAAATTTTTTTTGCTCGTTTGCCAGCATTTTTCATGCAAAAAGGACACGCTTTTTTAACCAAAACGCAATTTAACCGGTTTAAGCGCTATCCAAGCTCTGTTCTTGCGAAGGGCTTGCAAAAAGCCGTCGTTGGGCTGCCAGGAAAGGCATTACAATTTTTAAATTGTGATTTTTGTAAAAAACGCGGAGGTCAGAAAAACATCAGAAAATCCGCCCGTATTGCAAAAACATCAGTAAATGACAGAAAAATTTCGGGATTTCGAAAATTGGCAAGACGTGCTGGACTCGCCTTTCCGAGAGCTTTCGATAGATACCTAAATCGTAAAAGTCGGATAGGTCTACGGCCGGCTAGGGGGGGGAGGGATTTTTTTTGGGACACCCTGTATACATGGGGGGAAACCCTGAAAAGCACGTGAAGGAGAAAGCTGGTACTGGACTGTTAGCGGGGGGTAACCTCTCCCTCTGCCTGCCTCTATACACAGATGATCAAGCAATTTTATGACATTCTACACTGTTTCAGGTAGAAAAGGCCCGCAGAAAATTATAATTTTTTGCAAAAGTGTTCAATTTTTCGTCGAAAATGTCGACATTTCCGAAATTAATTACAAATAATTTTTTTTTGTGGCTTAATAGAGATCCAAAACTACTAAAACACTATAAATACAGGAGTTATACGCTATAAAAACAAATGAATGGACGCGGAAACCTAAAATTAGTTTCTTCCCATTAAAACCCCCACGGCTAACAGTCCGGTACCGAGAAACGTTAACCCATCGAGCGACATCTCAACCTGCTAAATTTCCATCTGTACATTTTAATATCGAATAATTAGCTTGCAAGGAAAAGCAAGAAATGTGCCCATTTTTTCCAATCTCTGGTCGGCCACGACTTTCCAAAACACGGCTGATTCACCTCTTTTTGCAACATGGAAGGGCGTCAAGTCGTTGTTGTCCATGACGATCCAGGTATCGCTTTGAAAACGCTAGATTCCTAACATTTTGAATTAGAAGCCGACTGTATTCGCTGGGTGATGATCTTCGTCATCACGATGATCCTGATCATGCTTTTTTGGGGTGAGTGAATCGAATCGAATCGGTTCTGGACTTCTAGCGGTGGGGGGGGGCTTTTCCTGCGGGAAAGCCACTTTTCATTTTTTTACCTATTCCCACTCGCTGATTATATAAATGTATTTTTATAGGCTAAAGTATTAAAAAGTACCAGGGTTGAAAAGCCGCTTCGCGACTTTTCAACCCTGGCCCCGTCTGATCGCATGATATGTTTCACTGTGCATAATTCTTGGATTTCCAATAACAAAAAGGAAAATCGCACTCTCTAGCCCATTATTAGGCTACCGGAACTTCCGGCGTATGCTAATTTTTCCTAACAAAGAGGATCGCCGATTTTTCAACAAAAACATAATTTTAATGTCGAAAATAGGCAATTTGGATAAATCTGATATGCGTGCAGTCATCTCAGAGCCATTACGCACCTAATGACGTATCGTACCTAGCCTAATACCCTTCCCCTCTTGAGATATCCTCCGGACAGAATGACGGAAGTTGCATGCAAAGTGGCACAGACACACAGACACATAAACACTATTTTTTTTTATATTAAAAAGTATTTTTTAATTTGGAAATTCGAAGATTTTGGCCTTTTTGGTCATTTTTCATAAACTTTTGGCGAAAAGCCGAATATTGTCGAAATTATTATTTCTTGATTTTGTTTTTTTTTGTCGAAAATCTTTACAAAACGCTAAAAAATGGTTTAGATTTTGTTTCAAGGGCGTAGAGAATCATTGGGCAAAATTTGGCGTCCCCCGCTAACGGCCCAGAACCATCGTATCCTCCCTGAACATTCATCTGAATGATTTTGAATCCCTGTAGGTGGTCACGGCGAGCAGCCGCTCGAGCGGAAACCCCGTTGGAAAGCCCTCGATTGGGAGCTCGCCCATGACCGAAATTCCGCGACGCACCTACGGAACCTGAAGGCGGCCACGGAGAAGGCATATTTTTTGGATATTCTCACCCATTTGTTTTAGGGGCTACGGTTTACTTTACCCCCCCCCCCCTCCCCCCCAGCCGGAAGTTTTTGGCTATAACTTTTCTATTTTACATTATTGTAGGCTCAAATTAAAACTCTTAGTATATTTTTCGACGGTCTATCGAATGGCTTTGCGAAAATCCCGACAAAATAAGCGAAAATACCGACAAATTTGAGACCCCTCGGCTCTGGGGGGGGGGGGGAGTAAATTAAACTGTTACCGTTTTAGGTACAAGAATTGTGCTCGACGAAGGAGTGCACAGAAGCCGCTGGCTATATTGTGGGTTGTCGATTTGACAACGTGATAGAGATAACTTTTAGCTTCACCATATGGACCCGAGCGTCGATCCGTGCGTGGATTTTCACGAGTTCGCCTGTGGGAGGTGGAATCAGGTGCGTAGCGGAATTTTGGGCACACGAATCATTCGGTCTTTTAGAAGAACAAGCTCGGCTTTTGGGAGACGCTGGCTGCCGAGCTGCACAACCGGATCCAGGGTAGAGGTTTCAAAATTATCTTTTCAAGATGTAAAAATTTACAGACATTTACACATTACACTGAAAATTTCAAACCATGTGACAAAAAATAGCATAAATTGGTTTTTAAGAGCTGATCAACACCGATAGGACGTCGACAGCAATGGCAAAGGCTCGTATCTTCCTGGAACATTGCGAGAAGCTGAACATTTCTACGCTCAACGAGTTCGTCCCGTTCAGCCAGGGTCGTAACAAACCCAAATTTGGGGGGGGGGCGACCCCAAAAATTTTTCACCAATATGACTAAAACGACAGCGCCGTAGGCAAAATTTTTGAAAACATAGGGTTTATAACAACAAAACTAGTGTTAAAAATAGCCAAAAACAGCGCCGCTGGCAAAAAATTTTTTGGAAAAATTAAATCATAAGGGTCCCCCCTTATGGACTCTTCGGCCTTCGGCCGATTTCGGGGGGGCGGCTGCCCCCTCTTACGGGCCTGCTTTCAGCTCCCAATAGTTACCAAGTTTTAGCGCTGCTCAAGAATACGCGAAGAAGCTCGGCGAGGTCCGGATCATCGGCCAGCAACTCGAGCCTGGGATGGTGGCTTCTTGTGTGGAATTTACACAGACTCTTAGAAAATGCCGAGCATCACCGACGCGCTTCTGCTGACGATGCTGCACCATTTTGAGCGGCCTTACGATGTGCCCTATCGGCTACATCATAGTTTCATCGGGTTGAACGGGTCGATTGACGGCGGGATTTACGTAATTTTTTCATGAATCGGCTCTCCAATCTACGTTTCTTCAATGTTTTAAAAGTCTCTCACGCTATCTCTCTCTCGCTCTCTCTTTCGCTCTCCCTCTATCTCTCTCTCTCTCTCTCTCTCTCTCTCTCTCTTTCTCGCCCTCTCTCTCACGCTATTCTGCTCTTTCTCTCTCCCTCCTCTCTCTCTCTCTCTCTCTCTCTCTCTCTCTCTCTCTCTCTTTCTACCTGTAAAGTGCCTTTCAGCTTTTCTTCAACGACCCGATTTTCATCTTCGACTTCCCGCAGTACAAGTTGGCCGAGTTGCCGGAGGACTGGGAGCAGAAACGTGTTGAACAGGTCCGGAATTCAAACGATTTTTCAATGACTACTATCTTTGTCTAGAAAACATTAATTTTGAATTATCTTAGGCCCTCCAAAAAGCCCGCGATCTCGGCTTTTCCGTCTTTGAAAACGCGCACACCGTCCCAGAACTCGTCCAGTTTTACAAGCGCCTGAAGACGGTAGGTATTCTAAGGTTTCGTTTTCTTAATTTTTCGGAGCACTTCGCAGTACGTTGAGCACGTTTTTAGGAGCTCTACGGCGACGAGTACGAAATTGTTCCGTTCGCCGACGAGCCAGAACTAGTGACGCTCGGCGAATTGCAGGATAGGGTTCCGGCTGTGGGTTTTTGAGGTTGATGGCTCGGGAATAGCTAGTATTCGATTTTCTTTAATTTTTATAGTTTACTAAAAAGTTGAGTAATTAGATGAAAAAGTCTTGACTCGGAACCTAAAATAGCCCTAAATAATAATTGAAGAGCATAAACCGTCAATTTCGATTGAATTCCGGATTCAGCCGTATTCAGTGTTTCGTCTTTTTTTTCAGCTTGACTGGGAGCACTACATCGGCTCGCACTTCCCCAGCTCTACAGCCAAACAATTCCGTACCACTACGCTTGTGCAGCTCGGCGGTCCGGTGGCTGCTTTTGAGAAGGTAGTTTCAAATAGATCAAATAACGTATTTTTAGCTCTCCCAAATCCTCGTCTCCACGCCCCGCCATGTACTTCAACACTTCTTCTTTGTCACCTGGGCTCAGCATATCGGAGATCGGGCAAAAGCTCGGTTTACTGAAAGTTGCCATGAGCGGGTGAACCTTATGTTTACCGCATAGGAGTATGCTTTAGTTTTCCATGGCATTCCCGAAACTCGCAGAGCACCTCATCGTCAAGTATATAATCGAACAAACAGATGTCCCTGCGGCCAAGGTATCGATTTTTCACCGGTTTCAATGAGATCCATTTTGATTCAGAAGCTCGCCGAGCAGATCCGACAAAAATTTCAAGAGGTCTTGGATGAGAACCAGTGGCTGGAGAACTCGACGCGACAGTTGTTGAAGCAGAAGGTGAGAAGCGAGAGCGAGAGAGAGAGAGAGAGAAAGAGAGAGAGAGAGAGAGACAGTGTGTGGGAGAGAGAGGAGACTCTACCCTAAAATTTCAGCTCTCTACAATTCCGATCGAAATTGGCTACAACCAAAAAGCGCTGAATGTGACCGACATTGACAAGTACTACGAGAAGGTACCGGCCATGCTGTTCATCTGGAAAATATTTTTGAGCCTTTCAGCTCCACATCCCCGACCCGCCGAACCTCGTGGATTTGCTGAAATTTGAGGACCGAGCTGAGTGGCTGCGCATTGAAATGGTATCTGGGTTTTAGTTATAATACGTGATTTTTTGGATTTTAGGACCTCGGCGATACGGTAAACAGCGAAAAAGAGCCGTTGGCTAGAGCAGCGGCTTGGAATACCGGGAATCGAGTTGGTGAGTGAGGAGAGATAGAGAGAGGGCGAGCGAGAGAGAGACAGAGAGAGAAAGAAAGAGAGTGAGGGAGAGAGAAAGAGTGCTCATCCCAATTTTAGTAATCCCGATCGGCCTCATCCAGCCCCCGTTCTTTGCCCAAAACTGGCCGCTAGAGTTCATCTACGGCGGCATCGGCGAGGTGATCGGCCACGAGTTGACGCACAGTTTTGATGATCCTTGTGGGTTCCCTTGAAATTCGCTTCTCCTCTTCTAGTAATTCTCAGATTTTCAGCAAAACTTCCCTACGACGCCGACGGGGACCACGAGAATTTCCAGAAACGAGCCGACTGTCTGGTCGACCAATTCGGAAGGCCTGTCTACAGGAATGAGCTGCACAACGTGACGATTACGGTAGGAAAATCGGGAGTTGTCTGCTATTCTATATTTTTAGGATCGCGGTGAGCACCAGCTGCACGAGACGCTGGCCGATAACAATGGGTTGAGGGTGGCCTGGCGGGTGGGAAACCTGAGGATTTTTTTCGTTTTTAACGGCTAGAAATTCGAATAAAGGTATAGCCACATTAAGAGCATCAATACCTGGATAATCGCCTTATTAGATGCGTTAAACACCTAAATGCTCGGTGGCAACAACAACCTTTCTAGGCCTACAACGAGGAGCGCCTGAAACGCTTCGGCGGCCGCCCGCCAAAACTGCCCGGCCTCCAGGAGTACACCAACGAACAGCTCTTCTTCCTGGCTCATGCTCAAGTTCGAGCTTTAAAAGACAATACTCGCTTTTTCCTTAGTTCCTCTGTGGCCGTGTCCCCGACCCGAACAGCCGCGACGACCCGTATTTCATGGGGTAAGAAGTGGAGCGTGAACTTTTTAATGCAGTGTTAGAGAGCACCCACCGCTGAGTGTGCGTCTCAACGGCAGCCTGCAGAACTTCGAGCCGTTCGCCGTGGCTTTTAAGTGCAAGGTTGGATTTTTTTGGGAATCGAACCTGCTGCAATTTCGTCGCTTAAAAATCGAAATTTGAATTTTTTTTTAATGGGAAAAGCAGGTTAATTCCATAATGCTAAGCTAGCCCTCACCGCGGCTTTAAAACATTATAATCCCGCTCTTCTAGATCAACTCGCCGATGAACCCGATGAAGAAGTGCCGTGTATGGCGCCGTCTCCACCGCAAATGACCGACTGAAATGTTTCTTTTGTTCGCATGCTCCCCAACCCCTTTTTCTCGAGACTTCACCATGAATTTTGTGCTTTTTTGAGGTAGAATAAAGTATGAGTCGATGTCGGTCCGAAATACACGAGGCGTAACTACGGCAATTGTACCAAAAGATAGCCAGATCCCGTCATTCCGTCGTTTTTACCACGTCCTGTTCACCAGGAACCCGTAAGCAATTTGGCCCGCTATTTTCTTGGGCAATTTTGATCATGAAGAATTGGTTGTTGCACTGTCGGGAAACTTCTGGTACGCGCGGAAATTGCTGTTCTCGATACCATACTTTGCCAGACCGGAAAATGGCCCGATTTGACGGATTTCCGGAAGACCTTTGAATTGATTCACCCTTGGCTACCAGATTTCCTTCAACAAATTCCGCTACAAAATGTTATTCCAATTTCCAGGCATCTCAAATACCTCGGTTCCGAGTGTTTTTACGTTTTTGTTTTCACTGCCAGGTGAAAACACAAGCGGAATTAGACGTCAAACGGACCCTACCGCAACCAACCGTTTTTCCCTAATTTCCGGAATTAGAAGAATTTCCAAAATTTTTATTTGTGGTAAAAAAAACAATTGAAGCCAATGCTCCGGGAACTGCAAAGACCTCTATAGCAAAAGATACACAAACTCCAAACTCTCCAAGGAAAGCAGATCCCTTGAGGTTTTTCTGTTTAGCGGCTGATCGGGTTCAATTTTTCGAAGGCAACATGGTACAGTAGATGCCGAAAAAACAGACATCGGCTTCAGCGGCAAGGGATATCCGTCGGGTCGTGCTGGACAGATTTTAAGGTATCGATTACCAGGTTTTCGAAACCGCTAGAACTCCCTTGCGCTGATATTGGACAGGAAATTATCGGAAATCCCCCACGATTCAAGCTTTAAAATTGACAATTTTGACCAGCAACGCAATTCGTAATTTTTTACTGTTTATTAAAGGGCTGCCGACGGCATGTGTCGATCCCCCCCCATCAACAAATTGGCTAGTAGCCAACAGGGGAGAGAGCGCGCCCAGGGGAGAGGCGCAGAGACATTTTCTTTTCCGCGCGTAACCGATTGACTATGCCGTCGGCATCCCTTTAATCTTCATTCTAGGCAAAATGTGAGCAGGTACATGTATTCTCCAAAGCAATCAAAGCTCAGGTGAAAATCTGAAAATTTGAATTTCGTTTCCCGACGACAGGTGCAATTTTTAAAGTCCGTTTTCGGGGCTTACACCTGGAATCGAAAGCTAAAAACAGATGTTGTAGCTTCTTCGTACCGTAGTCAGTGTGGCATACTCAAACTTTTAGCAAAAAATTCCGGTTCCAGATCACCCTCATTGACCGCTTTTCCACGATCCCTTCTCACCGAAAAACAATCTTTTCTCTTCCCTCAGGTGAGCAATGTGAAATTTGCCAAAAGTTTTTTGTTGTCTACCGGAAAAAGCGGGCGCTAGGGTGGGATTTTCAGAATTTGCTATAAATGCGGGGTACGTGGGGCGTCTCGGCGGCGGATTTGGTAAATAAATGCATAGTGGCAGAGTTTTGACGGGTACTAGGTTGAAGGGCTAGTGTCCCATAAAAAAGCATCCCTCCCGCATTAAGCCATTTCACATCCGATCGGTCCCAAAATTGGACCAGGGGTGTATTAGTCCCTAAATAACCACAATTCGAAGCTATCCGCCAGCTACAGTAGTTTTCGAGATACAGCAAAAATAAACTTTATTATCCGTTTTTCATAAGGTTTTCGTCGGAATCGACCCTTCGAACCCTAGGTGAAAATGAAGCGGCAAACCTTCGTTTATTGCGCAGAAATTTCATTTTTACTTTCGTAAATATTGGATCGTGCACGATTTTGGTACTGTGGTGTAACATACTCATGCATTAAAAGATCAAAACTTTCCGCCAGGGTCCCGCGCAAATTATAGCACCGATGACTAAGCCCGAGAGCAAACGTGCCATTTTTTCACCCCAACTCAAAATTGCTTTGAAACTTCGGTTTGGCAGAATATCAGGTTTTCAAAGATATATAAGCCCTTATTACAGCTTAAATAATTCAAGACTTAATTTTCAGGATGGACCTCGTAAACTTCTCAAGTGGGGTTTATTTTGTTGGTGGAGCTGGCGTGATCTTGAATTTGTTCTTGCTTTGTTTAATCGCGACTGATCGAGCGGTAGGCTGAAGGGTTTCAACGAAAGCAAGAGAGAGGGAGAGACAGGGAGAGAGAGAGAGAGAGAGAGACCATAGAGCTGAAGAGGGCAACAGATCGAAACAACCATAAAATTCCAGAAACACAGCGATGACTACCGTACCCTTCTCTCAATCATGACAGCCTATAATATCTACTACGCCCTGCTGCACTGTATTACCGACGAGGTACTGTGGCACCCAAAGTCTTTAAGGATTTTTAGACCTTCCTCATCGACGAAAGTGGTTTTCTCGTCTTCAGCAAAAATTTGGAACGCTTTGGGTTTGATGCCTCTTATATTGGGACCTTGGTAAAGTGCACTGACCGCTCTAAATTTAATGAATCCAGCTCTACATAATGTCCTTCGAATGGTCACTATCCTTACTTGCTATTCACTGCCTGTATCGTTATGCGAAGATCACAGGGTAAGCTCAAAAATTATCGTTGGATCTAGTGCCGAGAGCTTTAGAAAATTTGCCTTCCTTTTTGATCGTTGGCAAGGATTACTCGGGATTACGGTGGCGCATTTTCTGATCGGATTTGTGTACATATTTGGGTGTCATTTGACGATGAGGGTGGGTGATAGATGATAGCGAGAGAGTGAGGTAGCGAGAGAGAGCGAGTGAGAGAGAGAGCGAGCGAGAGGAAGAAAGGTAGTGAGACAGAGACAAAGAGATAGAGAGAGCGAGGGAGTGAGAGAGTGAGAGAGCGTGAGAGAGAGATAGCGGGTGCGAGAGTGAGAGAGAGGAAAGAGAGATCGAGAGAGAGTGAGTGAGAGAGATAGCGGGCAAGAGAGAGCCAGATGCAAAGAGTTCCTAAAAATAATTTCCCGTTTAGCCAAGCCCCGAGCGCAATCAAATCAGCGCCAAAGAATTATCAGAACGTTATAATGTATCTTCAGAAGGTCTAGGATACCTTGGACCCATTTACAAGGTATACCCGAGCAATGCTCACAAAACACCTTGCATTTAGTTGAAGAACCAATCAACCGGAAAATCCGAATTTTACGTAGGGAATATGGCTGGTTCCCTGGTTTGTGGGCTGGTGCAAATCATCAGTTACGACGTGATATGTTATTTCGGGTTTAAACTGTGAGCTGATACCGTAATGATGGGCTTAATCTTCGTTAGATACCTCTTCGTGCAACGGGCCTTGATCAGCGCCAAGACCAAGTCGATCAACATGCAATTGCTTAGACTGCTCTGTATTCAGGTATGGGTTTTATCGATTACACTACGTTAAACTGTTCCTTTTTAAGGCCATTGCACCTATGGTTTTCGAGTATATCCCTGCTTCCCTGACGATATGGGGCGGATTTGTGGCCGGGTTTTGGGGTAATTTTCATGCGATGAATTTAGGGAACATTTTACAAATTAAAGTTTTTGAGTGAAGTGTGATCTTTTGTGTTCTATGTGATTTTCCAGGCGGTTCCCTCAGTAATTATGCCGGAATCATGCCCGTTTTCATCGCCTGTTACTCACCCGCCGACGCATTCATGGTTATTTTTGGGTTTAATGTGGGTGTTTCATTAATTCTAATTTTGTCGAAATCTCCGCAATTCGCAAAAAGCATGTCTGCTTCTGAAATGTACCAACGACGTCTGGGGCAGCTGATTTCTAGGATTTCCTGGATTCCGGCTTCTGGAAAATTCAGACACAATTTTGAGCCCGTTGAACCCTTAAAAATCACGAAGATATTTTAGGCGTACCGTCGACGTCTGAAGGAGTGGGTGGGGATGTCGGTGACGGGGTCTACGGTACACGCAGAAAGTCGAGGGACGACATCTAAGGGTCATGGAATTACCACAAAAGTTTCGACAGCCAATGCCGAGATCGACGTACGACGTCCTAGCGTCGGCTTGAGCCCGGCCAATTTTACTAACTGACAATAAATATCGGAAGTTATTAGGTGGGAACCGCCCCGAAACGCGGAAAATGGCGCTCATTGGAGCCGGTCTTCTGGCTTTCATTAATGCACGTTAGACCAGCTTGACGTCAACCCGTACCGATTATGGTTCACTCGGGATACCAGCCGAAGGTTTCACGCTTCGTTAATCAGGAAGCTACAGAAAAACCACAGAAAATAAGTTTATTTTTATGCGACAGCTTGACAATGGCAAAAGTTGGCCATTTTGGGCATTTTTGACACTTTAAAGCTCCATAACTTTTGAAATATGGTCGTTTCGCAGATTCTGAACAGTAGGTTTTTGATCGGCAAAAAATTCTGCATGAAATAGGCTTGGTCCTATTCCGAAATCAGTGGACACTAAAAAACGTCTCCTTGTTGGCCGATGACTTCTATTGTTTTTATGCTATAGAATGTCTTTTCAGCCAACTCATGAAAGAGATCTGCTCAGCCAAAATACCGTACAAATTTGCTATAAACTTTCCTCAAACTCAAACGGTTCTACCGATTTCTGCCCCATTTCGCGAATTTTTGTAATTCTCCGCACTCCCAATTTCACGCCCCACTGGAAACAGCCAACGACATGAGGTAGCAATTTGTAATTGATCCCCATCCAGCCGTCCCATCCCCCGGATCGTCTCGCGCCCCGCTTTTTTTGGTGGCCTCCGAAATTTCGCCCGCTTTAACGGGTCGTGGGATTTCCAGCTGATGATCATCGTGGGGAGATACTTGATCCAGCCGGCAGACAGGAAAGAGTGAACTTCAATTCGCTGCCCCCGTTTTTGCTAGAGTCTATTTGCCAACGTCGGCGTCCTCAGTATCGACTTGTTTCCCGTGGGGGGGTTCGGCGATGAAGACGCGGATATTTTTGGCAGTGATTTTGCTATGTATTTATTATGTAGGGGCCGAGAAAAGGTAAGAAAACTGGTCATCAAATTTTGAAAAATTCCGAGGTTTAAAAGTACAGCCTATTTTTAAAATTGTCAATTCAATTTGTTCCAACATCAAAGTCGATCAACTAATTTTTTTAGTTTCCGCGTCGTGTCTTTTAACACGTGGCAAATGGGGCTGCACGTCGAGGAGGGTATGGAAAAGCTCGCAAAGCATATTTTGGCGCTAGAACCGGATATTGTCTCCTTACAGGTATCTCCCAGATACCTTGAAAGCCTATGAAAATTTAGGAAGTCCAAACCCCGGAATCGGCTCAAAATCTCACAAGCTTATTGCCGGAGGGGTGGACGATTATCTATGCGAATAAACTGTATCCAGATGTGGCATTATTGACAAAGCACCGGGTAGCTTTTCTGTTTTTTCTCTGAAAACGTGCCAAAAATTAATTACATATTAATTATAAAATTAAAGCGTCAAATCGTTATTTTAGATAATAGAGGAGTCCGTCGAAAATACGACAGCCGGAATTCACGCTCGAATCGAGCTTCCCGACGGCCAACAAGTCAGCTTCTGGGCATATCATGGATTTTGGAGGTAGGTAGCTTGGATTCAAGTTTGTTAAATCTTAATCCTAATTTAAATACTTTAAATGCACTTCTTTAAAGTAGTTGAACATCCGAATCGACCGAGTTTTTAGGGCCTACGGTCCCTACGCAGCTTTCAACCGCCTTGTGACTAATTTGAGCCAGATTCTGGACGGGGAGCACGTTCCACTAAAAAGCAAGATTGGTAGGCAACTTTTCAAATGCTGGAATATTCTTTAGGAAGAGCCGAAAACGTGAAAGAAATCTTAAAATCACGCTCAATGGCGCATGATTTGAGCGTATTGGAGCGCGTCCCGATAATCATTGCTGGAGACTTCAACTCGCCCAGCCATTTGGATTGGACGAATGAGACAAGGTGGGATGAACTCTATAAGCAAAGTCTCAAGATCACTGGTTAATATCACTCTCTATAAAACCTTTAAATTGTAGTCATTTACACGGTGATTGGGTCGTCCCATGGCCCTCGACTGAAATTCTGATGGAAAATGGTTTTATCGATGCCTATCGGGAAGAATTTCCGGATCCGATTTCGCATCCAGGTATATAAAGTGCTTCAAATTATCGATTTGCTACTTTTTTTATTACTTTATACAGTTCCCAACGTCTAGGGCTTACCTGGTCCACGGTTTGCAAAGAAAACGTGGAATGGGAATACGCGTTTCCGGAGCCGCAAGACAGACTTGATTTTATTTTCTATCGCGGTCACGTGAAGCCGTTGCGGTATGAAATTCTCAAAAAAATCCCATGAGAGAAATTTTTAGGACGGAGCTGTACGCTGGGAACGAGCCACTCGAGAAGATGCCGAATCATAAGATGAACGATTTCCCCTCTGACCACTATGTGATATATACAGACTTTGAGATCTCACGGCTGTCGAATGCTATCGAAAAATGAGTGCAAATTTCTTGGGAATAAATGCTTGAGTTTAGCTATCGCTAGGACTCCTGAAGAGGCATTTAAAGTATCATTTTTAGGCAAAATTTGTCAAATTTTTTTAACGATGGAAACACTTGAAGTCGACAAAATTCGAAGAAAGTTAGTGCTAGCGCGTGACCAAATTGATTTTGAATTTTTGATTTTGAAAAATTATATTTTTTCATAAATTTTCAAATATTGTTACTCATTTTCATTCGCAGCTTAAAAATTAACGCGTAAAACCTTAAAAAGAAACGTTTTTAAGGCAAATCTTTGCAAATGTTAACGTTTTGCAACCTGATCTTATCAAAAATGCATTGCTAAGCGTATCAATGAAAATACCCAGCGCGGGGAACTTAGAAAAACTTTTCCCAAGGCCAAAATATCATTTATTTCTATTAATGTTTATATTAATCGTACAATTTATATACATTCAACCAGATGTAAGTATTTAAGCGCAAACCGGGTTGATTTGATGGAATTTCCCTGGCGTGACTATAGCTTCGTTCCGTACAAAATATTCCACGCGCCGTTCCGCCCCGGCCCGGGCTATTCATTCATAACAGTCGCCTGGAAACGTTATATTTGCACTGACCCACGCCGCCCGCGCCGATAGCCCAACTATTGATCTATTTTTTTGGTGGGGTGCCGCTTTTTCCACGCCCTAAATTACCCGCAGGGCTAACAAGCTGTCATTTGAATATATTCTTGGCATTCGGCGGGCCTGGATTTGCCGAATTGATTTCTGTACAACATTTTGATCGCCATACCTGGGAAATCTCTCTATGCGTGCAATTTTTGCCTTGTTTTTGCTGTTTCTGGTAGCTGATGGCAAGAAAAGGTATATAATTGAGAAAATACAGTTAAGTTTCGTCTTTTTAGCTTTCGTGTAGCCTCCTTCAATCTATGGCAATGCGGGAATCACGTTGAAAAGGGCCTGGACAAAATTATCAAGCATATCAAGGTCGTCGATGCGGATGTGTTCTCATTTCAGGTACAATTTGAAAATATCTCTTGCGTAATTAAGCCGGTGCTTTTGTAGTGTCGGGGGGGGGAATCAGGACGATCTTTACACTTTAAACTGCTTACTTTACAAATTCTTCGATGAAAAATACCAAAAAAAACCAGTTTGACGACCAAACTGTCGAAATTTCAAGCACATTTCAGGTTTCTTTAAAAAAATCGTAATTTTTTAAATGATTCACAGACTCAAATCGCGTTGAATTTTACAATGAACATTATTAATCTTTCCTATTATCGTAAGCATTCTGGACTTGTACCACAAAAAATTAGTTCCCCACTGCCCTCCCCCCAATAATGCTAAAGAACCTAAATTCTATTAAAGGAAGTCCAAAATGCCACTGCCATGCGCCAAATCGTCGACGCGCTGCCGGACGGGTGGACGGCCGTTTTCCCGAATAGCAGCTACCCAAATATCGGCATTTTGACGAAGCATCCGGTGGGTTTTTGCGAAATATAAATAGTAAAGCTTATCTAACCTTTTTGTAAATTTTATCACTCTTTAGATTGTCCCAGAATCTGTTGTCAATACTTCCTTTGGTGTCCACGCTACGATCAAATTCGACTCCGGCTTCAGTATCAATTTCTGGGCTTTTCATGGATTTCACAAGTAGGTTTTGCACATTAAATTTTTATTTATATATAAACCCGTCAAGCTAACAGAACTTCTGGGGTTGTCGGGCTTTAAAAGCTTCGTTTTTCAGAGCCTACGGCCCGCACGCGGCTTTCAACAAGTTGGTGACGAATGTGAGCCAAATTATTTCTGGGGAATACGCGCCAAAGGAGAGGAAGGGCGGTAAGTTTACCACCTTTTATTTATGGCCAATTAATTTACCACTTTTTTTCTCTAAAAACTATACCTTAATACTGACTTAATAGGCTTTTCAGGCCGCGTCCAAAACATTCAAGAGGTCACCGAAAGCGCCACCACCAAAGCCGCCTTTAAACGACTGAAAACCGAGCCGATTTTTATCCTCGGCGACTTCAACACGCCGAGTCATCAGGATTGGGTTGAGGCTAACAAGTGGGATATCGTTTGGGTTATAGTGGATATTTTAAGTGGATCGATTCCCGTAAATTGGACCAATTTTTAGACCCAAAAATGGCGGCTGGGCGGTGGAATGGCCGGCGACGAAGCATTTGACAGACCTTGATTTCTTGGATGCTTACAGGGAGCTTCACCCGGATCCGATGAAGGAACCTGGTTAGTTTTATGCATCTTTGATGCTAAATATTACCTTAAAATCTAGGATACTCCTGGTCCCCGGTAGCCAAGACCAACTACGAATGGGACTTTGCCTTTCCGGAGCCACAGGATCGGATTGACTTCATTTTCTACAAGGGGCCAGTGAAGCCGACAAAGTAGGAGAGCTCCCAAACTTCAATTCAATAGAGAATTTATAGTCATAGTTAATTTTTAAGTAAGTTTTATCATATTTGCATCTTTAGCGTGACCCTCTACTCGGGAAGCGAGCCGCTGAAAATGATGCCCGACCATTTCTACAACGACTATCCTTCTGATCACTCGATTGTTATTGGGGATTTTGAATACCTGGAATAAGTTGCGTGAATTGTATATTTTTGTATTACTTCGATGCCTTAACTTGCCTTTTATTTCCGCGGGTAAAATAAGAAAACTGTGATAAACGTCTTGACGAGTGAACTTTTTCTCTCAGTAATTATTTTGCATACTACGATATTTCAATTCACTATTCTTCGAATTCATGAAGCTTCTATAAAAACGATACGGAAAGGCACCTTAACATGAAAAAAAGAACAAAATGTACATCGGGGCGCTGTCTGTTCTTACGGGAAACGCGTGTCAATCCGGTCCACCGCGTTGTAGACGGAACATCCGAAGACACATCAGCCCTCTCCCAGCTATGTCCCCTACCCGGTCCCGTGGTGTAGCGGTTAGCACTCAGGACTCTGAATCCTGCGACGGGAGTTCAAATCTCCCCGGGACCTTACCTTTTTGCTTTTTGGTGCTTTTTGGACCTTACCATCGTACAGACGAAAACGGCCAAAGCGCACCTTTATTTTTCTGGTAATGGAGTCGGCTTACCCGAATTTGCCTGTTTTTCGGTGGTATAAAAATAGCTTTTTATAGCTTCAAAAAATTACAATTTCGAGATCAGTTGACCTTTTAAGGCCTATGCGGGGAAATCGCAAATTTTAGTTTTTAGGCCCGTTGAAGACAGCTCTTTTTCTTGCAACTGGAATTTAAACATTTCAGGGCCCGTTGAACCCAGCCTTCTTTTTTTGATGTCGTAATTTAAAAGTTTTATAACCACATAATTAGTGCCGTTGTGCTCATTGCTCTCAAATAATCTCTGATGGCCTGCCTTTTTATGATGTCGCAATTTAATGAGCAGGACATCCATCAAACCTTTTTTGCAAATCCCTGAAAGGTCCGGTATAGCATCATCCCCGCACGAGGTTCCAGCCAACTTCCGCCTGGCCGGCAGCCAACCCAAAAAGGAGCATCAGCCGGGTGGAATGCAAGAGGACAGCGAGACTATTCGCAGTGGGGCAACGTTCTGCCAAAGTGCACATGCCCTATCCTGCCCTCCCGCTGCACTTTTGCTGCCCTTTCCCAGACTTTTCGCCCTCTACGCGGCTGCGCGGATTCTATTCGGCGAAACGGGTTCTGGTTTTTGGTGTGTTCCGGTGGGTAATCGGTTCTGAACTACCGGTGGAGGTGGTTAGAGTGATTGATTGTCGGGTTTTGTTGTTGTTTATTGGTAAACATATCGTCGACTTTTTTTCGAGTGCTGATCGTATTTTCGCATCGCTTTTTGGAAGAATTAATTTTGTAAAAGAGGACTTCAACCGATTGCCCAAAAAATTAGACAATGGAGAAATTGAGTGCAAAACATTTTAGATTCTTTTTATTTAGCCTTCTATTTCGTGTCGGATGTTTTTCCTAAATAGCTTCCAGATACTACCGTAATCCCGATTAAGGCCTTCTGAAGACGGCTATTATGGGAAAGGGGACAGGCGCGTGAAGCAGGCGGCTCGCGGTATAATTATACTATCCGCTCCAATGCCGTCTAGACGTAAACGGGGCTTCATTTGCAAACATCTCGATTTTGGAATAATGATCTTTCTCCGCTTATAGTTCTTCAAAATTCCGAATTATTTGTCAATTTTGAGGAGGCTGATAAGAAAAAGACGACAGGCCAGGGCATCGGCCTTGGCAAATTCTGATAAGCCGCAAGTCGACCTATTTCAATTTCATTTTTCTTGATGTTCTTGACGTCAACGCTTTATTTTAGATAATTTAAAATCGTCGATTCGATCCTTTTAGCAAGTAATGCTGCCGAGTAGCGGATGTATACTTTGTGATGCCCTCTATGCAATTCCAATCCTAGCGGGGCTGTACTTTTTAAGGTAAGCTTTTTATGGGTTCTTCCTTTCCCGTTAAGTTTTTGACGGGTCCCCCCCATTTATTTTTTCTTTAGAAAATATATTCGAGGCGGTCAATTCACCGAAAATGTTCGGGCTGATGGAAAAATAGTAGTTGTAACCGGCGCCAATTCGGGGGTTGGCCGAGGAGTTTGTGAGGAGTTGAATAAACGGTAAAGTCAAAGGTATCAAAATTTTTAATGCCGACCAGGGTTGAAAAGCCGCTTCGCGACTTTTCAACCCTGGCCTCGTCTGATCCGATGATATTCTGCACTTTGCATATTTTTTCACCAATTCCATCCCGAAAAATGAAAAACATCCCCTTCTGTCCCTTTACATAGGCTTTCGCCACTTCCGGCGCATGCAAATTATTTCCTAACAAAGAGTGAGACCCGAATTTTCATAAAAACTTAATTTTAATGTCGAAAATACACTTTTTATAAAATCCGATATGTGTGCAGTCGTGTCATGACCATTACGCACCTTTCGACGTATCAAGCATACCCGTAACTTCCTTCCCTATCGAGATACGACTGGAACATAATGACGGAAGTTGCATGCAAAGTGGCACACACACACACACACACACACACAAACACTATTTTTTATATTCATTATATTTTTATATTTTTTATATTTATAAGATTTAATCTAATTCCATCGATATTCAAGGTTTTTCTAAAAAAACTGGTACTTTTTCAACAGGAATTACGCAATTAGCATGCAGATCCTGCACAAATTAGCAGTTTTCATGGTTTTTCGACGTAAAATTAGCGCATAAAAATGCATAATAAAGAAAATGAACCCTGCTTGTTTTCTCGCCTTTTCGGGAGCTTTCGATAGATATCTAAATCGTAAAAATCGGAATCGACTGCGGACCGCTAGGTAGGGGGGGTTTTTTTTGGGACACCCTGTATAGTAGGATTTAGAGGCGCAAAGGTTTATATGATCTGTCGTGACGAGGGCCGAGCGGCGAAGGGCCGGAATTTGATGATCGAGGTAAGTAAATCCTAAAAGTAGCGTCGATCAGGTTAACGATAAAATTACACGCGTGTGAAAAATGGAATATTGAGAAAGATTCTTTAAGATCCTCGATGCTTTTTAAATCCAGTGAGCTACGTCACTTTTTAGAACGGCTGCGACCCTTCACGCTTACTAATCCGCATCGCCGACCTGGCAAACCTGGCCAGCGTTCAAAAAGCAGCAAAGCAGATTTTGAGCGGTATTATCTTTCATGTATATTAAAAAATTAAATCTAGAAGAAAAACACATCGATATTCTGGTCAACAACGCTGGGATGTTTGGGCTCTTAAAATTTTCCAAAACCACCGATGGCTTTGAGGAGACGTGGCAGAGCAATTATTTGGGTAGGTTGTGTGGGTAGGGTTCCAAATCTGTTATTAAAAAAGCCGTTTTACTCAATAGATGGCACAAACTACTACTAATTACGCATTTTAGGACATTTCCTGCTCACCGAGATGCTTATCACAGCGCTCAGAAAAGCCGAAAAACCTCGAATCGTCAACGTCAGTAGCTTACTGCATCCATACGCCGATTCGGTGGATTTCAGACATGGTAAGTGGGCAGGGCCGTAACAAACCCAAATTTCGGGGGGGGCGACCCCAAAAATTTTTCACTAATATGACTAAAATTACAGCGCCGCAGGCAAAATTTTTGAAAACAGAGGGTTTATAACACTAAAACTAGTGTTAAAAATAGATAAAAACAGCGCCGCAGGCAAAAAAATTTTTCGAAAAATTAAATCATAAGGGTCCCCCCTTATGTACTTTTCGGCCTTCGGCCGATTTCGGGGGGGGCGGCTCGCCCCCCTCGCCCCCCCCCCTCTTACGGGCCTGTAAGTGGGTCACTATTTATCAAATTTAAATTTAGTAAACGACCCGAAGAACTATGGTATGTGGATGGGATACGCTAGGACAAAACTGGCAAATGTGGGTTCCTAAAAATCAGTTCAAAATTTTTCCAGGTAATGCACGCCCGGTGGCTTGCTAGGAAGCATCCAAAAATTTTGTCCAACTCCTGCCACCCTGGATGCATTAATAGCAGCATTTTGTCGACGAGCGGGTGGCTGTTTTTGAAGGTTTGTTTGGAAGCTTCGCTTAGGCTTAGCTTAGGCATAGCTTAGGCTTAGCTTAGGCTTAGCTTAGGCTTGGCTTAGGCTTGGCTTGGACTTAGCTTAGCTTTCCTCCATCTTTCGAACGATGTTTAGGACATCCTCTACCCATTCTTCTGGTACTTTATGAAAACCGAGATGGATGGCGCACAAACCGCACTTTATCTGGCGCTAAGCGAGAAGGTCGAGGGAAACGGGTTATATTATAGGTATAGTAATCTTGCAAATACTTCAGAAATAAGGGTAATACCTCTAGAAACCAAATTGACTAAAAGGCAAAAATAACCACACCAAAGTTTGTTTTTCACATTTTGAGCCCCTCGCACCTCTCTCGTTTTCAAGTCGAACCCCTCCGGCCACAAAGCAGATGATTATAAACCACAGTAATTACCCAAATTGGCCGGTGAAAATCTCACCCCCAAAATGAAAATTGTTGTACAATTCGGTGAGACCGGGGTTTGTTTCAGCGATTGTGCCGTCGGCAGTATGGGTTCGAAAGCCCGAGACGATGCGGCGTGCGAAAAGCTGTACAAAGAATCGCTGCAAGCCGTCGGCCTCGACTACTATCAGGAGATTACCACTGCTAAATAGTTTTTATCTAAATTTGATAATTGTTGCCGTTGCCCCCGCTCACATTCAGCTTTACCTGCCATCTTGTCGAATTTTTTCTCCGGTTTTGTGTCCTTGTCATAAATCCTACTATATATAAAAAAATAGTGTTTGTGTGTGTGTGTGTGCCACTTTGCATGCAACTTCCGTCAGCGTGTTCCAGTAGTATCTCAAGAAGGCGGGTAGTTAGGGGTATGTTTTACACCTCATTAGGTGCGTAATGGCCTTGGGGTGACTGCACACTAATAATAGTTTCAAAAATTAACTGTTTTCGACGTTAAAATTAAGTTTTTGTTGAAAAAACGAGAACCCGCTTTGTTAGGAAACAATTAGCATGCGCCGGAAGTTGCGGTAGCCTATATAAGGGAAGAGAGGTAACGTTTCTCATTTTTTGTCATCGAAAATCGCGAGAATTATGCAGAGTGAAGAATATCATGCAATCAGACCGGGCCAGGGTTGAAAAGTCGCGCAGCGGCTTTTCAACCCTGGTTCTAATTATTTTTGTGGCTCAAACATCTTTGTGAGAGCGTGAGAGAAGGAGAAAAAGAGAGAGAGAGAGAGAGAGAGAGAAACAAAGAGAGTTGCAAAATTGGCTTTTTGGCACGAAAGGCCCTGATGCCTAGGGAATTTCGGTGAACGCTGCGGCTACCTCTGAACATTGGGATCACCTGAGCAATTTGGTTCTGATGATTTTTAAGAGCGACTTTTCGACTTTTTTTTTTGGTTAGCAGAGCAAGAATGCGCACCGCTCGAAGACCGTGTACTAGATATCCGGATCTCGTACTAAGTAAGGCCAAATCACATGTCGTCCACTTCATTTTCCACTTACAATTAGCTAACGAAGCTTACAAAGCTGCTTGTGCTGTAGATTTCGATGCTTCAAAGTCTTTTAAATGGAGCGAAAATCGGCAAAATTTGGATTGACTGGATATGGGTAAGCGACTGATTTGTCTACAAGGGGCTGGATACGCAAAGCCAGCTTACACCCGTTTTTGTGCATCCATCTTCATTCCCCCGCTTCACATTCAACCAAAAACCTTTACAGGGATCTTTTAATCCAAAACTTTTGAAAAACCACCTAGTCGACCCTAGACCGCTGAACTTCGGGCAACCCCCTGCGCTCCCTCCCCCTCGCCGAATCGCGCACGACCTGGCTCACTATGTCCACAATCGGGCAAATCGCCGTTTTTACTACCAAATTACAAATATCGATTTTGAAATATGAAAATGAAGTTTCCAGATTCCGTTTTTGGTCAGCTTAGGGTTTTTGACAGCCCTCTATCGGAATCCGAAGAGAGCTAAGCCCCCTTCGAGTTTAATTCGGCCTCAGAAGGATAGACAGCACAACTTTTTTATTATAGCTGGTAGACCACCAAAAGCATAGCTCATTTCTGAAATGCTACACAAAGTAGTTTAGACCAATTGGATCTTCTACTCAAATCCGTACTTTCCGCAGAATCACACATCGTCATTCCTCCCCCCCTGGGGACACCATCCTGACAATTAGCCAAAGTTTGGTTCTACGACACTCAATTTCGACCAAGGCAACCGGTCTGACTCCGCTGTATCCACACCCCCTTCTGCACAATTGCTATTTTTGGGAATTTCTGGGCCTAATTCCTATTTTCGAAGGGGTTAAATTTTCATGTCGGATCTGTCGCAAATTTTTTCAGTTCCAGAAATTTTCCGTAACATCGGGGTGGAGAAGGGGGTGGTGGGGGACTCGCAGCCCAATTTGTCTCGTCGAGGGTTCAGACCTGAGCCAGTGTTTCTCATTGCTTTAGGCATGTACGGGGCGTTTTATTTGTTGGGTATTTGCTTTGGTGTGAATTGCGTCAGGTCACGGGTCTCGACGAGGGTTATTAGTCGATGAGCCGGGAAGTGGTGGGAAATAGGCTTAGCGCATGTTTTGGACTTACTGCTGCCTTCAAGGTATAATTTATGGGTTAACCTGATCTCTCTTAATCGTTGAAAACTCAAAAAAAGGTACTGAAATTCAGAAAAGCAGCCCCTCCATCGACTGGGACTCCACTGCTAGGAAAATAAAATGCCAGGCATCTGCAGTTTCATATCGAACGAAACTGTCGAGACCTAGTGGGCCGAAATCATCAATTTCGACGCTTCTCAGTCCTTTTCGGACGCATTTAGGCTCCTTCAGTACATGGAAAACACCATTAGGCACTAGCGTTTTGTAGAAATCTTGACTTGTTTTTTGTTGCTTCCATGAAAGCTATTTTGTTAATTCTTGTTTTCTTATATGGGAACCTATGCTACATTGTATTCTGATGAACCGTTTTCTGGTGACATTTCCACATTAAATCAAACGGGCTATCATTCATTTTTAGATGGAACTCTTCATCCCTTTCATCTATTTCGGGATTGTCATAGTTTTCGTCGGCGTCGGGTGCTTCGGAAATTTGAATGTCATCTGGGCGACGCTGCGGAAAAAGGAGCTACGTGGAAAGCATGGTACGCCGAAACCCTGGCAATGGATATTATGACAAAAGCAGCGAGAATCAAGATCCATGTTTTTTCAGGAACCCTCCTTTTTATCGTGGTCTGCCTCCACACGGCGTGCTTATTTTTCGAGTTTTTAACGATGGGCTTTAATCTGCTGTTTGTGGAGACCGGGTTCAAGCAGTTGGAGTGTGCTCAAATTACGGCTGTATATTTCTTCGCGTTAACTGTACAAAATGTGATGGCGTTGGTGATAGTGTTGGATTTGTTAATAGCGATATCTTTACCTATAAAGTAAGTTTTGATTTATGAGGAGAGAGAGATAGGAGGAAGAGAGTGAGAGAGAGGGGGGGAGGAAGAGAGAGGGCAAGAGATAGCAAGAAAGGGAACGGGAGGGTGAGAGGGAGGGAGAGAGCAGGAGAGAGAGAGAGAGAGAGAGAGAGAGAGAGAGATAGAGAAAGAAAGAGGGAGAGGGGGCAATAGTATCAGAAACCGTGATGTTTAGACATCGCATCTGGTCGATTCGAATCTATATCCCGCTCGTTTGCCTCCCTGCGGTCATTATTGGATGTATTTTTACCAGTTTTGCAGCGATCGAGGGCGATCCGTAAGTCACAAACAACTGCTTTTATCTCATTTTTCAGGGAGTCAATAGTGTTGGCCTGTACCCCGCTCGTCTCCTTGGAAGCGACCGTGGAGAAATGTTGGTTATGGTGGAATCTCGCAGTGAATTTGGCGATTCTGGTACTCTATGGGGTGATAACGATTATAATTACGATGAAAGGTCCGGACTTGGTTCTTTAAAATGAAGTTATATTATGTTTTTAGCCAAAGAAATTGCGAAAAAAGCTGTTACTCAAAATGCTTGCGTAATGCGGAAGAAGACGGACGAGCAAAAGGTCATTTATTTTGAAAAGATTGGCTTCCAATAGGCTCGATATTTATTGTCTCGCTCTCTCTATCTCTCTCCCTTTCTCTCTCTCCTTTTCTCTCGCTCTCTCTCCCTCTCTCTCTCTCTCTCTCTCTCTCTCTCTCTCTCTTATCTTGCTACCTCTTTCACGCGCCCTTTTGGTTGCTCCAGAATGTCTGAAAAGGACAGTGCTAGCCCCATTTCCTTTTCCATTCAAAGTTCAACATTTTTCCAGGTGCTCGCCTCTCTCTCCCTTCTCATCTCAGTCTTCGAATTCTCCTGGTGCTCCTACATCATCTGCCACATCATCCTCAGCCACACCGGGCTGTCCAAGACACCCGAGGCGCCCCTCGTTCAAATGTTCCTGGTAAGCCCCAATTTTTTTTGAGCTAATCTAATTTACCTTACTTCCCTGGCAATCCGTGTAAACCTACGGATACGTTCCCACGCCACGCCAGCGTGCGAATTTTTAGGCAAAGGTTTTTGTTTTTGAGTTCCTGAACGGCCCATAAAAAATAGCTGAGTTTTAAGGGGGACGTATAAGTAGAATAAAATACCGGTAATAGTCTTTTATGACTAGAAACATAGAAAATAATTGGGTTTAATCGGTTAACCGGTTTTCATTTAAACGGTTTTTGGGCGATTCACAAGCTCGTAGTTTCGACAATTGCACGCGAACTCCCTAGGGACTCGGCGTAGGTCATATGCAAAATTGCGGCCTGGCACCGATTTTTTTAGCAACTTGACTACAGTAGCCATAAATATAACTTTCGGAATCATAAACTACAATTATGATCAACTTTTGAAGTCTAATTGTAGACGCAAAGGAAAACGCAAAAATGACAAATAACAAATTTTCCAGTCAATCTTCTCGCTGGTATGCTTCTCCCAATCCTATTACGTATGCCGGATACGATCTGTAGAGTACAGGAAAGCCTTCAAAGATCAGATCAAGTGGGTTTGATAGTTTTTTGGCATCCGTGCTGTCCAACACTTGATTTTAACTCAGTTTCAATTTAAACCTAACTTTTAGGATCCTGCTCTGTCAGAAGAAGAAAGCCAAGGCGAAGTGCAAGCAGGAGAAGGCCGAGAAAGCCGAGAAGGAGACCGTTCCCACTACCTCGGTCAGTCAAGGCTTTATTTGGCGGCGAAAATACGTGACTTTTAACGGAACGGCGCCGGCTAGTGGTCAAATTTAGCCGCACATGGTCCCTTGTTTTTAACTTATTGATGGGAAAATGAGTTTGTGGGAGTTGAATGTCGGACTCAATGTTTTTGAATTATTTCAGTAAAGAACCGACAATTAGAGCTTTGTAGAGATAGTGGGAAGGAGGGAGAGAGAGAGAAAGAAAGAAAGAGATGGAGAGAGAGAGATAGAGAGAGAGTTGGATGTTTCTAAGCGGAAGTTAGAGAAAGGGACCGGGAGAGCGGGAGAGAAAGAGAGAAAGCGAGACAGAGAAAGAGAGAGAAAGCGCGAGAGAGAGCGAGAGAGAGAGAGAGAGAGAGCAAGGAGAGAGAGAGAAAGGGCGAGAAAAGAGAGAGAGAGAGAGAGAGAGAGAGAGAGAGAGAGAGAGAGAGAGGCTGTAGAGATGATAACAGCGGAAGATCACGAAAACCCTTTAAAAGCCTCTAGCCCGCTACACGTTGTATTCTGCATAGCTTTTCAATTTTGTACCTAAATTTCTGAACTATAACTGTTTTCTATGCTATTTTCCGCAATTTCAGGGTTCCAACTTCCGGGCTCGCGCGGCTTCTGTTGGTGTCGTCGCCGCAGTTAAGCAAATTGCCTCATTCCCACGTGTAGAATCCACATAAAAATTTCCTACCAAGAAATTTATTTAAATTACATGAGATCAAGGACGAAATCAACAAAAAAAGCAGTTTGCAAAGATTGGATAAGCAAAAAAAGCAGAATCTGTCTGCCGTCACTTATTGGGGCCGGTACTTGTAGGGGGTGGGGGCGGGCTTCTCCTTCACCCACAACACCTTGATCTGGTCCTTCAGATGGGCGGTGTAGATGTCCCAGAGTGACTGGAGATTCTCGGGCTTGTTGCGAACCTGGAAGGGAAGATTTTATTAATATCATAATACCGATGCAAAATATTCTAACAAATTTTTACGTCCGATCGACTATACTTAATTTTCAATTTAATTTAGTTTAGTTAATTATAAGTGTATTGGCTTATATTAAACTATCATCATTCTCATAATCCGTCTAACTGATTGAATAGATTAAGCGCTATATTAAAAAGTAAGAATTCTTCAATTTGCGACCCACCTCAATGTACTTCACGCGGAACTCGAGGTTGTCGACCGCACGGTAGTTGATCTTTTCGAGGGTCTGATGCAGAAGCTCGTACCGGTCGAAAACCACCTAGAAAGATTTTTATTGAAAAATCAGGGACGCGGAAATCCCTACCCTGGCGGCCGTCACGGGTTCGATCACCTGGGGGTCGGTGCACATCAGCGAGCTCGAGCACACCTAAGAAATTAAAAATAAAATGTTATTCACGATTTTTGGCATTTTACAGGACAAAAGGGCATTTGTTTTATTTTTTCGCAAACTTTAATATGGTGGGAGAGTTCCAGTCTCGAAAAAATGAAAATCTCTTGTTTTCTAGCATACGGCAGAGAGAGAAGAACGGCGAGAGAGAGAGAGAGAGAGAGAGAGATAGATTTCTTTTGTAAAATCATTGAAAAATTCAGCACTTTGTAAAAATCATCCGACTCTCTTTTCGTGGTTTTGTAAATGTAAGGCATAAAGAAATACCTTGTAGACGACATAGTTCTGGCTGGGGTTCGGGATGGACAGCTCGACCTTCCTGTACGCCTCGATGGCGTGGACGTCGCGGTTGAAATGGGTCGGGCACACGAGCTGAGACATCCGTTTTAGCGCCTCCTGTCTCGCATCCCAGTGCGCGGCGAACAGCAACACCAGGGTCAACACGTTCGTCAAAATCAGCAGGGCGACGTAGTTGCGCTGGAAAAATTCTTATTTGAAATTTTTAATTTCTATAGCCACTTCCAAGTTATTTAGGGGTCGGGCCATTATCATATATCCTTGAATACAAGTTTATCCTTTTATTAGACACTCGTTTAAAGTTTTTTATTGTAATTTAATATATTTGTATATGTATTTATATTGTTTTTTATTACTTTTTGAAGTTTATTTAGTTTCAAGCAGTTTAAGGTATAAGTCTTATAAAAATTAAAATTTATAAATTTGTATACATTCTCTAAAAAATCTTGACCTTCCCAGGTGGTGGACCGGCCCATTCATCAAGCTCGAGCTCATCGGCCGTCTTCGGCTTTTGGTCTTCGACCTCGCGCTCATCCTCGGTCAAAGCCTCGGTCTCCGCCTCAGAATCTTCATCTTCGGTGAGGAAGGGCGAGCTGGGCCGACGAGCGATCTGTAAAAATACAAAATTCAAACCTTCCAATTAGTTAAAGATTCATGCTACAAAAGTCGTAAAATCAGGAACACCTACCACGTCATCCTCCAATTTCTTCTTTAGAATGCGTCGTCTTTCGGCTCTCATTTTCTCGATGTGCTAAAAAGCCGATTTTCAATTCAACTTCACACAAAAATGTGATAATTACAAACCTCGTCCACAACAGCCGAGGCCTTCTCAGATAACGTTTCCTCCGGTGCCTTAGGGCTTAATTCTTCTAGTTTTTTGCTTCCTAACGACGTTCGAACGGGCATTCTAAATTTAACCAAAATCAGGAAAGAAAAAGAACGAGAGAGAGGGAGTGAGAGTGATAGAGCGAGAGAGAGAGAGAGAGCGAGAGAGAGAAAAAGAGACGCCTTCATCTCTGAGAAAAAGTATCCAACTATGCAGTATCAAAAAAAACCTTTTCTAAAGGCAGCTCAAGGTATAAAATATGCGGTTCCGGATGGCGCTTAAGTGACAAAATATCCCAAGAAATTTTTGGACGATGAAAAGTTCGCTTTAGTACAGTATTTGTAAAACGCTATTGGAAAAACTTATTGTATTATATTACTGAAACATGGGGATTTTAGTAAGCTAATCTAGGGCCAGGCTGTTATTAAAGCAACTTTTTTGAATCTTCATTTTCAAAAACGGCTCATTTACAAGTGCGCGGCACGCCTATTGGCCTACTTCAAGCGTAGGTTAGCTTCTTACATTCAAGGAACGCTATATGATAAGGGCGTGGGGATGATTGCGCAGAATGAATGACTGACCCATAGGGGTCGAACGCCGACAGATGGCAGCTAGCCGTTTTTCAAATACGGCTCCACCCCCAATACCTTCGGGCTAGCTTTTCAAAGCGGCGCGCGACCTCTGGGTCAACGTATGTCCGGAGGGCATCACGACGGGCGGGCGGGAATCCAGAATCTGACCTCGAGGTGAAGAGCAGTCTGTCGTGTTTTTGAGATCGATGCTGAAAGCTAATTCGTCCCCATTCTATCGTAACCTGCGCGGCGAAAAATCTGTGGCTAACTGATTCCTAGATTTTAACATGATTTATTCTAATCGAAGCACCGTTATGATATGCGCTCCCGCCGGGTCGGGATACTTTTCCCAGTAATAACCTAGTTCCTAATACTTTCTAATACTTTCTAATAAATCCTCTCTGCAAGTTTTTAAATTCGAAATTAGTAAAAGCGTGGCAATTGGTCGAAAATGACGAATATTACCCTAGGCTTCGGTTTTTAGGCAGGTCTAGAAAAATTACCCTGTCTGTGAGAATAACCCTTCCTTTTCCGGCTCTTAAAAAATCCCCTTCCGTCCTTATTTCTACGTTTTTCAATTAAAGTCGTAATTCCGCAATTCAGGCATCTTATCATGCCCCGGTCTTCGATGATAAAAGAAGGCTTTGCCCTGTATCACGACGAGTTATGGGTGGGTATTTCATGAATTAGGGAAAAATGAGATTTTTTCAGTGGGCACGGCAAGATCGAGTCGTGGCGAAGACCAAGGCTGCCGTGGAGGTACGTTATTAATTTTTTGTTTTAAAAATTGAAGGTGGTAGTTTTAATAACGTTTAGAAGCGCGAGCATTTTCTAAAATTTGAATTTAGAAAATCTTGGCCAACCGAACCGCCTTCTTTGCTCAGCTCGCGGCGTTGGTCGTGGGTTTAATGGCGATGCTTCTGATGTGCCGGGTCGTTGCCGCCAATTATCCAACTGCTACACCAGTCGAAGAGCGATTCCGCGATTCAAGTATGCTGCAGCTGCCCAGGCCCTACGAGTGCCCGAATTCGTTCATTGTCAGGGTATGTCTATCAAACTTAAAGGGGCTCAGAAATCTGGTCTACGGCCCGTGCGTTGATTCCTGGCAAATAGCCAAATGCGACCGCAACGCGACCGCGCCGCATGATATTTGGCCCTTGTTTGGAAGTGACAACGCTTGAATTTCTAAATTCTGACGGGAAAATTCGAGAATACTCATCAAATTTGAGCATTCTAGACTAGTTAATTATGAAAATGATCAGATAATCACCGAGATCGAGAGATTGGATGACTTACAAACCATTACGACATGTAATCATCGCACACTCAAAAGTCATCAGTAGCTGCAATCGCCGCATGCGCGTATTTCGACTTCCGAGCCCCTTTAAATATCGATCATTCTTAGCAGCACCTCAAAATGCGCCAGTTTTAGGTGTGCCAAGGTCGCAGCTTTTGCATGCCACTGCAGCACGTCCGGCCTTCGAGGTACTGTCCGTATCGCGTGCACCAGTCCATCCAACTCCTCCACGATCGCGTCCGACACGATGCAGAGCTGAAGTTCGAAGTCGAATATATTGAGGTGATTTTTAAGCAGCGGCACGAACGGCAGGGACCACAGCTACGCCCATATTGGCCGACGTTTCCGTACGAAAATTTACCTGCAGCTTAATGTACCTCCTTACGCCGAGAGTACGGCCGCTTGGTCGAAGTAGTTGAGTTTTATGGCATAAAAGAACGTAAAAGTTTGTCAAAACGCATTTTCCGGTTTTTTTTGTGGTTGCATCCGAGCTAATGTACCTCAATTTCTCCAAGCCACACCTCCGGAAGCGGGCGCTAATTAGATGCGGAGGTCGTTCCTTAATGTTTTTCAAATGGTTACAAAATACGGGGTTTAAGTAAATACAAAAGTTTGAAGCATGGTGCAAACCCGCCGTTTCAATGGATTTCGAATCATTCCGATCGGATACTTCCGCTGCGAGTTAGAGTGGGGAGTTTTTTGGCGTGCTGGGCAGATTCAAAGGAGTCTTAATCCATTACGCAATCGAAAATAGGTGTTGCGTGTCGCATGTCTCTTAAAAAATTCATATGGAATACGTAACAACAACAAAGTTCATCGTCGCCGCTTGCCGGTCCCCTTAACTTTCACGCAAAATACCCGGCCATGCTACCGGTTTCAGACGATCTCCGACTTACGAAATTTAACACCGAACTCCATTCAATATACCTCATGCCATGCACCTCATTTAGATCCCCATCAGCCAAGATATGCGGCTAGACCAACGCCAACTCCGGTCCCTCTGGGAGGCCCACACGAAATACGCGCCCGCTGTGGCACATGCAACATGGACCGCCGCCCTAACCGAGGAGGGACAGCCATGAAATCTGTTACATACTTTTTCTCGTTACGCATAATTGATAAATTTCTTTTATAACAATCAGCCAACCAAGTCTGATGAGCGCGAAAAACCAATCCAAGCCTCCTAGAGAAACTATACGATTTTCATAGCATGTTCGATTCGTATTACAAAATTTTGTGCAGTACCTTTTATATCTTATTTCTCTCGCGTCCTCTCTCTCTCTCTCTCTCTCTCTCTCTCTCTCTCTCTCTCTCTCCATCTTTCTCTCTCTTTCTGGCTCTCCCGCTCTTGCTCTCTCTGGCCCTCTCGCTCTCTCGCTCTTGCTTTCGTTCTCTCGCTTTCTTTTGCATGGTAAAAGAGCTACATTAAAACATTTTATCGCAAAAGAAAATCATAACATAACAAAACAAGGCATTTTTTTCGAACTCGTCATTAACAAACGGATTGTAACAGACGGTGGACTTGAATCATAAAGAACAAAAAAATCATAACGGAGGTTTTACAATTAAAACGTTAGAAAAATTTACATAGATCTTATTTGCGGGTTTCGCGCGAATTCCGGGCGACAGCACCGACAATTTGCCGGATTTTCTGACTTGATCGCGAATGGAATGCCCAAACTTCGTCGATGAGCTTCTCGGAAAAGTCGTGGGAGATCTGAAACGATTTTATCTAGTGGATAACGTAACAAATTGAGTAACCAAGGTCCCATTTTTTGAAGATTTTTGCTTTTGAAAACCCCACTAGAATTTAAGTAACTCTGGACCAATTAGAAAAATTACTTTACAATTATCGAAGTTGTCGTATTTTCGATGACATTTGAATCAATTTCATGGTTTAGTACGGATGCTTTTCAGGTTTTTTTAGAAGGCAAAAATTTGGCTCTTTTCGTGAAAGTTTGCCTTCGAGGTGCCTTTAAACGATGTTTTCAAGAAAGTTACCTCGACTGTTTCCACGTAGAGCCTCAAAAAGTCGTCAGCCGGGATTTCTTGGTGGTTGATTTCGATGACGAGTTTTTCTTGCGGCTTAAAAAGGTTAATTTTGCTGTGGTCATAACTTTGAATGGACAAACTTTCTATAAAACAGCAAAAATTAAAACTTACCGCCGTCGGGCTCAGCTTGCGAAGATCGTCACACCAGTCGACGAATTGGCAAACCTAAATTTAGTGCCTAAAGTCGAAAGCTATGTGGTGATGGTGGACAATCCGACCTTGAAAAATCTGATTTTTTTGTGAATTCGATAATAGTTTTGCGAAACGGGCCGAATTTTCGATTCTCTTCGGAGAAAAGGGTTTTCTGTAAAAATCAAAATTGATTATTTTTAATTGTGATTATTTTCTGGCAACCAAACCATGGTTTTTTTAAAGACTTATTAGAACAAGGCCGCTTGATTTGCAAAAAAAGACGCTTGACTTGGTTTTTTGAGAAAATCGCTAACTTTTGTAAGAAAATCACGCAAAATATTCCAAAATTTTGAAAATTGGAAAAAAGCTGAACTGGTCTTTCCGAGAGCTTCCTATAGAGACCCTTAAAACCAGCAGAACACACAAACACAAAACGCTCGAAAGCGATCCTTGTTGTTAGCAAAAAAAAAGCCATCAGAAGCCCTAACCCTTCCCTTTAAAACCAGCTAAAGGTCAAAATTTAATTTCGCTTTCGTACCTTGACAATCCGAATTCGCGTGCACGGCTCCAACTCGATGTAGCTGACGTTGCGCACGGATGTCGAGACGACGGGGACGTCGTTTTGAGGCACAGCGCCGTTCTGATCTCTCGATGATATCATGTAGACCATCAGTAAGCAGCACCAGAGCCCGGTGCCAACAGACAGAATCAAGTCACAGGTGTTATTCTAAAAAACTCATTGGCAAAGCTTGAATTGACTTACGTAGCTTTCGCATTGCCTCTTGGCGATTTTCTCTGCTAACTGCGTCTCGACCAGCTGTAAAAAAATAGTTTATTTTCAAAATATCGAATTTCAAGGTGACGAAATTTCCTAATTTGCAAATTTCATAATCCTGACATCGGAAAGTCAAAATTCAAAATGCCGACCTTCATTAAATGAATATAAATTTTGAATTTCGATACTATGAATTGGATAATATGAAACGTCTACTTTACGAAATTTGGACTTTATGCAATTTCGATATTATGAATTTCGACATAATAAAATTTTGGGATTCTGATAGCAAATCGAAAAGCTAAGAAAAGATATATATTTTCGAGAAATTCCTACATTGGACCGCAGCTTGCGGTAAGGTATGCCCTTCGGCACACTCGGCTTTTTCTCGCCAGCATCTTTGAGCGGGCTTTCAACCTTCTCGGCCACTTCCGCGGGCTTCTCCTCGACGGGGAAGATTTTGTACGTCTCGTAGTCGTTGCAAGTCCTAAACAATAGGCCTGTGAGTTCAAAATTGCGACTTGCCGACAACTCGACTTCTTCAACTCGCCGATCACATCGACGCTCAGGCCGACGTCACCACAGGCCGTGCAGTGGAGGGTTTTTGGAATGTATGGCTGGCGACCGGGGCTCCACTCGAGGCTCGGCGGGCGTTTGACACCGTGGGTTTTGACGTAGTAGTAGCAGGCGCTGAAGGTTACGTTTTTCCGGGTTGTGGTGAGAAAAATTAGAATTAAAATCTAAGTCGTTTAAGGGCTTGGCAAGGCATCATTCTAGAGAGTGCTACTACCCCCCCGGTATTTCGCCATCTTCTGACCGGCTGAGTCCAGTTTTTCAGCAACGATGTGGACTCATAAAGACAACGTGGTGCCGAGTTTTCAGGCAAAAATTTTGAAACACAAAAAATTTATCGCTCAAAAACGGAATTTTCTAAAATTGGGGTATAAGTTTTGGCCTTTTTCGCAATTAGCATACCGACGAATTTAAGTGTATTTTCTTGTTACGATATTTTGGTTGAAAAATCAGGCTGCGCACACGGTATGCGTTGCGTTTTGCCACCAGAATTTCTACCAGGACTAACGATTACCACGAAAAAAAAAACGAAAATTCAGAAGTCCAAAAATTTTTTTCCGTGGATTTTGTTCCTAATGTAAGCTTCGTGAATAAAGGTCGATATCAAAAAGGAAAACTGCTGGCTTTCTCGCCTCTCAGCGGCCTTTCGAAAGATACCTAAATCGTCAAAGCCCGGCGCTTCCGTAGCCCGCTAGAGAGTGTTTTGGACACCCTGTACACTAGCCTTCCCCTCCATTTAAAGCTTTTAAGGCACCCGTTTCAAAGTCCTTACTTGCATAGGGTTAGCCCCTCGTCGTCCTCGCGCCATACAACCGTTTGCACCGCGCAACAGTTGCTGCACATCGGCATCGAAAATGGCACTTCGGAGACCTCGGAGGAGAGTGAGGTCGTCATCGCTCCAGAGCCAACACTCGATCGGATCGTCACTTCCGCACAATACTGCGATGCGCCCTCGTCCTCCGATTTCTCGTCGTCACTGGCGAATGGGGAGTCGCCGTGGTAGGAGCGCTGCAAAAAAGGCGCTGATAGACTACTAGGCATCTAGAAAGTTTAAGCGAAATCCTTAACAAAACCCCTTAAATCTCGGCCGATACAATGCTCTTACCACATCATTATTCTCCGCCATGTATTCGTATTCGAGTTCGGGAGCCCGGTCGACGGCAGGGAGCATCGGGTCGCAACTAGAAGCAAGCCAAATTAGGTACCGTATTTCCTCTAATGTCACCCAGGGGGTTATATTTTTTCCATCACCAAGGTCAGGGAAGGGGGTAGTATTAGAGGGAGGGAAAAGATTTTCGTGGTTTTGAGCAATTACAGCGATTTCTAGCAGTTCAATCCGCTCACAACCACCCAGGAAAACAGCAAGAAGCCTAAACAGGAAAATTTTTGGCATTTTTTACGTCTTAAAGACGACCTCGGAAATTTTTTTGATACAAGGGCTGTGAAGTCGATTCGCATATCCGGAGATCGAGCGCCTAGATCAAAAAACTAACGTGGCGCTGTCTAAAAGTACCAGCAAATTGTACATAATTGAAAAGGCGCGAATTGGGTGAGAATCGGTGAATTTGATGTCGTATTGGGTTGCAAATTATCGATCGCGACGATTCTTGGAATTTTAGCTAAAGAGGACATCAAAAATCATTAAAATCGCCTGGGAATTCGGATTCTTGTTTCGAATTTACGCATTTTCACGTCCAGGGGCGTAGCCAGAAAAAAATTTCGGGGGGGGGCCCCGAAAATTTTTTTCCGAAAAACTCAAAAAATTAACGAAAAAACAGCGCCGCAGGCGAAAAATTTTGGAAAAAAGGCAACATAGCTCTATAAATAGCAGTAAAAACGTGAAAAAATAGCGCCGCAGGCAGCAAAATTTTTGAGAAAATAAAAATCATAAGGGTCCCCCCTTATGAAATTTTTGGGCCCCGGCCGATTTCGGGGGCACCGGGCCCAGGGGGCCCACCTTACGCTACGTCCCTGTTCACGTCCAAATGGGGGGAGGTCAACTGGCGATTGTTGCTCGCGCTGGGGGGGGACGTTGGGCTTCATAGCCCCTCTAAAGAGACTCGGGAGGGCGTAAATCGGCCCCTGACGCGGACTTGGTGTCGGCAACGTTTCATCACGCCAAATTTGAGTGCCAATCCAATTAACCAGCTAGTTTCTAGAATATTTTTTCGGAGACCACCGTGATTTAGAGCCAAATTTGACATCAACGGCCGGTTCTGGCGCATACAGGTCCCCGAATAAAAAAAGGTATCAAAACTATGCTAATTTCTACTAATAGGTAGCGCCTGAACGCGGGTTGAAAATCTCATAAAAAATGACTTAGAGTTTTGGTCAATAAAAACCTAAACGCTTTTTAAAATACAAAGGGGACGTTGGGCACGGACGCAGGGAAAGAGCGATAAAATGAGTTACCATCCTTGCAAATGGGGTCAATGAGAGCCTGACGAACACCTGGGTCACCCGGTCATTCAGAAAGCACACATCTGCCCGAAAATGGCCGCAGGCTACAACGGCGATCACGAAGGGCGCGCCTCACGATTCAAATCTTTGCCCAAATTCGATAATGAATCGATAATTTGGTACGGTAGCCCGACGCTATTTTAATTTTTGTAGCTATTGTTATTATCTAAATCGAGTCGGGATCGATCGCATCGATGCGCCGGCTGAATGCCCGGCCACTCAAAATTATAAAATTTGACCCTAAATCGTTCATTTTATTACATGCTTAGGATCAAGCACAACTGGCTAGCGTTCATTGTAAATTTATTCAAAAAAAAGCTTCATATGATGATCTGACAAGAAGCAACAATTAAATATGAGAAAAAAACAATAAAAAATGATTAGTTGAAGGTTTACTGCAAAATTTCAGGTATCAACAAATACAACAAATAGTGGAGGAGATTGTCATTGTCACTTGCAAAATCCCTGAATAAATGGCCTTCCTAAAATTATCGAGTGAACAATAGCGACTACATTTCATCGACAGGGTCCGGATCAGATCAGTGTCCTGGACCGAACACTCAAAAATAGGTATTTTCTATGAGTCCCTCGACGACCTGATACAGTACCACAATCGCATGGAATTATTCTTGTTTCGCTACACATCAAGGTGAACAAAACGAAGTTTTGAAACGTTACCAGCATCGAATGAATACAGCATAAGCATGCACTCAGTTTTAGTATTTCGGCATTTACATGCTCTCTACAAATAAATATAATAAACATACGTTTCTAGAATTTCGCATCCCCAAAACAGAATATCCGGTCTTCGATCGAGCTCCCTTTGCCTTGAAAGGGTTCCATTTCCTAAACAACCTCCATCCTGTGGCCGACTCTTTTAATTCGGCCAAACGTTCAACTTTTCGTTGGCATTACAAGCTATATTCATTAACAATTGCGTCGAGTCATCCGCAATATCTATCAACGATTCAAACGAACATCTTCGGTAGGAACCATTTTGAGAGTTTTTCCGGGTTTAACTAGCTCCTCAAAAATTAGATTGATCTGACATTTTACAGTACCGAATGCCACGCAAGCTGAAACCAACCGACCACTCACTTCGGAACGTCTTCTATGGGGTCTCAAGCGGCCTGCTCCCGATGGTCATCTTCGCGCTGTTGACCTCTTTAGTTGTGGCTTCACCAAGCCGGTAATTTGGTTTCGTGGTGTTTTGACAGTCCTGGCTGGTTTAAACAATCTTTGTTAGGCTTGACTGGGCTAAATTTCACTTTACGGTAACTAAATAAAATGACACACTAGTATGGCTTTTCGCATTGGTACGTAAATATCTGGTAAAAAATTCGTATCCTCCACCTTCCGAAATACCAAAGACCTTCCATTTAATTTTGTAGGAGCGCCATCGATTCGCAGTTCGTTGGCTTCAGGCGTCACCGCAGGGATGCCGCCGCTACGGTTAGGATTTGTGCCGCGACGGATGCCGCAATTTAGATATTAATCTTCTACTTTTAGTGCGTTCTCAATCGACCGTTTCTCTGCTATGTCTTCGATGAGCTCGTCCAAGAATATCCGGATTGGCTAAAGACTGACGACCCGCAAAAAGAGCGGACTAAGGTAATTCGGACAATTTATAGTGTTCGGTCTTTGCCGGGATCTGCCCGGAAAGACATGTCATATTTCTTCCAGACGGGGAGGGAGGCAAAAGCCATAAACATACGGGTCAAAATCTTGATGATGTAGGGGTGAGGAATCAAACTCTCGGCATATGTCGGCTACGCGGGGGGGATTTTAAGCGGGGACGGACGGACTGTTGGGGCCGATCTAACTATTTTTTGCCTTTCTTTTTGCTACAAACAAAACTCTTAGTATATTTTTTGACGCTCTGTCGAATGGCACTAACAAAATTTTGTAAAAATGTCGAAAGTTTCGAAAACTTGATTTCCTTCTATGTCCACCATGGAAACAACGTTTAATACTTGTTTTTTTATAACTATTTTATATTACATTATTTTGAACTAAAATTAAAACTCTTAGTATATTTTGGGATGCTCTATCGAATCGCATTTTTAAAATGTCAAAAAAATAGCGCGAATGCCGAAAACCAACCGCTTAACTCGATTTTCAAAGCTTATTCTTGTATTTGCCATAACTTTTTTATATTACACTAATTTGAGCTAAAACAAAAACTCTTAGTATATTTTTCGATGTTCTATCGAATGCCGTTGCAAAAATTTCGAAAAAATAACGAAAACATCCAAAAAGGCCTGCGTGTCCCCCCCGCGTAAAATTGTCCCCCCCGCATAACCGACATATACCAAACTCTCTCTCAAAGAACCAAATTTTTTTTGTATAAATTAAAGAAGTTTTTTACTGATTCCTAAACCTAAAACCTTACGGAATTTTTATTGAAAAATACAAAAAGATATAGGCTATTGAACCAAAGATGGCCCGGCTTCGACCAAAAGTTCACCACCCTAGATCTACGTCAGACCGTACGGAGGCCTGTAGAAGAGGAGCCCTCTGTACTTCGTAGAACAGAAAATCCCTAAATTATCGTCAAAATGTTTAAATATCGTCCTCAATTTTTGAAGATAAAATTCGTTTTAGTGCTCCCCGTGTGCCGTTGCGGATTTGGAAGAGTGTTGGTTTGGTAAGCTTTTCACGGCAGAACTTCCGAGGGGAAGGCGGCTGAGGGTCGAGGATTGCCGACCAAAATTCTGCGTAGGCCTTACCGATCTTTCGCCATACATCGCTTTTTGCAGAAACCCGATGCGCCCGACGCAAAAGCCGATTGCCTTGCCCCCGTCAAAATTAGAGAAACCAATGGTGGGTGCATTTTGCGGCGGGCAACGGTCCTGAACAGACTGCTAACATGCGGAGCGGATGCTTGCAGGGCTGTTCTACTTTCCCTTCAACCTATGCACGCGCGAAATGGTGGCCTCTGGGCAATGCGAAGGGAAGAATCTGTAGGTGACCGTCGGCGGACTGGCACACCGATCTAATTTAGGAGTGGCATCAACTACTCACCCGAGTCGATCCCGCACACGACCCAATACTTCCTGCAATGCGATGCCGGATTTGTCATCCCACAGTTAGTACACCTTGTGTGGCACAAGATCCTACTCACAGGAAAGCCTCACCTGATGCATGATCTTTGTGTAGATTCGTATTCGCTGCTCATGCGGCAGACGATGACGTGCAAGAGACGTGCATTCCAAGCCTTCAACTGGCAGCCGGATACCTGCAAACGGACCCCACAGGACTCGATAAGAACCCTTACGACGTCTTCGATCCTCTACAGCCCAACGTAAAGAGTTAACAGGACAAACGAAAAGTCAATATTTAGTATTGTCCGAAGGGCGGTCGTCAAGCTGGCGAAAAGTGCAACCCATTGCATATTTGTATGCCCGACCCGAAAGCAATGTATGTATTCTCTATTCTCTAAGGTTTTTTTTTAGAAAATTTTTTCTGGGCGGTTCAACTGTCATCAAAAAGGCAGCCGAATGCGACGAGCAGTGCGTGTTCCCCCGATCTGATGGCCAATATCTTCCGGAATCGTGTGTCCTCTTGGATATCACTGATCCGAGGGACACCCCTCCATACTACACGCTCCGTCGAGCACTGGTCAATTCCCCACTACGTTTCTTTGAATTTTCTGAATTCCAGTCGGGACCATATGCCACGTTGATGAGTGAGGAGGAGACAATTGACCTTCTGGAGAGTCTACGAGCACAGAAGCAAGTTTCTGAAGGCCCTGCTGAGCAGCCAGTGGACCCATCGAAATCCGAGGAGGTGCTACTTTTTCTGTGGTTCGAGACATTTGTTTATAGACATCCCGTGTCGAGGAGAATCCACAACGGCAGCACGGAGGTCGGGTGAAGCGTCAGGGTTCTTCACTTCGACCTGTTTCCTATCCACGATGCATCAAGACTGACGGCCTGCCGGTATGCAATCTTTGCAGGCTTTTTTAGGAGTAGAAATGGAACATCATGGTATCATTAAAATATTAAACCGTGAACGGGGGTTAGGGATTTCTTTAATTGTGGCTCCAGCCGTTCCCGCTTCATTTTTAAAAGCACCGACGGGATTTTTCGCAGCAGCAGATAGGTTTGGTAAAGTTCTAGGAAATTGACCAAATGTTCGAGCTAGAAAATGCCAGATAATATTCTTGAAATGGAGCCTTCCCCGTATTCAGCCAGCCTTTCAAGATATTTCCAACGTGACATATTTTACAGGAAGATCAAAAGGCCATCGTGAAAGCCGACGGACTGCTCGACTGCGAGCAGAACCCTTTCTACAAGGAATTGGGCCTCGAATCGCTCACCGTCACCAAATTTCCCCTTTGCAGTGCCGTCGATGCAAATAAGGTAGACCGTGATTTACTGTGCGGAAAATGCTGGCTGATGAGGGACTTTCCATTTTAAGAAACACGTTTCTAAAACACTTTTTTTCGTGGTATTGATCATTTTCAGAAATTCTGTCGAACCTCCGCGGCCAGCCAGCCAACAAACCCCACTGCAACAACCCCGGCTTCAGAAGGGGACTGGCTTGATCCTCCGGAACCCTGGGCAATGGTCAGCATGGTCGTCGCCTGCAGCGGCGACGCGTTGATGATCATCGCAATCGCCCTCGCCTGGTATATTCGATTCGGACGGCCGGAAAAGGATGATGATGATGATGAGGATGAAGAGATGGATTCGCATTCACGCAAGCACGACTCGTCGAAGTGGGCCTTTTTCTGACAAGGAATCTAGCCTCTTCTCGCTTCATAGGGCAAATATTAGGTTGGAACTAAAGTTCGCGCAATATTTTTCTTTCTTTGTAATTTTCGGACCGGAAAACGGGCAAGAACCAAAATGTTTTTTGGATGACCGGATATGCAATAAAATTCTCTATTCGATGTGTTGGGCGGAATCGCGTTGCTTCCCTATTAGAATTTTTTAAAGCTAGATTTAAGCGAAAATGAAAAATCGCTTCGGCCCGCCTTTACAAAACAAAATTGGCTTTCTTTTTAGGCTAATTCGGCATGCAGCCAGTAGATACAACTTAAGATCATATTGATGATCAATTTCTATGGTGACTTTATGGCGGTCCGGAAAGATGTCCGGGTCAAAAATTTGAAGTGCACTCGAGAGAAACGCAAAAATCTTAAAAACTACCGGGGCTAAAAACCTGTAATTTTGGTCCCACATACTCATGAACCCAATAGATATATGCAATGAAAGAATATCGGAATTTGGCCACTAAATTTTCAGAAAGAAATTTCCAATGTTCGATTGCGCGAACTTATGTTCGAACCTAATACTACTACTTCTACTACTAGACTCAAAATTTTTTTGAAAATTACATGATGGTGTTGTGAAGGCTCCACTTGGAAAGGAATGGCGGCAAAGTTTTGGTTTTTTGAAAGCTTTTCTAATTGACAAAGAAACACCTACCAGCTAGTATTTTTTCTTAGCTGGAACCCTCCTTTTACTAAGAATAACCTTAAAAAGAAGAAAAGCGCCTCAGGCAGCCGAAGTTTTGTGTTTTTGTAGGAAGAAATCGGGCGACGACGATGATGCGTGAGAATGAGAAGGAAAGATGCAGCCGCGAGCCCCGTCTACAGCCCTAACCAGCTCGAGACGTGCCGCCTTATTGCATAGAGAAAATTTGCTGGTCCGAGTGATTGGCTACACCGCTTTTCTAAAGCAGATCTGTGATTTGTACACCTGTGGAATAAATGGTTTTCCGCAATCACGTCTCGTATACAATTCGTCTGTACTTTATTTTTTTTTTGCCGTTGCTATCACACTTGAGCTCTCTCTCTCTCTCTCTCTCTCTCTCTCTCTCTCTCTCTCTCTCTCTCTCTCTCCCTTTAAAGCCGGCGACGACGACGATGCGCGAGAATGATCGGCAGGGGACCGAGGTTGGAGCTCTATCGCTAAACTGAAAAAATAACGAGAAACGGCGACTAACTGGCTGAATTTTGATAACAAGATTTTTACGTTTTTTATGTCTATGGTTTGTACACTCGCTGGATAAATGGCTTCCTGAGATTTATCGAGTACGCCTGCGTTTCATCCACGGGTGCGGAAAAATTGAGTGTCACGGAATAAAGGTTACAAAAACAATTTTTGTTAAATATGCCCTCTGCATTATGATACAGTACGACAGTTGCATAGTAAGATTTTGGTTTCGCTACACGCGTTACCAACGTCGAATGAATATAACATAAGCATACACTCAGTTATGACATTTCGGCAAGTGCATGTAAGCTGAATAAAATTGCATCCCTTCAAATTAGCATCCCTAATCCAGAATATCCGGTATTCTATCGAGCTCCTTTTGCCTGAAAAGTCTATCATTTCCTACACAATTTCCTTCCTGGGCGCCGACTCTTTTAATTCGGCCAACCTGCAACTTTTCGTTGGCATTACAAGCTATATTCATCAACAATTGCGTCGAGTCATCCGCAATATCTATCAACGATTCAAACGAACATCTTCGGTAGGAACGATTTTGAGAGCACTTTCGGGTTTAAGTAGCTCCTCAAAAATTAAATTGATCTGACATTGACAGCACCGAGATGCATCGCAAGCTGAAACCAACCGACTACCGAATTCGGAACGTCTTCAATGGGGTCTCAAGCGGCCTGCTCCCGATGGTCATCTTCGTACTCTTGATCTCTTCCGTTGTAGCTTCGCCAAGCCGGTAATTTGGTTTCGTGGTATTTTGACAGTCCTGGCTGGTTTTAAAAATGTTGGTTAGGCTTGACTGAAGACAGTTTGCGACTTTTGTTTGCTTTGGCACTAGTACTGTCTTTTCTCATTCGTACGTAAATATCTGGTAAAAAATTCGTATCCTTCGCCTTCCAAAATACCAACGACCTTTCATTTCATTTTGTAGGAGCGCCATCGATTCGCAGTTCGCTGGCTTCAGGCGTCACCGCAGGGATGCCGCCGCTACGGTTAGGATTTGTGCCGCAACGGATGCCGCAGTTTGCATATTGATCTTCTACTTTTAGTGCGTTCTCAATCGACCGTTTCTCTGCTATGTCTTCGATGAGCTCGTCCAAGAATATCCGGCCTGGCTAAAGACTGACGACCCGCAAAAAGAGCGGACTAAGGTAATTTGGACAATTTATAGTGCTCGGTCTTTGCCGGGATCTGCCCGGAAAGACATGTCATATTTCTTCCAGACGGGGGAGGGAGGCAAAAGCCATAAACATACGGGTCAAAATCTTGATGATGGAGGGGTGAGGAATCAAACTCTCGGCATATGTCGGCTACGCGGGGGGGATTTTAAGCGGGGACGGACGGACTGTTGGGGCCGATCTAACTATTTTTTGCCTTTCTTTTTGCTACAAACAAAACTCTTAGTATATTTTCGACGCTCTGTCGAATGGCACTAACAAAATTTTGTAAAAATGTCGAAAGTTTCGAAAACTTGATTTCCTTCTATGTCCTCCATGGAAACAACGTTTAATACTTGTTTTTCTTATAACTATTTTATATTACATTATTTTGAACTAAAATTAAAATTCTTAGTATATTTTGGGATGCTCTATCGAATCGCATTTTTAAAATGTCAAAAAAATAGCGCGAATGCCGAAAACCAACCGCTTAACTCGATTTTCAAAGCTTATTCTTGTATTTGCCATAACTTTTTTATATTACACTAATTTGAGCTAAAACAAAAACTCTTAGTATATTTTTCGATGTTCTATCGAATGCCGTTGCAAAAATTTCGAAAAAATAACGAAAACATCCAAAAAGGCCTGCGTGTCCCGTCCCCCCCGCGTAAAATTGTCCCCCCCGCATAACCGACATATACCAAACTCTCTCTCAAAGAACCAAATTTTTTTTGTATGAGTTAAAGAAGTTTTTTACTGATTCCTAAACCTAAAACCTTACGGAATTTTTATTGAAAAATACAAAAAGATATAGGCTATTGAACCAAAGATGGCCCGGCTTCGACCAAAAGTTCACCACCCTAGATCTACGTCAGACCGTACGGAGGCCTGTAGAAGAGGAGCCCTCTGTACTTCGTAGAACAGAAAATCCCTAAATTATCGTCAAAATGTTTAAATATGGTCCTCAATTTTTGAAGATAAAATTCGTTTTAGTGCTCCCCGTGTGCCGTTGCGGATTTGGAAGAGTGTTGGTTTGGTAAGCTTTTCACGGCAGAACTTCCGAGGGGAAGGCGGCTGAGGGTCGAGGATTGCCGACCAAAATTCTGCGTAGGCCTTACCGATCTTTCGCCATACATCGCTTTTTGCAGAAACCCGATGCGCCCGACGCAAAAGCCGATTGCCTTGCCCCCGTCAAAATTAGAGAAACCAATGGTGGGTGCATTTTGCGGCGGGCAACGGTCCTGAACAGACTGCTAACATGCGGAGCGGATGCTTGCAGGGCTGTTCTACTTTCCCTTCAACCTATGCACGCGCGAAATGGTGGCCTCTGGGCAATGCGAAGGGAAGAATCTGTAGGTGACCGTCGGCCTTGTGGCACACCGATCTAATTTAGGAGTGGCATCAACTACTCACCCGAGTCGATCCCGCACACGACCCAATACTTCCTGCAATGCGACGCTGGATTTGTCATCCCGCAGTGGGTGAACCTTGTAGTAAACCCAAAGTAGAGTTGTTATAACTCAAACAACAAACAACAAATTATTCAAACAACGCAAAAAAGCACGATTCTGGTCCGACCCATCCCGCTTCGGGTTGAAGGGCGAGTTGTTGCGTTCCGACATCCTGTATTTCTAGAAAAATCAATAGCATGATCTTTGTTTAGGAGCGTACTTGCTGCTCATGCGGTGGACCGAACAATCAAAGAGACGTGCATCCCAAGCCTTCAGCTGGCAGCTGGGTATTTGCAATCGGATCAAGCAGGATTCGATAAGGACCCTTACGATGTCCTAGATCCTCTACAGCCCAACGTAAAGTGTTAACAAAGGCAAACAAAAAGTCAATATTTAGTATTGCCCGAAGGGCGGTCGTCAAGCCGGCCAAAAATGCGATCCACTACATCTTTGCATGTCCGATCCGACAGCGATGTATAGATATCCACTTTTCATTGATGCTCGTTCAGAAAGTTCTATCCTGGAGAAGGAAACGTGATAAAAACGGCGACCAAATGCGACGAGCAGTGCTTGTTCCCACGCCCCGATGGCCAATATCTTCCGGAATCGTGTGTCCTCTTGGATATCACTGATCAGAAGGGCTCGCCACCATACTACACGCTACGCCGCGCCCTGGTGAATATCCCCATTATATTCTTTGAATTTTCTGAATTGCGGTCGGGACCCTATGCGTCGTTGATGAGCGAGGAGGAGACGATCGAGCTTTTGGAGACCCTGAGAGCAAAGAAGCAAGTTTCTGAAAGACTTCCCGAGCAGCCAGTGGTCCCATCGAGTAACCCGTCGGACGAGGTGCTACTTTTTCTGTAGTTTGAGACATTTGTTTATAGACACCCGGTGACAAGGCCAATCCACAACTGCAGCACGGAGGTCGGATGAAGCGTCAGGGTTCTTCACTTCGACCTGTTTCTATCCACGATGCATCAAGACGGACGGACTGCCGGTATGCCAACTTTGCGAGCTTCTTGAGGAGTAGAAGAGTATCTTGGTATGATTAAAATGGTATAGGCTGATAATGCCGATTCACAGAATGCCGATTTACAGAATGCCGATTTACAGAATGCCGATTTTACAAAATGCCGATTTACAGAATGCCGATTTTACAAAATGCCGATTTACAGAATGCCGATTTACAGAATGCCGATTTACAAAATGCCGATTTACAGAATGCCGATTTACAGAATGCCGATTTACAGAATGCCGATTTACAGAATGCCGATTTTACATAATTAGGGTTCTACATCCAAAAATTCAAACCGGATCCCCAGAAAAAAAACATTATCCCACTTGGACATGGCGAAACCGCCAGACCTGGGGCCTAGCTTTACTATTTTCTTTTTTTTTCAGCGAAACCCTAGTTCCACGTTACCAAGCGGCCGCCCATGGGTTACTAAAAAAAATTCTTCTATAAAACAGTTTTCCCTTCCTCTCGCCGTGAGGCCGGGCATTCTCAACCAAGAAATAATAATGAATCGTCGAGTTTTGTCGCTGCGGCTGAGCACGTTGGAAGTGTCGGCGACCAGCGAAAAAGGCATGCGTTAAAACTTGTCGCGAGGCTTGCGATTTCCTCGTAATCCCCGACCCCTACGCGGAAAAAAGAATTCGTAAAAATTCGCATGTCCAAGTCGGATAATGTTTTTATGGGGGATCCGGTCTGTATTTTTGATGTAAAACCCAAATTATGTAGGATCGGCATTCTGTAAATCGGCATTCTGTAAATCGGTATTCTGTGAATCGGCTTCTGTAAATCGGCATTTTGTAAATCGGCATTCTGTAAATCGGCATTTTGTAAAATCGGCATTCTGTAAATCGGCATTTTGTAAAATCGGCATTCTGTAAATCGGCATTCTGTGAATCGGCATTATGTAGGTAAATCGATTAAAATATCGCATCTTCGAACAGGGTTATGTCCGCCTGAAATTGAATTAAATTTCAACATTCTCCCCGCTTCATTTTTCAAGGCCCATGCGCGACTTTTTGCAGCAGCACATGGGTTTGTTCAGTTCTAGTAGATTGACCAAATTTCCAATCCATAAAATGCCCGATAATATATTCTTATAATGCCATCAATAGTTATCCGCCATGACATATTTTCCAGGAAGATCAGAAGGCGATCGTAATAGCCGACGGGCTGCTCGACTGCGAGCAGAACCCTTTCTACAAGGAATTGGGCCTCGAATCGCTCACCGTCACCAAATTGCCCCTTTGCAGTGCCCTCGATCAGAATAAGGTAGACCATGATTTTGCAGGGGAATATACTGGCTGATGAGGGACTTTCCATTGTACAAAACCCGTTTCGAAAACACTTTTCTCGTGGTATTCATGAATTCAGAATTCAGAAATTCTGCCGAACCTCCGCGGACAGCCAGTCAACAAACCCCACTGCAACAACCCCGGCTTCAGAAGGGGACTGGCTTGATCCTCCGGAACCCTGGGCAATGGTCAGCATGGTCGTCGCCTGCAGCGGCGACGCGTTGATGATCATCGCAATAGCCCTCGCCTGGTATATTCGATTCGGACGGCCGGAAAAGGATGATGATGATGATGAGGATGAGGAGATGGATTCGCACTCACGCAAGCACGATTCGTCCAAGTAGGCCTTTTTCTGACAAGGAATCTAGCCTCTTCTCGCTTGATATGCCAAATACTATTACTTTCTACTACCGGGCCTACACTTTCTGGACATTTTCAAGAGGAGTTTCGAAGTCCCTATTTTTGGTAAAATAGCTATAAGGTTATGTTTTTTAAAAGCTTTTTCGGATTGACAAATTAACATCGTTATCAGCTAGTATTTTTCTTAGCTGGTACTCTCATTTCATTACGAATAGTTTCAAAAAGAATGAAGCGCCTCAGGCAGACAAAGTTTTGTGTTTTTGCAGGAAGAAATCGGGCGACGACGATGATGCTTGAGAATGAGAGGAGAAGATGCAGCCGCGAGCCCCGTCTACAGCCCTAACCAGCTCGAGACGTGCCGCCTTATTGCATAGAGAAATTTGCTGGTCCGAGTGATTGGCTACACCGCTTTTCGAAAGCAGATCTGTGATTTGTACACCTGTGGAATAAATGGTTTTCCGCAATCACGTCACGTATACAACTCGTCTGTACTTTATTTTTCACTCACTTGGGTCACAGCTTCTCACTTGAGCTCTCTCTCTCTCTCTCTCTCTCTCTCTCTCTCTCTCTCTCTCTCTCACTCACTCTCTGTCTTTCTCTCTCTGTCGCTCTCTCTCTCTCTTTCTCTCTCTCGCCCTTTCTCTCTCTGGCTGTCTCTCGCTCTCTGTTTCTCTCTCTCTCCCGATCGCCTTACTAATAAAAGCTTTGGATTTTGTGCCAATTTCGGATGCAAATGTGCCTGAGCTTAGCCAAAAAATTTAGTGTTTTTCGGTATTTCTGCGTTTTCTCGCGTCTCCGGCCACTTCTAACCTAGCACTTTATATAGGTTTGTGGCCTGCCGCACCACTCCTGAAAATTACAGCTCGATCAGATATAAGGGGTCCAAATGCCAAGGGATTTTTTTTATGAGACACCCTGTATACAGGGTGTCCCCAAAAAAAAGACCCCCCCAAAAATTTGAGCCAGAGGGCACCTACGGAGCTGAAAATTTGCACAGAGGTAGCGAAGCCAATTTTCTATGAACAAGGAAAGTTTCAGCCTGATCGGCTTGCGGGTTTTAAAGTTATAGCGAAAATACTTTTCATTTTTAATTTAATATGGGGATTTATGCAATTTGCATCAAAAATATGCGTTATTCTTGCATTTACGAACCGATTTTGCATAAATTCCGCTGAAAAATGCCATTTTCTTGATGGAGCTTTTGGAAAACGATTGCTCGTGTAGCGAGAAAATGATCAGCAAGAACGATGAGTACCAGACCTCAAGGCGGAAACTATCGTTGAACGCTTGAGCTTGGCTTAGACTTCGGCGTACGCGAACATAAACCCAAATCTAAACTTCAACACTGTTTTCGAGCTCGTCGAACTCTGTTTTCGGGCCGACGAAGCTCAAATTGCCAAAATGGACAATAACACGTGATTTGGATCGATAAAACGATTGTTTTAACACTCTTTTTATTCTTCATACGCAATGGTTTTCCAAAAGCTCCATCAAGAAAATGGCATTTTTCAGCGGAATTTATGCAAAATCGGTTCGTAAATGCAAGAATAACGCATATTTTTGATGCAAATTGCATAAATCCCCATATTAAATTAAAAATGAAAAGTATTTTCGCTATAACTTTAAAACCCGCAAGCCGATCAGGCTGAAACTTTCCTTGTTCATAGAAAATTACCTCTGTGCAAATTTTCAGCTCCGTAGGTGCCCTCTGGCTGAAATTTTTTTGGGGGGTCTTTTTTTGGGACACCCTGTAGTAAGATACGCATAAACTCAGTTGTGATGTTTCGGCAAGTGCATGTAAGCTGAATAAAATTACATCCCTCCAAATTAGCATCCCTAATTCAGAATATCCGGTCTTCTAACGAGCCCCGTTTGCCTGAAAAATCTATCATTTCCTACACAACTTCCTTCCTGGGCGCCGACTCTTTTAATTCGGCCAAACTTTCAACTTTTCGTTGGCATTACAAGCTATATTGATCAACCACTGCGTCGAGTCATCCGCAATATCTATCAACGATTCAAACGAACATCTTCGGTAAGAAGGATTTTGAGAGCACTTCCGTTTTTAACTAGCTTTTCTCTGATTTATCTGACATTTTCCAGCACCGAGATGCATCGCAGGCTGAAACCAAACGGCTACCCACTTCGGAACGTCTTCAATGGGGTCTCAAACGGCCTGCTCCTGATGGTCATCTTCGCAATGCTGTTTGCTTCAGTTATGGCCGCTCCGATTCGGTAAAGCCTTGTTTTTCAGTTCCTGAACTTTTTTCCTTTCGAAAATCGCTCCATCATTTTTTTGCAGGCTCGCCAACGGCACCCAACTCCCTGACATCGACCGTCACCGCAGAGATAGTAATAAGAGGGTAACGGTTGCTGTATCTAACCCTCAACAACATGTTCTTCCAGTGTCCCTCCAATCGACCATTTGTTTGCTACGTCTTCGACGAGCTCACTCAAGACTATCCGCCATGGCTGAGGCAAAATGGCGATGACACTATTGAGGACGAGATGAAGGTGATCTATGGCTTTTTTCGGAAAATGGCCGATGGATTATGATTTTCGTCGCATGTAAATGCAGCTGTTGAAATTGAGATGTGAAGAACATTTCAGTTATTGAGAGGAGATATGTTTAAAGAAATCTTGCAAACTGTAATTTCTTAGTGATGACTTGACTATGACGTAATTTGTCCCCTGCTGTCCATGACGATTAACATTCAGTGCGCCTCATGTGCCGTGGCGACGACGGACGTCTGTGGTGACATACCCTTTCAAGCGATTGCTCTACAATCGGAAAGATCCAAAACCAGCCATTGCCGCCCCAACCTTTGCGTACGTTTGGTCATTCCATCGCTTTTTATGATAATGGTTGCAGCCGAAGGCCGCCGCGCAAGTGGATTGTATTGCTCCCATCAAAATTGATCAGATTAAGGGTAGCGATATTTACTCCCAGGGCTACTTGATACCTAGCCCGGATTCTTCGAACGAGCCTTTTGAACCCCGCGTTTCATTTAGAGATAATCTACTTCCCCTTCAACCTATGCACCCGCGAGATGGTGGCTTCTGGGCAATGCGAGGGGAAGGATTTGTGCGTAGTAGCAGATGGCTCCCCGGCACTTGCGACGCGGACCGTATATTGACTTAAACTGTAGTGAATTTGGTAATTCGCTCGATTTTTGTATGTAATTACTGTATTTTCCATGAAAACTTGACTGGAAGTGAGTAACGCCAATCCGGAGCGCTCCTAAAGGCGGCAGGCAAGGTGGGCCGTCGCTTCGCTTCGGGCGCCCCGATTTCGAAACCCTGTATGGGCTCGCACCCATCCGAAGCGACTAGGCCCCGGGTGGCACGAAGCCTTTTTCTAGTCACAGAGCGGAAGAAGTAGCAATTACCTTCCCTCCAAAACGAGTGACTCGTAGCGCGCAAAACCATCTTTCTATCGTTTCTTTAACCAGAATCGGACTCCGCGCGAAAATTGCATCTTCAAGTAGCTGAAACTCAGTATCGCGGCGCAAGTGTCGGGCGTAAGTGTCGCGGCGTAAGTGTCGCCGGCGTAAGTGTCGCCGGCGCAAGTGCCGCGGTACCTAGCAGACAGAAGTTTTGATGGCGCAGCGTTTAGGAGCATCAAGGTCTACTCGCCTGACGGAATCCCGCACACGATCCGATACCTTCTGCAATGCGATGCCGGATTTGTAATCCCACAGTTAGTAACTTTGTAGCATCCGCAGAACTTATTTCTAGTAATAGCTCATCACAAGGTTTTTGTTTAGAAAGGTGCTTGTTGCTAGTGCTGCGGACCGAACAATCAAAGAGACGTGCATTCCAAGTCTTCAGTTGGCCGCAGGGTATTTGCAATCGGATCAAACCGGATTCGACAAGAACCCTTACGACGTCTTCGACCCTTTACAGCCCAACGTCAAGAGTTAACAAAGACAAACGAAAAATTAATGTTTAGTATTGTCCGAAGGGCGGTCGCCAAGCCGGTCAAAAATGCGATCCCCTTCATCTTTGCGTGTCCGATCCGACAGCGATGTATAGATATCCACTTTTCATTGATGCTCGTTCAGAAAGTTCTATCCTGGAGAAGGAGATGTGATAAAAACGGCGACCAAATGCGACGAGCAGTGCTTGTTCCCACGCCCCGATGGCCAATATCTTCCGGAATCGTGTGTCCTCTTGGATATCACTGATCAGAAGGGCTCGCCTCCATACTACACGCTTCGTCGAGCACTGGTCAATTCCCCACTACGTTTCTTTGAATTTTCTGAATTCCAGTCGGGACCGTATGCTTCGTTGATGAGTGAGGAGGAGACGATTGACCTTCTGGAGAGTCTACGAGCACAGAAGCAAGTTTCTGAAGGCCCTGCCGAGCAGCCAGGGGTCCCATCGAAATCCGAGGAGGTGCTACTTTTTCTGTGGTTCGAGACATTTGTTTGTAGACATCTGATGTCGAGGAGAATCCACAACGGCAGCACGGAGGTCGGGTGAAGCGTCAGGGTTCTTCACTTCCATCAGTGTCCTATCCACGATGCATCAAGACTGACGGCCTGCCGGTATGCAATCTTTGCAGGCTTTTTTAGGAGTAGAAATGGAACAGCATAGTATCATTAAAATATTACACCGTGAACGGGGTTAGGGATTTCTTAAATTGTGGCTCCAGCCGTTCCCGCTTCAGGTTCTTTAGGATTTCCGGGGAAGTATTTCCGGGGGAAACCAAATTTTTTCGACCCGAGCCTAAATTTTTTTCTAAATAGCGCATGCGTTTTTAAATCGTTTTTAACTAGTGCTGAGCATAAAAACTACCCACATTTTAATGAAAAAATTTAATTTTAGGTCGAAAAATCCTATAGAACCTTTAGGATTAGCGGGAGGGGGGAACACCCAAAATGACTAAATTTTCGACTTTTTCAAACATTTTTCTAACTTTTTTGAAAGGTTTTTCTACTTTAAATATAGTTAAAATTTACTAAAAACAATGTGAAAACATTTTGTATTTGATTACTAGGTCAACCGGGAAAACCAGGAAAAAATTTGGTTTCCCCCCCCGGAAATACTTTCCCCCCCCCCGGAAATCCTAAAGAACCCCGCTTCATTTTAAAAAGCACCGACGGGATTTTTGACAGCAGCAGATAGGTTTGGTAAAGTTCTAGGAAATCGACCAAATTTTCGAGGTATAAAAGTCCCTTAATATACTTCGAATGGCCCTATAACTCGTCCCAAGCTGACATACTTTCCAGGAAGACCAGAAGGCGATCGTAAAAGCCGACGGACTGCTCGACTGCGAGCAGAACCCTTTCTTCAAGGAATTGGGCCTTGAATCGCTCACCGTCACCAAATTGCCCCTTTGCAGTGCCGTCGATCAGAATAAGGTAGACCATGATTTACCGTGCGGAAAATGCTGGCTGATGAGGGACTATCGGGTTTTACGGGGGGTTTCCACTTTACAAAACGCTTTTCGAGAAGACTTTTTTTCATGGAATTCATGATTTTCAGAAGTTCTGCCAGTCCGCTGTTGCCACAGAGCCAACCACCAATATGCCAAATTCCGGCCTCCCTGATGACGGATTGTTACTAATGCTGACTTCTTCGCCGCTGGCTCTTGTCGGCATCGGTGTCGGCGGTATCGTGCTAGTACTCTTGGTGATCGGTGGGGTATGGATGCGGTGCTGTCGGCATCCCAAGGAGCCAATCAAGTCCGAATCAGAGCCGTAAGCTACTCTCAACCCTTGACGAGCTCCGTTTACAGACTAACACCGCCGGACGAAGACACGGAGAAGGCGCGAGCGGCTCCGGCTGCGGTTGCGGAGGCCAAAACAATAAATTGGGAGGGTGAGGCGGCATGACCGGGTGTCCCAGTAAAAAAAAGTTTGCAACAATCTTCAAAACTATGTTTTTATTGGACTGCGTCATTTTTTGCAACGCATTTAAAAAGATTAAGTCACGGCCTCTGAATCTCATTAACGACTACTTCCGGTCAGTTTTTGGGAGAAATTGATCAAACTAGCTCTTATGCAACTTTGAAAAACCTCAAACCTTGCAAATCGTTGGTAAAATAGCGCTGTTAAATAAAAAAAACATGGTTTTGAAAGGTGTTGCAAACTCGCCGTTTCAAGCGCTTTCGAATGGTGTAGATCTCATTCCGATCCGGTGCGGTCCAGATCTTCTTGGGGCTTGGTATCATTAGGAAACTTTATAGAGCCACCTGCCACGCAGCCACTCAAGTCGTCAACCGTCTTCGGCATGACCGATATCACCAACTTGCTCGAAGATTTTCATCTTTGGGTACGTTCGCGTTTTTGTGATGCCAAAAATAACATATTTTGGCGGTTTGTAACGCCATTGTTGCCGCATTTCGCACAGTTTTTGGATGTCGAAACGGCGCATTAAAATTATAAAAACTTTGAAAAGCGAAGCTTTGGGTCGAATGCCTGAAACATTTTGACATGTCCAAAATGGGAAATTTTTAAATAATATTTGTAGAACTTTCTATCAATAAAAGCTACGCAAACACTTTTTATAGACGATAAAAACTCGCTTTTTTCTGCCAAAAAGTCCAGCAACAAACATGGTTGTTACCTATCGGCACGCACGGCACGTACCGTGCAGCTCTTGGGCAATTAGTAAAGTTCGAGCGTTCGAGCGTTCGAGCGTTCGAGCGTTCGAGCAAATTAGTAAAGTTCGAGCGTTCGAGCGTTCGAGCGTTCGAGCAAATTGGTAAAGTTCGAGCGTTCGAGCGTTCGAGCGTTCGAGCAAATTAGTAAAGTTCGAGCGTTCGAGCGTTCGAGCGTTCGAGCAAATTGGTAAAGTTCGAGCGTTCGAGCGTTCGAGCGTTCGAGCAAATTAGTAAAGTTCGAGCAAATTTGTAAAGTTCGAGCAGTCATTTAAATTATGTCTTTTTAAGGGTATGTTGACGTGATATTGATGCATACTTAATAGTTTAACGCTCTATAACTAATCCTACGGCCAAAGTAATGTAACCAACGCAGTTTAGTCGCAATTTTTTATATTAAAACAGACGTTTTAGCACTAGATACTTGTTTCACGCGGTATAAGGGCTATCTCGCCACGTTCGCATAGTATTATACTAACCCACCACGTCACACGCGATGTATTTACGTCATGTGCTTGGCAGTTTAACCCTTACAACGTATCTTATAGTTAAAGTAAAGCCTAGCGCTGGCAATTAGTAAAGTTCTAGTTGTATGGTGGGGTTTTTTTCTAAAAAAACCGCTTGGAAAAACCCTTGCCTATCCGCCCTACGCCTCCCTTACAACTAAAGTAAAGCCTAGCGCAAAGTATAACAGGAGTCAACACATTTTAGCGGCTATTATTCACAATCAAACCAAGGATTTTACATTGCAAAACTTCATTAACGATTCGGAGGACGTTTCATCAGAAGGGAACCAACTTTTTTTGGTATTACAAAGTAATAATATACGAGTTAGTAATATACCAGCTAATTAACAAAGGAAAACCGCGCTTTGTCTGCGTCCCCATTCAATGCTTCAATGTTATTGTTCAGACAGTTACTTGCTACTTGACTACTTGTAGCTGTCAATACTCTCTAACCCGTTAAACTGTCCAGTAATACGTGAATACATCCCCGGACATGCTTAGCTAGCAGACAACACTGAAACTGGCGAGATTGCCCCTTATAGAGTACCTTCACAAAATAAAAAAAGAAAGCAAAAAAGCTACTAAACTGCGTTGGTTACATTACTTTGGCCGTAGGATTAGTTATAGAGCGTTAAACTATCAAGTATGCATCAATATCACGTCAACATACCCTTAAAAAGACATAATTTAAATGACTGCTCGAACTTTACAAATTTGCTCGAACTTTACTAATTTGCTCGAACGCTCGAACGCTCGAACGCTCGAACTTTACCAATTTGCTCGAACGCTCGAACGCTCGAACGCTCGAACTTTACTAATTTGCTCGAACGCTCGAACGCTCGAACGCTCGAACGCTCGAACTTTACTAATTGCCCAGCTCTTGCGGCCGCGTATAATGTTGAATCCCTTCGAATGAGCGCAATTTAGAGAATTCGCATAACTTTAGATGAAAAGTTCGCCTCATCCGAATGCTCCAGCAGCCGATCCAGGGCAGGCGGCCACCCTAAACGATCAGACGGGCATCCTCTACGAGATTCCTGCTTATGAGCCAACCAAGGTAGATTAACGAAATTTAGTAATTGTCAAAAACGAAAAGAAGGAAAGGATTTTTCATTCTTGGCAATACCTCGGGTTTAAAAATTAAGGGTGAAGAATTCGCGGCGAGAAACCGAACTTTTTTCGGCCCAAGCCTAGATTTTTTACATAAATAGTGGAAGTGTTTCTAAGTTTATTATAGCCATTCCTAAACATAAATACTTTACAAAATTTTAGTTAAAAAATTTAACCTTGGGTCGAAAAATCAATTTTTTTTTTGGCCCGAAAATGACCAAATTTTCGACTTTTTCAAGCACTTTTCTAACTTTTTTAAAAAGTTTTCTGGATTCAAATAGGCTTGAATTTTGATAAAAGCAATGTGAAAACACTTTATATTTGATTACTATCCCCATCAGGGCCGACAGGAGAAAAAGTTGGTTTCCTCCCCCGCGAATTCTTTTCCCCCCACCCCCCGGGAATACACTAGAACCCCATTTTTGTTTCCAGCCGGCAGCGAAGAAGTCTGCCCCCAACCCAACCCAACAGCCATCCGGAATCACGGAATTGCCGGCACTGTTTGGGACGTTCGGCTATCCCACGCCTGATTATGAATGGGTCGAGAATTACAAAGCAGAGGACGTGAGTGAAATTCTGACAAACTAATTGTACATAACAAGCTAGCGCCGCAGGCTAACGAATAAAGCCAACCATTGAAGCTAGCGCCGCAGGCTAAAGAAGGAGCTGGCCGATGAAACATGCGCCGCAGGCCTAATAGCGACACTAGCAATTTAATGTCAATCGAGGTTTGCATGGGAGTGGCGTTTTTCTTTCTTCAGGGTAACTTTATGTGGAAGGGCGCTCGATTCATATGGGCCTAGACGGGGTCCAGCGGGGGGAGAGTCGCGAAGCGGCTCCTCCCCCGCTGGTTGTACATAATTTATGTTATAGCCGATTGTGGTCCGGGTGGGTATTGAAGCAACGTTTTCGTCCGCTGGCTGTCGGCCGCCAAGCCAAGGGACTGGGAATTGGCGCGTTTAGCGCGTCTTCACTTGCCATTATACAGGCCTTCCCAAAATTTTTTTAACGCCGTTCGATAGAGGGTCGAAAAATATAATACTTATTTCAATTTTAACCTAAAATAATGTAAAATAGAGAAGTACTTAAAGCAATTACAGCGTCGGTAGCTCGGTGAGAGCCATTTGAGAAAGCACACTTTGGATGACGCTTTAGCCGATTGAATTGAGTTTTTGTGAATAAAAACGTGCCGAAAATGAAAAATTCGGAATTTCGGAATTTCAAAACTCAGCTTTTCAATCTGCCCTTTTGAATCCGCTGTAACCATTGGGAATCCTACTATATATAAAAAAATAGTGTCTGTGTGTGTGTGTGAGTGCCACTTTGCATGCAACTTCCGTCAGCGTGTTCCAGCATTATCTCAAGAAGGAGAGTAGTTAGGGGCATGTTTGATACGTCATTAGGAGCGTAATGGTTCGGAGATGACTGCACGCATATAAAATTTATAAAAATCGCCTATTTTCGACATTAAAGCTTAGTTTTTGTTGAAAAATCCGAGACCCTCTTTGTTAGGAATCAATTAGCATACACCGGAAGTTGCGGTATATAAAACCCTATATAAAGAAAGAAAATAGAAATAAAACCCTAAAGCCTATATAAAGAAGCCGAGGACGCATTTTTCATTTTTTTAGCATGGGTCGGACCGAATTATGCAAAGTGTAAACTTTCATTGGTCCAAAACAGGGCCAGGGTTGAAAAGTCGCGAAGCGGCTTTTCAACCCTGGTTTCGATTTAAAAATCCAGAAAAACCCATCCGGCCAGCCCACATCGGTCCCCGCAGACGGCTTTTTAAATTTTCTCAACCCATGCATTCTTATAGCCGCGCGCTGCCGGCGGTGTTGATGTCGTGGATCCAGAGCCACAGCCAGTAGCCGAGCCCCGAACTTTCGTGACGGTAAGCTGAAAAAATGTGCTCTGTTTTCTGAGCATCCCAAACCGCTTGGATTTTAGTCGCTGCACGAGAGGGTGACGCCATCACGGAACCCCGGGGGCGCCGAGCCCAACGAGTCGCAAAAGACCATGGTTGAGGTAAATTGGAGGAAACGTGGCCGCTGATAACTTGTGACAAATCTCGGTCCCCCACCTGCGCAATGGAACTCAGATTTGGCATAGAGGGTTTTTGGCCCAGCTCAGTCTAACTCACATGGAAATCAAAAGCGGAATGCTTTCACCAAATGTTAGAACAAAAACGTTAGAGTGCAGTTTAGCCCCCCCAGTCGACTCACAACTTCGGCCGGCCCCCTGTTGGTCTACAGGTGTGTAAAATATGGCAAAATGTTCGCCTTGCTCTGGCCAGTATTTTGGTATACTTTACTACCCGGTAGGATAACGGGGAGCGGAGATATGGTAGGGGGTCGGAGTGAGCGTGACCTTCTTCCTTTATAAAGTGCCCTATGCCCCCCCCGCAAATCGACCGGAACCTGCTTTGCACGATGAGCCAAATTTTCACGCTTCAAAGGTGTTTGATAATAAGGAAACGATCATCACCTCGTCCAGCTCCCATTTTCAGGTCCGTCCTGCCAGGGCCAAGAAAGCACCGGCTCTAAAGGTCTGTCCACGATCCCGGGCCCTTCATTCACACTTGCCCATTCCAGGAGGCCAAGGTGAGCCAAAAGGAAATGGACGACGCCATGGCTCTCGTGCCGTCGGCCCTCGAGCGACTGTTCGACTACCGAAAAGCAGCTGCCGGAGAACAAGTGCGGTTTACTGGTCTTTTTAAACTTTTGATCACCCGGACGCAGAATTTTTTTACCTATCGATTAGCGTAAATTTAATACTGCCCGCAGCGCAGCGAGCGGGCATTTTCAAAAAATCATCATTTCCGACGATCCCGTCCCTTATTCCAGCACAAGCCATTTTAATGACATTTTAAACTTTGCAGGCAAACCGGCTCGGAAAAAATTAAAGTTCGATTCGATTTGACACAATAAAAATTGAGCTTTTTTTCAAATCCAGGCCGAGTTCACCGTCAAGGAGGTGCTGACCTTGCTCATCGGATTCGCCGGCGTGCAACTGAAAGAAAAGACATTGATCGCCAAAATCGACGGCCAAACGACGATGGTTGGCGACATCCATGGACAGGTGGGGTCATGCTTGATTTCTGATTGAACATTTTCAGTGGGATACCCTGCAGCGGGTCGTCTCAGCCGCTGCCCACCGACGGGAACACAGGGATCCGGCGCTCTCCACGGGAGGCGGAAAGTAGGGCTTGAGCGCTTTCCTAAACGCAAGAACGCTAAAAATTTTGATTAAAAGCACAGTAAAAAAATAGATTTTTCGAACAAAATTTCACACTTGCAAAGATTTCTTAAAGTACGCCGTATAAATTGCCCTTGAAAATATAGTTAACAAGGAGACGTTTTTGAGAGATAATCTGGTTTCCTGTGCAGAATTTTCTGCCTTGAGCCCGAAACCGGTGTCTAATTATGCGAAATGATCTGAACAAAAACGTTATGAAGGTTTTAAAGGCAAAAAAAGACCAAAATTGGCCCAATTTCCTCAAATTTTTGCCCTTTTCGCCAGGGAAAGTTTGATTACTTTTCTAAACCAATCATTTTACAAGTTTTGAAAACAGCTTCGGAATCTGCCAAAACTTTGGTATAAGAGGTACTTGATGCCGTAAGGAAACCCAATCGTCCTTAAAAACGTCTCCTGCTAAAAAATTGCATTGGTAGTGATAATTCAGTTTTGTTTATGCTTGGTATCATTATAATCCCCGTGCTCCGCTCGTCGAAGATTTCACGATATCCTTTTCGAATTACGGCGCATTTCAGGATACTGTTCCTGGGTGACATCGTCGACCGAGAAGTGTTCTGTATGGAGTGCATGCTGATGATTATGGTGATGAAGATCACGTATCCAGATAAGGTTGGTCACTTAGGATTTTGCTTGATCTTGTTTGTATCATTGAAGGTGCTTATCCACTTTTTCACGTTTACTAAAAAACCCCGTAAATCTTAATTTTGGCATTGCGAAAAATGGCTGTTTTTGGTCAGCCCAGACATTGACGATTTCGAAATATTTTCCTGCCTTTCTAGGGTAGCTTTTTGGTAAACAGGGCTGGTACCATAACTGTTCACCACCCCTAGTAAAAACCTAAAGTTTACTACCCCTAGTAAACTTCTTACCACCACAGGTGAACTTCTTACTAGGGGTAGTGAACGCGTTCACGACCCCTGGCAAAAAGTTTACTAGGTCGAACTTATATGGCTTTCTAGTCAAACAAAGAGGCTTTTGCGCCGGTAAAGTCAAACCCACGATCATTTAAGAAGGCTAGAATATGCCCATCATTAACTTTTGGGGGTGAAAACGCTTTTACAGCGGCAGTTCTATTTACTAGGGGTAGTAACCTATGTTACTACCCCCTAGTTACCTAGTTACCTTCATAGGTTACTACCCCAAGGTGGGCATGGAAAAACGCATCGGGGTCAAGTCGCAATCCGAAAGACATTGAGGAAGAAGAGAAACAAAAAAAGATTGCTGGCCGGGGGGGGGAGTTTCCCTAGATAGGCCTAAATGGTTGTCTAAAGTCTTTTTGAAAAGTAAAAATGTTGACCTTTTCGGGACGAATTCACGACGAAAATTGATTGACTACTAATCAATAATTAAATTCTTAGGCTACACACAATTACTACAGTACCGAATGATTTTACGGGTTAGACTATATCCCCACTCTTTTGAGAAAATTGACTCACGAAAGCACAACATTTATTGGGGGTAGTAATAAAGTTTACCAACGTGAAAAGTTGAGTATACTCGTTTACTGGGGTGGTAAACACTTTGCGTTCATTTTTCTCGCGACTGAGCAAAAACTTGAGCAACTTCGTCACTGAAGTATGTAGCTGAGGGACTGGACTACCCAATAACGGCTTTCAAAAACTTTAAAAAGTTGCGATGTTTAAGTTTAAACTCTTTTTAAAATAACGCTTACTACCCCCTGTTGACCAAAAGTGGCAAACCACCCCTAGTAAAAAAATTTTAGGCCCCTAGTAAACTTTTTAAGGGGGGTGGTAAACTTTTTCATTTGGGCAGTAAGAGCGGGTTACCGGTGCGGTAAACTTTTCGCCTGGGGTAGTAACTTTTTTTAGTCGACTTAACGCCGGATTGAGAGATTTCTATAGGTATTTTTGCTGCGCAAACGCAAGGTCCTAGGACTTATCGACCCTAGGATCATTTCTGAGCAACGCGAGATGTTTTTAAGGGTCGGCGTGCAATTTTGGGCTGCTCGAACGTTTCAGCACCAATCAACCTAGTTTCCACTTACTAGGGGGGAGTGACGACGTTTACTAGTCTGGTTACCGGGGTGGTGAAGAGTTTACTAGGGGTAGTAAGCCGGAAATGGGGTGGTAAACAGGTTATGGTACGGGCCCAGGTTGTAATAGCATTCATAGATATTATGAGCTCGTGAGCACCATTTTTATGTTATTACAGGTGTTCCTCCTTCGCGGGAATCACGAAACGGCGCACATCAACCGGCAATACGGCTTTTTCGATGAACTAGTGGGCAGATATCCGCTAGTACGTATCATTGCAGGGCTTATAAAAACCACTTTCCACTTTAAAATAGCGCAATGTACATTTTTTGGTGCTCATATCCGAAAAATGGGCCTTGTTCATCTTTCCCAAAAAGTCACCTTCCCTACAAATAATTTTTCCGAAAAATCATTATTTCTAAGATTTTTTTTCTGAAAGCCCGCATTTGGTTAAGTTTGTCGAAAAAAGCTCAAAATCGGTTCTTTGCAGAGTTGAAGCTCTATCGAATGAGTTCTGTGACATAGCAAAATTCGAAGATCACTTAAAAGCCACTGTAAACTGAAATGGCTGGGCATTTCAGGCGGACGCCAAATTGCTGTGGGCGGCCTTCAACCGGGTCTTCAATTTGCTGCCCCTGTGCGCGTTGGTCGGCGGCGAACGCCGTGGTCTCTTCGTGGTGCACGCTGGATTTGGTCGTGAGTCCTACTTCAGCCGCCGCATTGCCCCCCAAACGTTTGCAGCAAAATTCGAAAAGGAGGGCCTGGACGCGCTCAAAGATGTGCCATACCCGCTCAGCGAGACCGAAGCCTGGCCGCAGGTTATGGACATGATCTGGTCGGATCCCGAGCCGCTGGCCGACCAACCCGAGTAAGCGCTGCCAAACAGAAAAACTTATCGAGCGCATAATCGAAAAAATCGCGCGAAATTTTGGAGCATCAGCATTTTGGCACTCTCCAAAACAAAACTGAAAATGAAAATCCCGAAAAAGGCCGCACTGGTCTTTGTTCATTTCCGATTCGCATCTCTAGACATTTTGAAAATACGTGTTCAAAGGTATATAACTGGTTAACAGTAGCTCTTCTCTTACTTTAGCCCCACTAGCTACCGTAGTTTTTGGGTTATCGCAGAAAATACAGTTTTCCCCAACATTTTCCTTTCATTTTTCGGTTATCTTTCGGACTCTGCGTCAATTCACGTCAAGCCTCTGCTGCAAATTTTCCATTCCTCTGCGTTTCAACATCCATTATCTACTATATATAAATTTCTAATGTCCGTCTGCCCGTCCGACCGGGAATTCAATCCCGCCGCGATCCCCCTGTCTACCGTAGTCGGGGGCTGAAAATTTTCACCGGAGCCGCGTCGTTTCGCATTTTCCCCCCCGGGAGGGCCAGCGCTGAACCCCCGCGGAGCGGGGGGTCAGCGCTGGTCTTTACTAAAATGACTTAAAGAGCCAATTTTCAAGCAGACTTTTTCAAAGTAAAAATTCCCTAGGATAAAAAGGTTTGGCACTTCATTTTCGCCATACATTCTGAGGTGCAAATCTTGCAAAATCTCGCTTAAAAAGATGAAATAAAATTTGCCTTGCGATTACTCGAAAACTACCGTAGGTAACGGGCGGAAAGTTTCTGTGAATATGTGAAATAACTTTGTGTACCTCTGTGCAAAATTTCATGCTCGACCGATAAATTCCAGCCTGACTTTTTCTATTGGGAGACCCTCCCGTGGTTTCGAAGAAAGGCATAACGGGAGAAGAAGAAATGGGAAAACCCATCACCCCACAAAAAACTACAAAAAAAAAA